CTCGTATATTAAGAAATATTTTCATATTTACATCACAATTGATGTGCGGTGTGCTTCAATTTCTGATGCATTTAAACATGAAAGTCATCCACATTGGTTATTTGTAATTCTGGTAGACAAGACAGCCGGAACGAAATGTGAAGGTTGTGACTTGGCTCTTATGTTTCTTCTACGTTGCAAAGGAAAAGATGATTGTGGTGGCTACAATTTATGCTTCACATGCGCTACTTTACCCACATTGGTAAGACACAGATACGATGATCACCCTCTCTCCTTATGCTATGGTGAGAAAAATGTGAATGTGACATATTGTTGCGGGATATGCGAAGAGGAAGTATATTCAAAGAATTGGTTTTACAAATGCAATGATTGTAGCTCCACTCTTCATACTAAATGTGTAATTAAGAATCTAATACACTCAAGAATAGGAGACAGTTTAGTGTTGGGTGACAAGGGGTCATTTGATTTGCTTCCCAATAATCGTCTCTCTCGGCCGATTTGCTATTTATGTAAGACTCGTTGTATGGGTGATTTAGTGTTAAACGATAAGGCGGATACAAGTATATTCATATGCTGTTTTTGTGGCTTTTCTAAGAATTTTCTTGGGAAGCCCAGATTCTTACGCGGTTAAAATTAGAGTGAAAGGTATATGCCACACGTGTATTGTGGCAATTAGTAATGAAATTAATTAAAAATGTATAGATGAATAAAGTAAAAATTTAAGGGAAAAATAAGTACTGAAATTAATTTATAGAATTTTTAACTGCGTTTTATCAAGTCTAAGTTGTAATATAATTTGTAAATGAATGAAAACTGTACTGATTAAAGAAACATAATCAACTAATTAAATAAAGATGTTTATGTTATTTTTACAAAAAAAAAAGATTTAATTTTGTATTTAACCAAAACATTGTTGGGTAACTAATCTCATTAGTGGGTTGAGATTTTCATTTTGAATGAGGAAGTAAGTCAAGTTGGAGAACATTTGTCAGACGGCGGTGTTCATCGTGGCGCATCAAGCAGTTAAACATTGAACATATTAAAAATATTAAAATAATATACAACGGGTTATATCGCGGGACGAGGTTATATTGTGGGACATATTTGAATCAACATTAATATAAAAATTTAAAATATTATGAATCCGCCGCTTCAATACGGGTTCAATTATTGTATAAAATAAATATTGGCAATTGTATTAATGACAATTGTAAACTATAAAATATAAATATCTTAAAATTGATACAATTTAAAAACTTTTTTATAATACATAATCATAAAATTTTAAAAATCACAAATTTTAGAAAACAAATCGTTTTGCTGTGTACCATGGGTCACAACCTAGTTAAAATTTATAGTAATAGATATGAAGCTTTATGCAACTTACACAAATTTTCTATTAGCAATGTTGATTATCAACTTACACAAAAGTTTATGATTAATTTTTTAACCCCTAATTGTTTTTCTCAATGACAATTTCAGAGTGGTGAATAAGGGTGGGCAAAAAAAAAAAACCGAATTGAACCGAAATAAATGATTTGTATTGGTTGGTTGTCAATTTTAGTAAGTTTTCTGTTTAGGTTTGGTTTGGTTAAAAACTATAAAACCGAATGTTTTTTTTTGTTTTTGTTTTTGTTTTGAAGAACATTTAGAATAATTATATATAATTTTATTTGTTCAGTTTATATTTTGTTTAATAATGTCCTTAAAAATAATTTTATTAGGCTTATAAATATTTAAATTCTATTCTTTGAGTTATGTTTATTTATTGATATATCAGTTTTATACTATGTTTATTTTTAATTATATACTTTTTTGTAAGAATATGGAATATTAACCTAAAAAAATCGGATTCAAACCGAAACCGAACCGAACCGGGATACATATGGTTTTTATATGGTTTTATTTTTTATAAAACCGATAAACCGTAAAAACCAAACCGAATTATATATGGTTTCTATATGGTTTTAGTTTTTGTACAACCAAAAAAACAGTAAACAGAAAAAACCGAACCAAAGCCAAACCAAAAAATCGTACTCCCACCCTTACTGGTGAATTCAAATACTTTCATGGTGTTTTTTTCCTATATTGTTTCATGTTGTTTTATTTTATTTTGTTAAACATTCATATTGTTTTAGTTTAATATTTTTTGTTTTAAACTAAACTAAGTTTACGAATTACGTCAAGTTGTTAGATTGACATACGAACTAACCAGTTGTGTTTTCTAATCCAAGAGGAAACTCTCTTTGTAGTTTAGAGGGACTAAACATTATAACTTCCCTACAAAGACTTTTCTCATCGGTGACCATAGAGAAAGCTCAAAGAATACATCAATGGTGTCGAAGCTTCTAACTAGCTACCTTCTTCGAAAAGTCATTTGATTCTGGACCTTGCAGAATTTCACGAGTCCGTTCATCAATTTTCATCTATGTAACATCTCAAGAATATTGATATCTTCGAAATAAGCATCTTTAAAATTATAATGTAAATACGCAAAGCAATAGATTCTTTTTTTCTTTAAAGCTATTCCTTACTTTTAATTATCAAATAGGTAATCTAATATTCCAAATCATGTTAAATTAAACTATAAATCTTATGTCCAAAAGATTTAGTATAACGTAAGAGAATAATTGCTTTTTTTTGGTGATTTTCTTTGATTGTTCTTTTTAATATACAAACACCCTGCAAAAGAAAACGACAAAAGGGAAAAGAGAAGCCGAAACTTTGTTCTAAAACAAAAAAGGAACAAGGTAAGAAGAAAGTAATCGCAATTATGGATCTAGGACGATGCCCCACTTGTCAATTTTCTCTAAAATATAGAAAAATCTCATCGAAATGTGATGCGTGCTACGAAGATCACCATGACAACAAACAAGGCTACGAGTGTGATTACTGCTCGTTTTGTCTCCACGAGGAATGCATTAACGCCAACCTTCCTTCTCGTCATAAACACCCTCTCATGGTCAAAAATAGCTATAACTCAAGGTTATGTCATCTTTGTGAAACCAAAAGGTATCCTCAAATACTTTATCAGTGTTCAGAATGTTCTTTTCTTATATGTATCCTTTGTGCGAGAAAACCTCTGATCTTTGACCAAACTAAGGCGCATGACCATGAACTCGTCCAAGTAACGATAAAACTCCCCTTCACTTGTGATGCATGTGGGTTGTGTAGTACTGAATACCCGTGTCTTTGTCTTCAATGTTGTTTCATGATCCATCGAGCTTGCATCTTCTTACCACGTGTTATATACATCAACCGCCACGACCATCGTATCTCTCATGTTTATTCTCTTTCCCCTGGGAAGTTGATTTGTAGGGTGTGTTATGAGCATGTCAATGAAGAGTATGGAGCATATTCTTGCTTGATTTGTTCTTATTTTGTTCATTCAAAATGTGCAACAAATAGAAATATTTGGGATGGTAGAGAACTTGAAGGGGTACCCGAAGAAGATGAAGAAGAAGAAAGCAAACCATTCGAAGTGATAGATCAAAACCTAATAAAACATTTTAGCCATGAACACAATCTCAAGGCTTTATCATCATCGAGGCTAGAGGAACCAAGAAAACATTGTTGTGCATGCACTCTTCCTTTTTATTCTGAATTGTGCTATAAATGCACACAATGTGATTTTATTCTTCACGATGCATGCGCTAATCTCCCTCTGAAGAAAAGACATGAGATAAGCACACAAAAACTTACGTTGTGTGCCAAAAGTCATCATGGCTCAAACTTTGAAAACTTGTTTCTTTGTGTAACGTGTCAACGTTATTGCACTGGTTTTTCATATAATATTACCGGGGATGATAACCACCCCCAATGCAGCATTGATGTGCGATGTGCTTCAATTTCTGATGCATTTAAACATGAAAGTCATCCACATTGGCTATTTGTATTTTTTGATTTGTTTTACTCAAAGTGTGAAGGTTGTGACTTGAATTGTTGGTTTTATCTACGTTGCAAGGATAAAGATGATTGTGGTGGCTACAATTTATGCTTCACATGCGCAACTTTACCCACATTGCTAAGACACAAATACGATGATCATCCTCTATCCTTATGCTACGGTGAGAAAAATGTGAATGCGACATATTGTTGCGGGATATGTGAAGAGGATGTATATTCAAAGAGTTGGTTTTACAAATGCAATGAATGTGGCTCCACTCTTCATACTAAATGTGTATTTCAAAATCTAATGCACTCAAGATCTGGATACAGTTTAGTGATTGGTAACAAGGGGTCATATGATTTGCTTCCAAACAATCGTCTCTCTCGACCAATTTGCTATTTATGCAAGATCCGTTGTATGGGTGATTTTGTTCTCCACCAAAAGGCGGATACAAGTATATTCATATGCTGCTCTTGTGGATTTGATTATAAAGATTTGGTTAGGAGGTATTGAAGACTAAAAAAGTGATAAGAGTGTATTGCGATGATTAGTACTGAATTATTTTATAGCTTGTAACTTTCGTTTCATGTGTCATGTAATTAATTTATAAACATAAAAAATTGTCTTGGTACATGTTTAATATATCTCAGCTTAGATATTTGTCAAACTGTGATTAGAATGAGCTTGATTGAAGAATGATTGCTTAGCCTTTTCTACCGTAGATTATTCACCATCCCGGTTAATTCTGCAGTGAGGCAATGTCTCTTGAACCTCATTCACCAGTCTATACCCTTAGGGGAGATACATTGATTTACATCAATAAGAATCAGGATTCTAAAAATGTGAGATAATTTATATTTTCTCTCTTTGGAAACCTTTTTGTCTCCTTCCCTTTGTTGGTACCGCAAGTTCAACAACTTCTTCTCTGGCAGGTTCTCCAAGAGATTATGGTTTGTGAAAAAGTACAATGCGTTGTCCCAGCCACATGTTCTGTTATTGATCATTCCGTAAGACGCCACTACTCAACTCTGCTTCCACAAGGTTCTGAAAATACTCACACCGATGATGTACGTCGCTTACAAGCTATAGATATTCATATCGGCTAGCTGTCTCAAACAAGGCCAATTTTTTTTTATCAAGTTTAATCTAGACCTCACGATCTCTTTGGTAATTTGACTAATTTTTAATAAATCGATGTTTTCTCAGAGGATTTGTAGAGAGAGGCCGGTAAAACCATCTCAAAAAAAATCAAGAGATGCAATGGACGGATGTAGGAGGGCGAGGTAAAAGAGGCCGCGATCATGGTTGTCGCGGTGGCCGAGGTTAGTTCTTTAGCAACTAAATTTATCTTCTTCAACCCCTTATTCCCTTTAGCTAATGTTTAGCTCATTCTAGATTAAGTTTTCTTCCTTAATTTCCTCTCTCTAATCTTACTTCTTCAAACTCTATGGTCCTAAAAAATCATAGCCAGTGTAACTTCTTATTTATTTTTTTTATGCACCAAATTAACAAAAAAAAATACATCATATTGAAGTTTAGATATGAAAACACATATGTCAAAATATTCTGGTTGATTTTAGCCGTTTTCTAATTACAATGTTCGAATTTTTTTTATTTTGTGTTAAATCGGAAATCTTGAGATGAATTTCCATTTTTGATTGTCCAGAAATTGCTAAAATAACTAAAGACAATCTAACGGCTAAGATTCACCGATATCAACCGTCCTTATTTCTAACACAAGAAACGAGCATAGATCAAGTGCAACGCGGAGTACAATAAGTATCACTCTCGTTCTCTTCTCCAAGGGTTTTAGGGCTTGCTTACTGCATTACACGGCTTTTAGGCGGCTGCCGCTTCTCTTCTTCTTCTTCTTCTTCTTCTTCGTTCTCGGAGGTTTTAGGGTCTCTTCTTCTTCTTCTTTCTTCTTCGTTATGGATCCTTATGGAACGGAAACAGTTATCGAAGATGAAATCCACGATGCTAAACCATCCGAAGATATTGAAGACGATGACGACAAATCTCAGCCTCACTCTGGTGGTGGTGTCGATAGTGCTGGGTACGTTTCCTCACTTTCATCTGAAAAGATTCTAGATTCAGGAATTAGGGTTTGGGTCTTTATTTCAAGAAGATTGTGATAAAGGAAGAAGCTTTATGTTTCGATTCTTCTAGGGCTTTCTAAATTACTCATCTTTTTCTCTTAGCTCTGTGAAATTTATGTCTTTGCTATAGAAAATTGAGATAGAAAGTATAAAGATTCGAACTTGTTGGAGAAGGATAAATCTTAAGATTAGTGCTCTTCTCTGGTTTCTTAATACTTAGTGATTAGTGTACTTATACGATGTTTTGTGGAATTTGTAGAAAGATATTTGTTGGAGGTTTAGCCAGGGAGACTACTTCAGGTTAGCTCTTGAGTCTTGGTTGCCACATTGTAAGAGGTTAGCGTTCTCGTTATTGTGTAAAGTTCAATACTTTTCTTAACTCTGGCTTTTGATTTGCTTATGCAGCTGAATTCCTCAAGCATTTTGGGAAATATGGAGAGATCACTGATTCTGTGATTATGAAGGATAGGAAAACTGGACAGCCCCGAGGATTTGGGTTTGTGACATATGCTGATTCCTCGGTGGTAGACAAAGTTATAGAAGACAATCACATTATAATTGGGAAGCAGGTTAGTTTGAGTTGTGCCTTACATCTTAAGTGTGTTGGTTGTGTTGTGGCTTGCAATGTGATAACATTCAACTTTTTGGTTGCTCTTAAGGTTGAAATTAAGCGGACGATACCAAGAGGATCCATGAGCTCTAACGATTTCAAAACTAAGAAGATATTTGTTGGTGGAATTCCTGCTTCTGTAGATGATGGTAAACACTCTTCCATACTATCCCATATCTGTATCATATGATTTTAGAATCATGTTTTTATTTACTAAGCTTCTCATCTGATGATTGGTGTTTGTATAGATGAGTTCAAGGAATTCTTTATGCAATTTGGAGAGCTAAAGGAACATCAGATTATGCGCGATCACTCAACTGGAAGATCACGTGGCTTTGGGTTTGTTACATATGAAAGTGAAGATATGGTTGATCATCTCTTGGCGAAAGGGAACAGAATTGAGCTTTCAGGGACTCAGGTAACTAGCCGCTCTTACAAATATTGTTGAGATTCTTATACTTTGTAGCTATAATCAGAACATTCACATCTGCCCTGTTACTTTGTTGTAATTGTTTGGGAAACTTTTCTCGTGTAGGTAGAGATAAAGAAGGCAGAGCCGAAAAAACCAAACTCGGTTACAACCCCGTCAAAGCGGTTTGGTGATTCTCGCTCTAACTTTGGTGGAGGTTATGGAGATGGTTATGGTGGCGGACACGGTGGTGGATATGGTGGTCCAGGTGGTCCTTACAAATCAGGTGGTGGCGGTTATGGAGGTGGCCGGTCTGGTGGGTATGGAGGGTACGGAGGAGAATTCGGCGGGTATGGTGGTGGTGGATATGGTGGTGGCGTGGGACCTTATAGAGGAGAACCAGCACTTGGATATTCTGGTCGTTATGGAGGAGGAGGCGGTTACAACAGAGGTGGTTATGGCATGGGAGGAGGCGGAGGGTACGGTGGTGGGCCGGGTGATATGTATGGTGGGCCATACGGTGAACCTGGAGGTGGTTACGGTGGACCAAGTGGCAGTTATGGAGGTGGATATGGCAGTAGCGGCATTGGTGGGTATGGTGGTGCTGGTGGCGGAGGCTATAGAGGAGGTGGTGGCTATGATATGGGTGGAGTTGGAGGTGGAGGCGCAGGAGGATACGGTGCTGGTGGTGGCGGAAACGGTGGAGGCTCATTTTATGGAGGAGGAGGAGGAAGTAGAGGTGGATATGGAGGCGGCAGTGGACGGTACCATCCTTATGGAAGGTAGAGAGTTCAATAAAAGCTTGAATCTTCTTCTTCTTACTTGTTGTGTCATGCTTAGTTTCATGTATGGTTATCAAGATTGATAGCTAGTCATTGTATTCTGAGTGAGAGGAGGCTTTTAGGGCTTTGATTCCCCTAAGTAGTTTTAATCAATACAATTTTAGATATAATTATCTCGGCGTTACAATGCCAGATTATTATTTTGCTTAGAATTCTTGTGGCAACTCTAGAGTTAGCTTGTATCAACGCTTTTGAGGTTTTGACTCAAATCTTATTAGACTCTTGTTTGTTGTACTGTAGCATATTTTCCATCAGAAGCCTCTGTATGTGTCCGAAGGTTTGATTGTCTTGTTATTCTCCCTTAAGTGAGAGCCACAAATAGACCTAAAAAATATCTGGTGGTCAATCATCTGTCTCTATTCTCTGATTCGTCTCTGTTTCGTGTACCATTTCACAATTTAGAGAATAATTTTAACTGGGTTTTCTAAGTAAATCGAGAAAATCTCATAAGTCTTCATCTTTTTGGTTCTCTCTGGCTCATTTTCTTAGCACTTGTGGAAATGGCAACACTTGCATCGAATGTCGTTTGTATCGGAAAAGTAACGATTTTTAGATCTAATTCAATCGTAAATCCGTGTTTTGATATTTCTCCCCAAAGAATTGGTAAAAAGAGTGGATTTTGCAGGTAGGAGGAGGGAGGTTGGAGATAAACTGCAGAAAGAAGGAGAAAGGAAGAGATCAGAGCAATTATCCTCCTTACAAAGTTATTGAAATCACTCCTCCTCCTAAATCTCTCGGCATTCGTTGCCTTCCTCATGTGAGTACTCTCATATATCCACTTAGTGCTTTGAACTGATAAAATTTGTCAAATTGATGAGTTTTAATGAAAAGATTTTTGATTTGCAGAACCTTCAATGTGGAGAGAATGTTATGATCGAAGGGCAAACGTACACAATCTCCGCGGTGACTCATCGGTATCAGCTCCGGAAAGGCAAATACGAGCCGAGTGAGAGGCGGCTGGATGTTCTCTCCGCCGCTAGATATGTCTTAAACCTTTACTTCGACAATTTGCTCCAAAACTCTTGATCTTTTATTTAGCCAAAAAGTTTGGTCTAGAGATTTTCATTGTATCCATGAATTCTTGTGAATTTGTAATCAAGAATTTGTACTTCTCTTAATCGTTTCTCATTTATCAGGCCAATTATGGAATAATGATATAGTTATACTTGTAGAAATATTTTTGGTGACTACCATACGGTCCATACCACATATTCGTGGTTTTACATTTTAAAAATGTTAATACATTACTTTTGACAATTCCTAACAATCATGAAGGAATCCTGTTTTAGCCCGAAAACTTGAAAACTAGATACTTTATAATGTAGCTTAATAAAAAAAGTGATTTAACCATTCAACACCTCAAAGTTTAATTTTCCAAAAGAAACAATTAAATTGACAACTTCGTTTAACTAGTCTACCTGGTTAAGGAAATGTATATAGCTAAGATTTCAAGCCAAATGCGTAAATTCTTAATCTTATGCCTTATAGTTTTAGCTTCTATAATAAACAAACATTTTGAGTCATCTTCAGGCAATTAGCTTGCAAAGATAAAAGGATTTAAAATTTTAATACGTCTAATTGCTCCCATAATTATACAATTTAGTTGACCAACGTGGCTTGATTTAACTTAAACTACTGTCTGTCACCAAAAGACAACAACACGGTCAAGTAGATTTGTAGACATCTCATCTGTGAGCTTACTTTGCGTCACCGCCTTGTCACATTCGTGTGGACGCCTCACGACGTGTTTGCATAATGTTAACAAATATGAATATTTTGCACTCTTTCTCCATTTTTGATTACTTCCATTTCCTCAAAAGTCAAAACTCTCTTTCTCTCTCGATTTGCTAACTTGTCAATGGCTGAAGTTGAGAATCTAAACTCTGTTCCAGCGTCGGAAGACACCGAGTATGGATTTAAACGGCCGGAGATGTACAGCACAAACATCGCCAATTCTATAACATCTTATGGTCGTCATGTTTTTGTTCTTTATAAGACTCCTGAAGCTTGGCTTTCACACGTCGAAGAAGAAGGTTTACCTCAACGTTTCGCTACGTTGCTTAAAGATCGCAAATCTGATCTTCTTGTTCAGGTATACAAAACGTTTAACATGTTTTCACGTACGGTGTATCTCTTTCTTCTGATGAAAGATTCTTCTTAAGTCATAACGTTGACTTTTTTTAGTGTTTTTTTTGTTGTTGTTGTAGACGAAGCTTAATGTATGTGAAGGTGGTGGATCTGATGGTGATGTGTTGATTTTTCCGGACATGATCAGATACAAGTAAGTGCCTCTACGTGTTTCTTGTTGAGTAGTTTAAGGTTCTTGTTGATTTTTTTTAGCTTAAGGTTTTTGGAAAATTTGTTGACTTAGAACATGATTGACTCTTAGTTAGATTTCTAGAGTGTAGATTGTTGTATAAGCTATTTTTAGAAACTTTAGAAATTCGATTATAGATCTTAATGTATTGCTCAGATTTATGAGATCCAAAATTGTATAAATTTGATTCTAAAGATTTGAATTTTATGATTTTGTATAAATTTTTTATTCGTGTTGGTGTTGACTATAGGGGGGTTAAGGATACGGATGTGGAAGGTTTCTTTGAAGATGTTCTTGTGAATGGGAAGCCATGGAGTTCTGGGAAACAAGAAGAGATATCTGGAACATTTGTTTTTGTGTGTACTCATGCTAGTCGAGACAAGAGATGTGGTGTTTGTGGACCAGTCATCTTAGAGAGGTTCAAGCAAGAGATTGGTTCTCGTGGACTTTCGAACCAGATTACGCTGAAACGATGTTCTCACGTTGGACAGCACAAGTATGCTGGTAATTTGATCATCTTCAGTCCTGATTCAGCTGGAAAGATTACTGGCAATTGGTAAGTAAATGGTTGGATCATAAGAAAATGTTATGGTTTATGGCATTGTTCGAATAACCGTGCGGGTTTAAAATGTAGGTATGGCTATGTAACACCTGATGATGTACCTGAGTTGCTTGACCAACATATTGCAAAAGGAGAAATCATACAAAGGATTTGGAGGTATAGGTTTTAAACACTCGTTTTCTAGCTTGTCTACATATATGTCTATGTGATAAATATGTAGATAAGTTATGGTCATAGATAAAGTTTACTTGGACTTAAATAAGTGACTTTTGTTTCAGGGGCCAAATGGGTCTACCTGGAGGTGAAGCTGAGAAAGTGCATGAACAGAAAGTGATACCAAATGGTAACGGTGTAGTGAAAGAGGAGAGCAAAGGATTCACAGGAGGATGTTGTCAAGGATCAAACGGTGTTTCGTGCTGCCAAGACGAAACCCCAAAGCCAGAGCCAATTAAGAAAGAAGGAAAAAAGTGTACCATATGGTTCCAGCCTCTTGACAAAGAAGAGGTTTACATTGGAGCCGCTGTGGTTGGAGCCATTGCAACTATAGCCATGGCTTTCACCTTTTTCAAGAGGTCACGGTAAGAACCTAACCTTATTACCAATAGAAGTTTCTTCTTGGAGATTGCCACGAGACAATAGAAAAAGAATACATCCATTGATTCCACCACAAAACAGAACCGAAGAATTATGTTTTTGTCTGTGATTCTACAATTAAAGAAGAAACATATAAACTTTCTGGTTTCTGTGAGCGTTTTTTTGCCTTGCTATCTTCTCACATTATGTGTTTTTGTTGTAATGGCCATAGCTTTTGTGATTGGCCTAAGCTCTCTCACTTTGGAGCATTAACAAAACTTTGATTTGGTTTATTATTTTGGTTTGGACTTGCTTATGTTTGAAAGTGGTTCTTGTCGATATATTGTAACACAATTTATGTCTGTTATTTTACCGTTTACAATTGATCCGTGGAATCGTAGAATGATGATGCTTTCTAGAAGACTAGAACCATTCTCCTGACCGGACTCAGTTACTCACTATGCACAAGAAAGACCACCTCGTCCTTGCACCAACAACCTTCGTTTGATCAGGGACAACTATGCTAACGATCAATGTTTGTTGTTCAGTGTACGGCAAAGATCACCTTTCATATAAAGAAAAAATTAAGATCACTTTAAGTTCTTCTTACATAAGCCAGGTGTTTGAGAATCAAGTAAAAATCAATGCAAAATCATATTCGTTGTTGTGTTCATCTCAATATCCTTTGTTGTTTCTCTCTTGATTCCATTGCTACTTCACTTTGGTAGGGAAGATTATAACTTTGCTGATGCTAACTTACTTCCATCAACTCTTTTAATCTCATCAAGACACTGTGAAAATCAGATATCCAGTAATTAGAGATTATACTCGCGCTTACCAGGCAACATGAAACTTCCATAACAAAAACGAAAACAAATGCAAATAAATGTGTACCTCTCTTCAAGGGAAGGCATTTGCTCTTTGATAACAGAAACAATGATCAACTCATCTGACTTCGCTTGAGATGAAGCTTGCTTTTCTCCATTCACTGCTACACACAAGGGTAATTTCAGTAAGAAGATGGCTCTCGGGAAAACGAGGCGATGTCTCAAGGATCATATAGCTTTTTTACCAGCAAAAAAAAAGCTGTAAAGTGAGAGGTGCAAACTTAGGATGTCTCAATTAGTTCATAACACAGGTAGAATGACTCTGTACAAGATTAAAAACGCTTTTATCCTCACCTTCTACATCTTCTTGAAGCCTGGATTCGCCTCTAAGATATGAACGTTCATCCGTTTCTAAGTTTAGACCTTGACGGTCTGCAAATTTCTCTAGCAAGCGGCCGATTAGGTTATGTGCAACCAAGCTTGTCTCATCAGAAATTTCTTGGACTGCGAGGTACTGGTTTTTATGTCTTCTTTGTGGCTTCTGCTCACCATGATCATCAGACTTTATGTTTTCAACAGAAAACAATGACCGAGAGCTAAACTGGTTATCTACTTCCATCTCAATATCCCTCTCAACCTTGACTCGGGTTTTGCTCGTACCAATGTCATGTCTATCACTGATAACTGTTGATTTATTGGACGTGGGAGTGACATAGAGAGACCTAGGATGAACTCTTGTAATACTCTCTGGCAGGTCTCTTACAACTACCTTATTGACAGAAGAGCTGATATCATGCTGGTTGGTTGTGTGTGTAGAATCAGTTGGGTCCAAAACCAAGCATTCGGCACCACTTTCTTCATGATCCGAATCAGAGGACTCCATTGCATCGCCTTGAGAGTTTTTCACTTCAAGCTTTATGTTTCGACATCTACTCTCTTCATTAACAAATTTCTCATTATCAAATAATCTACAATCCCCACCATCATCATCACCATCATCATTATCATCACTGTCTTCTAGCTCCTCCATATAAGCATCACCAAAGTCCTGATCGAGTTCATAATTTGGAGTACATTGGCAACATATTTGCTTCACTTGAGCACTCACATTTAATATACACTCTGTCTCTTCATCAATTGCTTCCCTTGGACATACCTTGTGCTCTACATTCCGCGTCCTCCTGTTGACCAATGAAAGAGCTTCCATTAAAGACTTTGGAATGGTGTCCATATCACTGCACTCAAACAGATATTCAATCAACATTTTTCTGACTGCTGATCTTAAGCTGTCATTAGACACTTCAGCTTCTGGGTCTAAACAAAGATGCAATCTTTTTAGCTCACGAAACCTGACCTTACGGAGTAACCATACTGCCTTCACTATCTCGTTCTGCAAGTTCTTTGTTTCTGGCGAGAACCGAAAAAATTCTGTGGCAGCAGCAGTTTTGTAGCCAGGACTTAGCTTAAGTGATAAATCTACTACTGACAACGCTTTAGCCAATTGCTCCTGCAGTTTATCCCCTGCAGAAAGTTCTGAGAGCATCTTCTCGCTAGCTTGCCTCACTTGGTTAATCAGATCACTTCGACTCTGACCAAATCTACTTGTTTTCAGTTGAGGTATCATTCTTGAACCTTTAAGTTTCCTTTTCATCGCACGTAGGGTCTGAGTCGACAAACCATCTAGCTCATTAAGTATCTTCATTGCAGCATCACGATGGGAATGCAGAGTAGGTGTTCTCCCCAAATTCATCCTGCAATCTTCCCGGAAATTTGCGGGATCACTAAGAACTTGATGCAGCTGATTAATAATGTCTTCTTTACCAATACCGTCTTTATTCTTTCCAAAGTCTCTACTGACAGAATCTCTGATAATCTCTTTCATTTTCCATCGAGTCTTGTCAAACGAAGTAGAGCCTCCTGTGAGTATCATTGCAATAAGATAAAGACCTTTATTCGTCAAAGAATCAAGCTTTCTAACAAGTTCGAGATTGCAGAACTTTAACTCCTTTTGTTGAACATCATTACATAGTACTTGTTCATTCTTGCAAAATCCAAATGCCTCTTCTACACGCGACTTTATGGTCTCGTAGAATATCTGGAATCACAAAAGAGATCTCATTGAAAAAAAATCTGAACACTTATATAAAGAGAATGTAAGTAAGAGAGACATACATCATCTTCCCTGAGCAAAGATTCAGGGACGAATCTGTTTAACAAAGAAAACAAAGAACAAGAGTTAATAGTCATATATAATCAAATCAGCTAAACCAAATGGAAACTCAGTAATGAACTCACTCAGTCTTTCCCGGAGTATGGTCCTTGGATACAGACATCTCACAACCCAACAGCCACCTACAAGGTTGTAAAAGTCGCAGACAACAAAAGTCTGAAACTTTTTTTTGGAGAAACAATAAAGGTTGAAACTTTCACAAAGCCCTAATAAGGCTTATTCGAGATCAAAGCAATCGTTTCCTACATCTAAGTTACAACTATAGTCCAAATTCACACACAGGCATATAAAACCATAAGGAGAGAAGTGGAAGAAGAAGAAGAAGAAACCTTCGTTTGAGACGAATCTGCTTATCTTGATCCTTAATCTGTGAAAGTATCGAAGCACAATCAGTCTTGAAGAAAACTGAATTATCATCCATTGCCATCTTCTTCAAGGAATTGGAAACGACTTCTCTGAATAACAATCAGAAGAAATAGGAAGAGGAAGAGACAGAGAAATTTAAACCGGGTTCGAAGATTTTATTAATTTTTTTAGTGAACCGGGTAATTAGGTCAATACAAAAAAAAGCCCAATGGACTCTTAAGTTCAAGGCCCAAAATATAACAAACTTATCCTTCTACTTCTCAACTAACCTAAACACAGAGAGTGTCGACGGCGACGGCGACGGCGACGGCGAGAGCAATGACGACCGAGGAAAGTACAACAAGCAGAAATAGGAAGAGGAAGAGACAAAGAAACCCTAAACCATCTAAAGAAGAGCTTATCGAGACGACACCAAAGAACCAAAACAACAAAAAGAGTCAGAGAGATACCAAAGTTCAGCAACATGGAGGTTCTTCAGCTTCATCGAAACGACCTAAATCTTCCAATTTCCTCGACGCGGTTCGTTCTCTCTCTCTTTTGATTGGATTTGATTGACGTTTGTGGAGATTTTGATCAATTTATACCGGAAAAATCACAGCTTCGAGAGAGATTATCTGGTGGACAATTTAGGATGCTCAATGAGAAACTCTACACTTGCTCGTAAGTTAATCTCATTATTTCCGATGATCTTTCTTCAGTTTTCACAGAGCTTGATTCAATAATCTCTGTTTTCTCTCAGTGGAAAAGATGCATTAGACTACTTTAAAGAAGATCCAGAAATGTTTGATATGGTAACTCACATTAGCTCAAGAGCTTAATGTTGATTCTTTTAGTTGAATTGATTCTGTTTTGTTTTCAGTATCATACAGGGTATCAACAACAAATGTCAAATTGGCCTGAGCTTCCTGTTAATTCCATTATTAATTGGCTTTTGTCTAAGAGCTCTTCTTTAGTTGTGGCTGATTTTGGCTGTGGTGAGATTTTCTTATCCTGTATTGCTGTGTTTTTACCTTTTACCTGCTGAAATCGCTTTACCGATATGAAAAGCGTTTCAGGTGATGCAAGGATTGCTAAAAGTGTGAAGAACAAAGTTTTCTCCTTTGATCTTGTCTCAAAGAACCCCTCTGTTATTGCCTGCGATATGTCAAATGTACGTTGAATCTTTACTCCATTCATGTTACTTTCGTGATTTCAGACTTAACAGGTATTTTTGAGGTTTACTTTGTAGACTTCACTTGAGTCTTCATCGGTGGATGTTGCTGTTTTCTGTCTTTCATTAATGGGTACAAACTATTCTAGTTACATCAAAGAGGCACATCGAGTTCTTCGTCCAAGGTACAGCTTTGTTTACTTGCCAGTCTCTTCTTCTTCATAGGTTTTTGTCATGTTTCTGAATAACAATTCCTTGGGTGTATTCAACAGTGGTATGCTTCTTATAGCGGAAGTTAAGAGCAGGTTTGATCCAAACAATGGAGGAGCAGACCCAAAAGACTTTTTGAAAGCAGTTTGTGAACTTGGATTTACTTCGGTTTTAAAGGTAAACTATTTTGTCTCTCTACTCTTCTTGTTTTCCATTTCCGCTATGAGAAAGAAACTCATTTGGTTCTTTGCGTAGGACTTCTCAAATAAGATGTTCATCCTATTCCATTTCAAGAAAAAGGTTAGTGAAATATACTTCCATTAGGTTTTGGTTAGTCCAGAGTTTAGATCTACACTTTATCAGCAATAATCCTTTCCTTCTTTGAATCGTGTAATTATATAGGAGCAGGTGAATTCAGATCAGAAGATAATAAAGTGGCCTGAGTTGAAAGCATGTTTATACAAACGTCGATGATGAGTTTACGAAGATTACACAGAATACTATTTATGTTCTTCACTGTTTATGATGAGTTTATGATGGAAGATTACAGAGAGTAGTGCCAATGCTGTAGCATTTTAGCATATTGATCTGAACCCTTTGTTTATGAAATTTTGTAAGAGGAAATCAATCACATTGGTCTTTGAAGTGTTTAAAACGAATTTTATTTTAGCTGTGATAGTTTTGGTTTAGAGAATATTCAAATTTTAGGTCATGAATGGTGTGATGAGTCCCCTTTCCCTGCAACTGCATTTTTGATTTGTCATTCAACCAAAAAATAAGTTCAACGAGTATCGTAATTACAAGTCTCATAGTTCGAATTACACAATCTTGTGTAACAATGAAACACTAGCCTAACTATTCTTAAAGATCATACATGCTTCGTTTACCATGCAGTCTCTCACTATTCACTTGATTGAAAAACTCTCATTTTTTGTGAACAAAGCACTTGTGTATAAGTTGTTCCCTATTCATACACATGATCAAATCCTCACAACCCTATTAATCATTAACTTGGTTTGTTCAAAATATTGTGAGGATCTTCTGTTCAAACCACTACCTCTCGATCCACGGGTACTTCTAGTTACATTGGGAACACTTGTTCTACTAAGCTCTCAAAGGCTACTTATTAAGCCATTAGTTGATTCCTTATAAGTTATAGCTTTTGATAGAATCATAAACATCGGGCATATTAGACCATTCAAGAGACAAGCCCAAAACAAGCCTAATGGCTCTAAGAGGCACAACAACTTCAATATATGTGATGTCTACACAAAGAAATCTAAATCAAGATTTTGAGCTAATTAGCAAAGGGATGCAAAATCAATTTTTGCCCGGGAACACTTGTTCTACTAAACTGACAAACACTATAAAAATAAAGTACCAAAAATGAAAAAACTTTTACTACTAAGTCAGACCAAATGTCTTTTTTTTTTTTTTTTTTTTTCTTTCTTACAGATGATATGATCTCATAAAGTACCAAAAGGACTGACTGATCTCGTAAAAGGTCCAACTTTCTCACCCCACCGACGATATTAATTTATTTTGTTTTTGTTTTCTGGTCCACGATCTTTAAATTCATGCACACTTTCTTGTCATTTTGTCAATTAATAAAAAGAGTGTTGTTCGTTAGATTAATAAAAGATTTTGTTTTCTTCTTTCTAATATTGATAATTTTATTTATTAAAAAGACAAATATTGTTGTTTCACTGCTCCTATCTTCATCTTCTAGGAGACTTCCTTTCAAAAATTTCTTATGATCATTATTCACAAGTTTGACTTTTTTCGGTTCAAGTTTGGTTTAAGTCCGGTTCGTAATTCGGTTTAGTAGATTTACAGTTTTGTAAATTTGGCCGACCAAAAAAGGCAGAACAAAACAGAGAAAGAGAAGGATAAAGAGATATGAGATTTTCTTGTCACTTTACTTACACGGATTTAGCAAACATCTTTTTGATCATTCAGAGTTTTTTTTGTCCTATTATTTATAAATTTATATTAAATATTTGCCCTGAAAGTACCACTTAATCATCAATTTTTGACCATTACTCCATCTGGGTTTTATTATCTTCAGTTCTGTGTCACAACTCAAGTTCAGAAAAAGTTAGGATTCTTTTTTTTTTCTTTCTGCATTTTGTTATTGACAAATTGAGATTGTTGTTTTTTTCTAGGGTTTTGTTTTATTATATTTATGGAAGTCTTTTGATTTCTCTTTATAACCTCAAAAAGCATCTTTCTTGATAGTAGTACTAAGAATGATTGATCACCATTCACCAAAAGGGTTTTTGGATTTGACAGGTTTCTAATAAGGTTTATTTTTGGTTAGAAGTTAATCAAAAATATCTTTTAACTTTTGGAAATGGGATCTGTAACTGGGTTTTACTCAAATGAAGTGTTTGAATTGGATCCTAAATGGGTCGTTGATCCTCAACATCTCTTTGTTGGTCCCAAGATTGGTGAAGGTGCTCATGCCAAAATTTATGAAGGAAAGTAAGTTTATTTCCTAATTTCTTTCTTCATTTATCAGATTAATTTCATAAAAAAAATCTACTTTTGACTTCAGTTTTACTCACTTTATGATTCTTGAGCTTGTGTCTGAATCTTTGTATGTGTGAGAAAAATTGGAACTTTTTTGCGGCAAAATATTTAGTCATTTGCATATAAAGTTTCAGTTTAATGTTTCTTCAACAAGTTCAGAATTAAAAAATTACTATTTTTGTATCAAAATTTTCAGTGAAATGTTTTATCACGAAATTTCAGAGCTTTAGTGTGAATCTGTTGAGCAAATTCAATCATAAAGATAGTTTTTACAGATGTTATTGTTGATGAAGAGTATTGATAATGATGGAAAATGTGGTTTCTTGTTTAGGTATAAGAATAAAACAGTTGCTATTAAGATTGTTAAAAGAGGAGAATCTCCGGAAGAGATTGCCAAAAGAGAGAGCAGATTTGCAAGAGAGGTCTCTATGTTGTCTAGAGTTCAACACAAAAATCTGGTCAAGGTTCTGCTTCTTTGCATTTATCGAATCTCCGGTTCATATTATTTTGGTTAGAGACAAACACTAAAACGTTTTGATTTGGTATGTTTTTGTAGTTCATTGGAGCTTGCAAAGAACCAATCATGGTTATAGTCACTGAGCTTTTACTCGGTGGTACATTGCGTAAATACCTTGTTAGCTTGCGTCCAGGGAGTTTGGACATACGTTTAGCAGTTGGGTATGCGCTTGACATTGCTCGAGCGATGGAATGCTTACACTCTCACGGAGTCATCCATCGCGATCTCAAACCAGGTAACGGTTAAATGAAGTCACACTTCAAGACATTCTGAATTAACAATAATGGTCTTATTTCTTCTTGGATTGCAGAGAACTTGATCTTAACTGCGGACTACAAGACTATTAAACTAGCTGATTTTGGTTTAGCTAGAGAAGAATCACTAACTGAGATGATGACTGCAGAAACTGGTACATATCGTTGGATGGCTCCCGAGGTACGTACTATACACGATGAAATCATTTCTGTGTTCTTTTTGCTTCGAAAAACTTGTTTACTCCCGAATTACGGTTAAACAGCTTTACAGTACGGTCACGTTGAGGCATGGCGAGAAAAAACACTATAACCATAAGGTAGATGCATACAGCTTCGCCATCGTCTTGTGGGAGCTTATCCACAACAAGTTACCTTTTGAAGGCATGTCAAATCTCCAAGCTGCTTACGCTGCTGCATTCAAGGTTTGATTCTTGATTCTTAAGTCTCAACCATGTGATTCTTGATTTCAAAGTTTGAACCTTGATAGTAATTTAAACGTTTGTTCTTGATTCTAGATTTGCGACCATTTGATTCTTGATTCCAAAATTTGTTTCTTGATTTTAACATGCTTGGTTCTTGATTTTTTTTTTTGTTTGCTTATTGATTTCCAACCATTTGGCTCTTGATTTGAAACCCTTTGATTCTTGCTTTTCAACAGTTCGAGTCTTGATCCAAACCATTTTGTTTCTTGTATTTTCAAACCGTTTGATTCTTGATTTTGATTCTTGATTTCCAACCGATATACCGCTGAAACTGGTTCTCCAGCCAGACAATGTTTAACTGATTGTTGTCTGCTTTAATATTTCCGGTTAGAACGTGAGGCCAAGCGCAGACGATTTACCGAAGGATTTAGCAATGATAGTAACATCTTGCTGGAAAGAGGATCCAAACGATCGACCAAACTTCACCGAGATAATTCAAATACTTCTACGTTGCCTCTCCACAATCTCAGCAACTGAGCTTGTTCCTCCGTCCATTAAACGTGTATTCTCGTCGGAAAACACAGTATTGCCACCCGAATCGCCGGGAACTTGCTCACTGATGGCTGTTAAAGACGGAGATCAGATTCCTACGGATGCAAACCCGCAGAAAGAAGTTAGAGGAAGCTTCTTCTTCTTCTGCTGCTAATATTTGATTTATTTTGTTATAAAGTGAAAAATGAGAGAAAGTGGTTTGAAAATGTAATGAATAATTTGAATGACAATGGCTTAGAGTTAATAATGTGAAGAAGTTTCCTTTGTTTGACGATTCTGAATTATACTAAGAACCGGAAGTTAAAAATGTTTTAGCTTAAAATTCCAAAAAAAAAGAGAAAAAATCGCCGTTGCCGGGGATCGAACCCGGGTCACCCGCGTGACAGGCGGGAATACTTACCACTATACTACAACGACCTTGTTGCTAAACAAAATAGTTTTGCTTAATTGAACAATCTTGACTGCAATATTGGTCAAGAAATTGTATCTTCTCCATTTCCCATCTTTGACACTATTATTTGAAACACATTAATTCTTCAGCTCATTTTTGTTTGGTTTTTGAAAATTCTAATCTTGAAGGGAATTGAAGTTGATAAGCTATATAACCAATTCAAGAACCTTAAGTAATCAAAAACAATGTTTTCAAGACCAATTTTATAACCGGTTTAAAAAACTCAAAAAGAGAAGAAATGCAAACTACATACTTTTATTGGCAACAAATTAAATTACATTTTAGATGGACACAATTAACAAAAACGAACAATAAAAAACTCAACACTATACTTTGTATCTAAAGACTAGATTTTTAGAATCTCATCATCGCAAAGAGACGTCATTAAATCATTTGGTAATAATCCCCAAACAAAAAGATTAAAGAACATTTCTTTTTTTTTTTTTTTTTTTTGCTAAGAATGTAAATATTTCATTAGAAAATGAAAAAATTAGGAATTACAAAAATGTAAAACCTATAGTTTGGTCCCATGGCAAAAAAGAATAAAAAACATGGAAGCAAATATCAATCGGTCCATTGACGTCAACAAAAACAGTTAAGCTTTCGGAATCAATGAAGCGATACAACGATTTTGATGAATCGCATATAAGACACCTCAAGGAAGAAGTTAATACTGTCAAACGGCGAAGGTCGAAACAAAAGAAAAACCAAGCGGATGGAAGCCTTTCACCGGTAGGCCGAGAACACTGAGCCGTCAACGGCGAAGCACACATAGCACACAACCAGGGACTCCTCTCGCATCACTAGAATACGGCTTTATGAACTTTCCATGAGCTCTCACAGAACGGAACCACACGAACCAAATGAAACTATAGCGCTAGCTCACTCTACCAAGCTCATTTCCCCGAGGTCGGATAGCGCAGAGCAAATCCATCATTTCAAAACAACGCTACACATCCGGATGGTCTTACTAGCTCCTCCAAACACGAAGTTATTCAATCCCCAAACCAAAGCACAAGCCAACACAAAGCATCTCCCCTAAGAGGCAGCAGAAAAATTAACCGAGTGACTGATTTGTCTTTCTCTTCTTCTTCCTCTACTCTACACATTTCTTCTACTTTTGACACATTTTTGATGATCCCTTCTCGTTGTTAAATTTATTTTAGGCCCAAGAAGAACCAATATCCGAGTGACTGATTTGTCTTTTCGTTTAACGTCTACCTTCTCATTAATGTCATTATGGACTATATCAAAAGTGTAACTATGATTCTTAATTAATAGGCATTTCATGACCGTATAGATTTACTAGGAAAAAAAAAATACAAACTGAAAACATGAACACAAACGAAATAAGCCTATTAATTAAGAATCATTGTTACACTTTTGATATAGTCCATAAAATTAAGAATTATGCAGTTTAATGGAATAAAATTACCATAGTTCATATAAAGTCATTCTTCATGGTCATATATATTAAGGTAAAGTTTTCTATTATTGTGAAGTTGATACAAAACTATATTCGACTTATATTTTATCTGGACTTTATGCTAAACTGAAAAACAAGCTCATACTTGTTTTTGTTTTCAACGACGTACTATATAATCCTATTAATCAACTTTATCTTCTTTTTTATGTTAAACCCTAGTCTTATATTTTCAGCTGCCTGATTCTATAATTTTTATGAAGAAAAAATACTAGTGCTCTTATTGAGTAAGAAAAATTATGGGTCCTATGCTTTGGCACACACTCTGCACACCTCAAAATAGAACATCGATGCATGTAAACCACATCTGGAAACAAAGGAAAAATATACTTCATAACCTGCAATTCATCAGTCCTTTGCTTATTTTCAAGCACATTGACCGTGAGGTGCGCAACACCATCACCGCCAGAAGACATAGAAGACTATGGAGAAATCTAATGCTTCTATGGATTCAGTAACTTTCTTATCTCACCAAATTTTATTGTAATGTTGTTTTTTTTTTTTTTTGCCAAGATTACTCTTAGTAGGTAATGCTCTCTTGTATAACCTTAACATTTCATTAATAAAATATTAAAATTTTTAGCAGAAAAAAGAAATGATCTTTGTAGTATATGTAGAGGTGTTTATTGTGCAATCGTCTTAAATTATTCCTTTTATTTTCAATTAATACCAACAAAAAAAAAACTTAAATTTGTTCATCAAGATGATACAACAAATAACACAAAATTAAACTCAAAAAAATATATTTAAAACTGTTGTAATATGGTTTAAAATTAACTAATAAAAAATTTCAAATCCTATATAGATTTACAAATCAATAAACCAATAACACCCCTTTTAACACTTTCCCAATATGGACTTTTTATCCAATAAATGACAAAGCAGTTTCTTCTTCGTCCCGAAACGACGTCGTATCGTTCTTGACCTACGAATCACATTTCCCTTTTTCACCCAAAGAAACAACTTGAAATCCTTTTATTAAGGAAAAATCTGAGAACTGAAAAATCTAACCTTTATTTTGTTGGATTTACCAGTTGCAAAGATTGAAACTTCGTGAATCGTGATTCATTTCGAACAATCTAATTTAGATTTATTGGGTCTGTTTTCTTTTTCTTACCATATTTTGTTTTTGTTCGTAAAAACGATTTTTTGGTAATGTCGTCACCAGACATTGTCGGAATTCTGGAAAACACGAAGGAACTTGATCGGTTAAGGAAAGAACAAGAAGAAGTTTTGGTTGAGATCAATAAGATGCATAAAAAGCTTCAAGCTTGTAAGTGTTTCTATTTAACTTAATTCTCTAACAATTTTAGTAATTTCTTTTTTCTGTTTTTTTTTGTTAAAGAATTTCTTTTTTCTGTTCTAACAAATTTGTGTTTTTTGGGGGAAATTTCTGTGTTTATTAGTTATTATCAGTGAAAGTTTGGATTTTGGATCATGAAGTAATTATACAATGTCATTTAGATGCTTGTAAATATGTAATCAAAATCATGTAAGCTTTGTTGATTATGTTTTTGATGCAGCTCCTGAGATAGTTGAGAAGCCTGGTGATATCTCATTGGCAAAGCTTAAGAATTTGTACATTCAAGCGAAAGAGCTCTCCGAAAATGAAGTAACGTAAGCCATTTCTTTATACTTGTTACAATGGTGAATGAGAAAGTTAAAGACTTTGAATGGATTATAGACTAATGTTATCACCAAATGACTGAATGTGTATCTAACAATAAGATCTTTTGGCTTTGTGTTTAACGCGCAGTGTGTCGAACATTTTGCTTACTCAGTTGGATTTGCTGCTTCCATATGGACCAACAGGGCAGCAAAGAAGAAAACTAGGAGGTACACACAAGTTTCTTTAATTGAACTGTAATGTTATTCTTTGGCAAGACTTATCACTTATGTGATGCTTGTAATGATAATCACATAAGTGGCAGAAGGCAATGATCAGAAGAGGAAGAGGATGAAAGTTGATTCGGATGTAATAAGACTTTCTCCTTCCATGAGAAATCAAATCGAAGCATATGCAAGTCTAAAGGGTGAACAGGTAATCTTATAATGCACCTGCTTTCGTTATTTCGATCAGTTCCATGCTCACATCTGATTTATGCAGGTTGCTGCGAGAGTTACTGCAGAGAGTGCTGAAAAGGATGAATGGTTTGTGGTGAAAGTAATTCACTTCGATAGAGAAACAAAAGAGTAAGCTTTTGAACCTTTCTTCTGTATAGATTAGTTGTCATTTGTCAATGGCTTGATGTTATGCCCATTTTTTGAATATCTGATGCATATCTGAAGCTCAATAGATTATGGCCTTTGAGTTCTTTGTCTGTTTTGAAAATGCTTTCATCCAAGAGATATGGCAAGAACGCTGAAACCGATTGTTTGCTAAGAAAGAGTTCTGAGAAAGGTCGATTTGCTCTGGTAGTTTAGTAGCTGAAACCGAATTTGTTGCTAACACACACAAAAAGTTGTTGTTGTTAAGCGCAAAGGCTTCATTTATGAGTCTAAATATGTTTAAACTTTTTTTTATCACAGAGTTGAAGTACTTGATGAAGAACCAGGAGATGATGAAGAAGGAAGCGGTCAGAGGTAAAACTCATATGAAAACTTTGAGTTGTGAATTAGCGTTGGGAAGTATACTGAGATAGTGAGATATATTCTTTTGGAATCTGTAGGACCTATAAGTTGCCAATGTCATGCATTTTACCATTTCCCAAACGAAACGATCCTTCGAACACCCAAGAGTTTTCAATGGGTAAACACGTCTTAGCTGTATATCCCGGGACAACAGCACTCTACAAAGCAACTGTAGTAAGTACCCCTCGAAAGGTTAGTTTTTTTGTCACAAACATTTGCATCTATCTTTAAAAACTGTCTTACTGTCTAAAAACCACTAACCTCACTTTGCAACACGGTTGTCAATCCCTCCAACATCAGAGGAAGTCTGACGAGTAAGTTCCTCAACCTTTGTTTGCTTTGTCCTGAAAATGGGGTCTTGTTCATCTATATCATATAACAAGACTGTTTGTCTGATTAGGTACTTGCTGGAATTCGACGACGATGAGGAAAATGGAGCATTGCCTCAAAGAACAGTACCTTTCCACAAAGTGGTAGCTTTACCAGAAGGTCATCGCCAGTGAAAGAAAACAACGCCGGTATCCATGATTACACCAGTCTCTTGTAATTATCGAAGAATTCAGTATGCATGGCACGACCAATCAGAAAAAACTCGAGGTCATAGATATTCTTTCTTGTAGTTTCAGAGGGTAGATTGAGATAAGTTCATGTTTGTGAATTGTGAGTGCAATGTAAGTTAAAGCTGTGACCTTTGTGTTAAAGGAGATGATGAAATGAGAGAACAAAAGACATGTAAACTTATCTAAATGTCAATTGAATGAACCATTAGTAACTTGTGAGGCTGTTAGAGAAGTTATATGCATTAAAAGACCTTGTAGATGAGCTAGAGATTAGGGTAAGACCACACACATATTCGAACCAAACCGAAATTCATCAACCTGAAATTCGAATTTCACGGTAGAGACAATTTCTACCGAATTAGAATAAACCGATTTTGAATATCAAATATTTCATTAAAATTTAATAGTTTTATTAAACGTATACAAAAATCACATTTAAATATATTTCAAATAAATATGATAATTAATTATTTTATTTCATATTTTTTTTATATCCTAAACCAAACAAAATCGAATTGAAAAATCAAATGTAGAGGTTTATCTTTGATAAACCGGAAGGCAGATGTATAAACTAAAAAGGAAGTTCCCTTATTGATAAGGGATCTTCCTCTGAGGTGTTGGGTGGAAGAAGCGTTCAGAGGTATCGGTGAGGCTATTGGAACTGTCTCGGAGGTGGATGTAGCAGAAGCAAGAGTTCTTGTTGCTGTGAATGTGACTAAGCCCTTGAAATTCAAAAAGAGAGTCCTCACTGATAATGGGGAAGAAGTCATGGTATCTCTCACCTATGAGAAGTTGTTCCGGTATTGTTTTACTTGTTTCATGATCTCACATGAGGAGCGTGACTGTCCTCACCTCTCTGAATCACAAAAACAACTTAACAAAGATAGGAGAGGTGGCACCTTAACTAATGGAAGTCGCAGGTTTGATGAGGACCGTGATACTGCTGGACGCAGAGAGAGACTTCACAGAGCCGGAGGCAGAGGTAGAGAGGAGAGGCAAGGCTCAGCGCGTGGTCCGGTCCATCGATCTACTTCGGAACTATCCAGCAGAGCAACCATCCCTCCCTCTAGCAGCAATCCGCCTGTCCACCGTCATGTGCGAAGAAACCTCAATTTGACTGAGGAATCGCCAAGACCAGAAGTAAGTAGGAATCCGGTTTGGCAGCGTATTGGAGTGGCGGCTGACAAGATTCAGCAACGTGCTAGGGAGTCCTCCATTCAATCTTCGTCAGGTTCGCGTAAGAAACCTGATGATGTTCCCCAGAAATTCAAGGATCTGCGACGGCGAAGTGACAGTCACCGGAATTCCTCACGAAGGAGAGAGTCTCCACTTCGTATCAGATCACCTACTAGAGAGGAGCCAAGTCTCGAAAATTGGCGTAGTTCTAGACGACCCCCTCGACATCAATCAAGCCGGTCTGATAGAAATCTGTCAGCTCACCGTGATTTCCCTTCGGGGTGCGGTACTACTCCTGCTGTAATGGAGAAAGGGAAAGGCAAGCTTGTGGAGGTTGAAGAAGAACGTGTGTTGGGGGCTGATGAGGACGAGATGGAAGATGCAAATCCGGTGCCTAAGGATTTTGAATTCGGCTCTGGTTCTGGAGCTGGGGTAGGGAATGAACCGGCAGTCACTCCTTCGACTCATCCCCAAGAGGTCTCGACTTTACCAGGCAGTTTGGTTGCCATACCGGCGGAAGCAGTGGGATTAGATACAATCCTGGATGAAGCTGCAGAGGACATCAACGAGGAGGAAGGCTGGGTGGATGAGGACGACGGCCTAGTTGATTGGGCGGAAGATGACACGGGGTTGTCAGATTGGGCAGAGGACGACACACTGGTTAGGGTCCCTGAAGAAAACATGGAAGATCGCCTTGAGTTTCAATGCACCCAAGGTGGTGAATCAATCCCCTCTGATTGGGAGAATTTGGCTGATGAGGAAGCGGATAACGAGAAGGAGATCACGGAGGAGGATCTCCGGCTGATGCAAGAGCTTGAGAATGAGATGATTCTCGATGGCTTGCTTGACAACGACGATCTACTTGGAGAAGAGATGCTGGCTGGTGACAACGATGAGATGCTTGGCGATGATGAAAGTCAAGAGAGAACCATCTCTGAGGCCATTGTACCCATTTCCCACCAGCGGGTGGAGGTTCCGGCGACGTCTCAGTCACCGTCGAGCAAGCGCCTGAGATCCCCGGTTAGGGAAAAGACGTCACCAAGAAGAAGCAGTAGACTTGCTGGGTCAGGCAGTGGTGGGCCAGACATTGGCTTGATAGGCCCGTTTGTACAAGATGGGATGACTGAGCCCAACAACCCTGAGACCAAGAAGGCTTTTATTCCCCAAAGCCCAAAACTCTTCACTGCAGCATCCAGGAAATTAAAACTGTTTGGGCCTAAGCTCTCGCCAAAGAAAAGGTCGGCCCCGCTGGCTTCGGGCACATCTGGAGCAGTTCCACCACGACCGGATACCAACATCCCTCATCAGGAGGAGGTTACAATCAAGATCAACAAGGGTAAGAAAAAGGAAGCAAAGGCCAAGAAGCCTAAGGAAGGTGAGGAGGAGTCCCCGATCTCCCCCAAACCGCCTACATGAGGACAATTGCGTGGAACTGTCAAGGGGCGGGTGCAAAAGAAACGCGTCGCCGACTGGTCGAGTTAACTAGGATGTATTCGCCAGGTTTTTTATTTTTATCGGAAACCAAGAATGTGAGAATGTATCTGCAAGAAGTGCAAGTAGATTTAGGTTTTGATAACCTTCAAACCGTGGAACCCGAGGGTTCTAGTGGTGGTTTAGCTTTATTGTATTCAAACGATTTTCCGGTTAAGTTTTTGTTGTTAGATGACCGGATAATCGATATTGAAACTATTATTAATGGCAATCGGGTCTTTATGACATTTATCTATGGTGATCCTGTTGTCTCAAATCGTGAATATGTGTGGGAAAGACTAATGCGTATCGGAGTCTCACGACCCGAGGCTTGGTTTATCATTGGAGATTTTAATGAGATAACAGGCAATCATGAGAAAAGAGGAGGCAAAAAACGATCTGAAGCCTCATTTCTACCATTCCGTGCTATGATCCATTCGTGTGGACTTATTGATTTCCCTTTTCATGGAAATCAATTTTCGTGGATTGGACAACGGACAAATGGTAAGATTCGCTGTCGCTTAGACAGAGCCATGGGAAATGAAGAATGGCACAACATCTTTTCCCACACTAATGTGGAGTACCTAAAGATGTGGGGTTCGGATCATCGGCCACTCCTCGCGTCTATACAAACAAATCCGAGAAAGTTCTCGAGAAAATTTATGTTCGATAAAAGATGGATTGGGAAACCCGGCCTCCACGAAGCAGTTCTGTCTGGATGGAATGGAGACGGTAGCCGGGAAGACCGACCCATTATGAAAAAAATCCAGAATTGTAAACGTGAAATCTCCATATGGAAGAAATCAACCCGTACCAATTCGGAGGTCCTTATCAAAGAACTACACGATAAAATTGAGGAAAACTATGCGGATGATAATGCTTCCTTGGAAGAGCTTAGGGATCTCAAAAAAAGATTGGGCGATGCCTATACAGAGGAGGAAATTTTTTGGTACCAAAAGAGTCGCCAAAACTGGCTAGCACTTGGAGATAGGAACACCAAGTATTTTCATGCCTTAACAAAACAACGAAGGGCAAAGAATAAAATCCTAGGCATTCTAGATGACCACGGGGTATGGGTCGATAATGAAGATGGTATTGAAAGTGTAGCAGTGGGTTATTTCGATAACCTGTTCACATCTTCGAACCCGGTAGACCCGACTCCAGCCCTCCGAGATATCTCCCCTTCGGTTACACCAGCTATGAATGAGTTCCTAGTTAAAGAGGTCACTGAAGAAGAAGTGAAACGCGCCCTTTTCTCCCTAAATCCGACTAAGACTCCGGGTCCGGATGGGATGACTGCCCTTTTTTTCCAACGATTTTGGGAAGTTATAAAAGGGGATCTCACCAAAATGGTGAAGAATTTTTTTAGTTCGGGTATCTTCGATGGAAAGCTAAATGAAACCAATATTTGCCTTATACCTAAAAGGGAAAGACCGCGAGAAATGTCCGGGTTTAGGCCTATAAGCTTATGTAATGTAAGTTATAAGGTTATTTCAAAAATCCTGAGCCTGCGGCTTAAGAGATTTCTTCCGGAACTAATATCCGAGACACAATCTGCATTTGTAGCAGGGAGATTAATAACGGATAACATCTTGATAGCCCAAGAAAACTTCCATGCTCTTCGTTCTAATCCGGTAAATAGGAAAAAATTTATGGCACTTAAAACAGACATGAGCAAAGCCTATGACAGAGTTGAATGGGGGTTCCTCCGAGCTTTGATGGAGAAGATGGGCTTCAACCATAGATGGATTGAGTGGATAATGCAGTGCATTACTTCAGTCTCTTACCGGATTCTGATTAATGGCGAGCCAAAAGGGCGAATCCGACCCTCTCGAGGCATTCGTCAAGGGGATCCAATATCTCCGTACTTATTCATTTTGTGTACGGAAGCACTTATTGCTAAGATTAGAAAGGCTGAGACCGAGGGAAAAATTCAGGGGCTTCGAATTTCTCATGCGAGTCCACGTGTCTCACATCTTCTCTTCGCAGATGATAGTTTATTTTTTTGTCAAGCCAATGCCGTCCAGAGTAAAGAAGTCATAGACATCATCCGCTCGTATGGTGGGGCTTCAGGACAAGAGGTGAATTTAACAAAATCATCCATTATGTTTGGTAATGAGGTCCCATCCCCCATACGACAAGAAATCAAAGGGATTCTGGGAATTTCACATGAAGGCGGGATGGGGACATATTTAGGGCTTCCAGAGAAAATCCATGGGTCAAAAGCCCAAGTCTTCGCTTTTGTCAGAGATAGACTACAAACACGAGTGAACTCGTGGTCGTCGAAATTCCTTTCCAAAGGTGGGAAAGAAGTCCTTATAAAATCACAAGCGCAAGCTCTTCCGACATATGTTATGTCGTGCTTCTTATTGCCAAAAGCGATTTGTTCTAAACTTACTAGTGCGATTGCTAATTTTTGGTGGAGTAATAAAGTTGAGAGCCGAGGAATTCACTGGATAGCTTGGGACCAAATTTGCACTCAACTGTCGGAAGGAGGGCTAGGATTTAGGTCTCTGGAAGATTTCAATCTCGCACTTCTGGCAAAGCAGTTATGGAGATTATTACGGTTCCCGGATTCTCTTCTTAGTAGAGTACTTAAGGGGCGGTATTTTAGATATTCAAGCCCACTAGAGATCATTGTCTCAAATCGGCCGTCATATGGATGGAGGAGCATGTTGGCTGCCAAAGATGTTCTGAAATTTGGACTCCGCAAGACAATCGGTTCGGGGTTCGGAACTTGTATTTGGACCGATCCTTGGATACCAGACTCTCCGGCACGGCCACCTAAGGGATTATCAAATGATAGAGACCCTCTGATTTATGTCAACACATTGATAGACTTCGGGACTAAACAATGGAAGTTGAGCCGACTTCGTGAATTGTTCCCCCCAGAAGATATTACCCGCATTTTAGGGATTAAACCGAGCCTTAAAGTCTCGAGCGATGGCTATTGCTGGACATTGACAAAGTCTGGTAATTATACCGTCAAAACTGGATATGAAGCCGCGAGAAGTATTTCTCGCCCTGCTTGCGACCACCCTTCTCAGGGACCTAGTGTTATGGCACTTAAGGCGCAAGCTTGGAAATTAAAAACTACGCGAAAATTGAAACATTTCGTGTGGCAATGTGTGACAGATTGTCTGGCCTCAAGCCAACGACTATTTTATCGCCATATTGGTAGAGATAAAGGATGTTCAAGATGTGATGCACCAGAAGAAACGATCAATCATTTGATCTTTGAATGTCCTCCTGCTAGACAAGTCTGGGCCCTCTCCAATATCCCATCCTCCCCAGCCCTATTTCCTTCGCCTTCACTCTACAATAACTTAGATTATTTGTATTGGCGGGGCAAGGAGGCGGGTGCGGATGAAGAGAGTCTAAGAGTATTTCCATGGATCATGTGGTATATTTGGAAGGCGCGCAACCGAAAGATTTTTGAGAATGTGTGTGTTTCACCTCAGGAATCGTTAGACTTAGCAATTCAAGAGGAAGGGGCGTGGAGGCGTGCAAATTCACAGGAGGTTCCCCAGGATGAGATAGATCAAATCCTGCACGTACCACCAATTCCCGAGGATCGGCCGGTTTGTTACATCGATGGGTCCTGGCATGGCGAGGATGCAAGAAGCGGGCATGGATGGATTGTGTATTGCGGAAGAAGGTTGCTGCAAGTAGGCTTAAAAGGCTCGCGACGAAGTCTTTCTCCCCTTCATGCGGAATTGGAAACTTTAGTTTGGTCGATGAAGTGTTTAGTGGAGATCCCCATAACAAGCATTCTTATTATGACGGATTGCTCGGATCTTTTAGAGATGACATCGAACCCGGAGGCTTGGCCCACGTTCTCTTCAGAGTTGTTAGACTTTATGTTTTACAGGGATTCGTTTTCTTCATTTAGCTTGAAACATATCCCTCGTAGTGATAACTCTTCCGCCGATCATCTTGCGAAATGTGCAAGAGGTCGCGGGTTCTGCTTTTCCCATGTAAGTTCGACGGTACCCAATTGGCTCTCTCTAGAAGAGAGTTCTCGTCCGTGAATTAATATATGGTGTTTGATTGACAAAAAAAAAAAAGAAGCATTAAATTAACAAAAAACATAATATATAATGCATGGTAAGTCAATTTAATAAAGGAAAGTATATATAGGAATGGAAACAAATATATATATATATATATATATATATATATATATATATTATTATCAAAAAAAAAATTACATATATATATATATCTATAAGAATGCCTAAAGAATTAATAATATGTCGACAATTTTTTCATAATGTCGTTCTTGTCCTTTCGTGGCCGGATCAATTTAGTCCGATTACTACGAACCAACAGAATTTTCACCGGAGTTTTAAAGGATTTTGCTTCTTTATTTCACTTTCTTCCTCCTTCCTCTGTTGCGGCTGAGAAAACTATTGACTCGGTGGCTAAAGAGTCGGTGTTGAATTCGGTGGTGAAGATCTACAATTTTTCTAGCAAGCCTAACATTTGTTATCCTTGGCAAACTAAGCCACAAAAAATATCCATAGGCTCAGGTATATATATTAGCATGTGCATGTAGTAGCTATATAGTCACATATTGGTATGTTAATTACTTTGACGTATATATCTTTCGGAGTTTTGATTTAGGGTTTGTGATTCCGGGGGAAATGATTATTACAAACGCTCATGTGGTGGCTAATCACATATTGGTGCTAGTCAGAAAGCATGGCTCACCAAAGAAGTACAAAGCAGAAGTTAAAGCTATCGGGCATGACTGTGATTTGGCTATTTTGGTAATCGAAAGCAAAGAGTTTTGGGAAGATATGAATCCTTTGGAGCTTGGAGACATGCCCTTTTTGCAACAATCAGTAAATGTTATTGGCTATCCACTAGGTAATTTGAGAACTAATTAGAGCTTAAGTTTCCTATATATGAGGTTATGATGACAAGTTTATTATGTTTTGATTGGTAGATTATGTAATATATAATTCAGTTTTCCAGTTTGTGTTTTGGGACTATTTTTACTTCTTTTAAGTTGGAAAACTCGTTCGATTTTAGATAAAATTATAAAATTTTAATTAATATTATAGATTTTAATATATTTAGTATTTCTACGCATCAATGAATATTTACATTCTTAACAAAAAAATTCAATTGTAGGTGGTGAGAGTATCTCCGTTACAAAAGGTGTTGTGTCTAGACTCGAATCAAAAGATTATGTTCAAGGTGCCACTAATCTACCGGTACTACAAACAGATGCAGCACTTAACTTTGGGAATAGTGGTGGTCCGGTTTGCATAGGAAACAAAGTTGTTGGTGTAGCATTTCAAACTCTTAGACATTGTAATAGCATAGGGTAAGTTTTGGATGCTTTTTTTTTTTCTTTTTCTAGTGAATATAGTCAAAAGTTTAACTGAAAACTTTTTGTGGTTTTCACCAAAACAGGTACTTAATCCCAGCTCCAGTGGTTAAACATTTTATAGCCGGTGTTGAAAAAACCGGTCGATACATTGGCTTCTGCTCGCTGAATCTATCATACCAACCTATGGATGCACATTTTCGTAGTCATTTTAAGATGAATTCTGAAATGACAGGGATTCTTATATACAATATTAATCAACATTCGGATGCTCTCAATATTCTTAAAAAATATGACGTTATTCTTGCAATCGATGGCGTTGCTATAGAAAATGATGGTACAGGTAATACACATTTATATATATTTACTTATTTATCTCCATATGTGTTGATGTTATTGCTGAGTTTATGTAAATTTGTTGCAGTTATTTTACCAAACAGAGAAAGGATAACGTTGGATAATTTGGTTTCTATGAAGCAATTAGGTGAAACAATCCTACTTAAAATTTTAAGAGAGGGTAAAATACATGAGTTCAATATTACTCTAAAGCGAGTAAGTCATATTAATTATTGTGAATCAATAAATCATTGGGATTACATTTTATTAGTCTAAATTAACGGATGATTTCCCGAACATTGGCTTATTTGAGCTAATTTAATATAGCTGTTGACAAAAAAAAATTAACGGAAGATTATTTGAACTAATTTGTTGTCGTCTACTCTATGAAGGTGCAACGGCTAGTTCCAGCAGGTCAATTTGACAACAACCCAAGTTACTACATATTCGCTGGTTTTGTCTTTGTGAATCTCCGTAAACAACACATTAAAGGTTCCAACGTTGAACAAATTGTCATTATTTCTGAGGTTTGTACCTTTTCTTTTCTAATATTAAATACATATATAAATATTCCCAAAAAGATTGGTGAAATGAGCATCTATTTTAATTCTTATTGAGAAAATTATTACTTCTCTAATTAAGTGAGCATCTATTTTTGTTTTTTATTGTAGGTATTAGCTGATGTGATCAATGTGGAATACTACATGTTCAAGAACTTGAAGGTAATTAACAAAGGATCATTAGTTATGAATTTTACTAAAATGAGTCTATTTTTGTGCAAAGTATGTATATGTTTTGTGATGGAAACAGGTGAACAGCGTCAACAAAGTGAAGGTGGAGAATCTAAAGCATTTGTGTGAACTCATAGAGAAATGTTGTACCAAAGATTTGAGGTTAGAATTAGGAGATGGTCGAGTTATAATCTTGGATTATCAGTCGGCGAAAAGTTCCACTTCTTTGATTTTGGAACGTCATAGAGTACCATCGGCAATGTCCAAAGATCTCATGATTGAACAATCCAAGACATGTTTGAGTACGAAATTATATTAATATTAGTATACTTTAAATTTCGGTTTATTCATTTCAGTTGCACTAAATTCAGCTTTGGTTTAATTGATTCTCTACAAAGTATTGTTACCGATCGCGTCAAAATAAAATTTGGTTTTAGGATATCCTTGAAATCAAGGAAATTCAGCTTTTAAAAATAAAATTTGGTTTTAGGACATCCTTGAAATCAAGGATATTTAGCGTTGGTTTAATTGAAACAAACTTAAATTTAGTCCAAGTGTTAGGATATCCTTGAAATCAACGGGCAATAAAAAGAAGATAATATTAAAAGAGTTGAAATTCATTTGACAAAAAAAGAGAGAGTTAGAGCATCTGGTCTGAAACTTTGTTGAGTGTCTGATAAATAAAATAATATTAATTTTTTTATTATTTAATTATTTTATTATTTAATTGTTTATTTAAACCAATCAGAAGAAGACAACTGTAAAAATGAGTGTCTCAGAGTTTCTCATTTGAGAAACGTTTCTGTCTTCTTTCCTCATTTTTTTAATTTTTTATTATGTTTTATTGGAGATTGTCTCACCTACACTCCCATTGGAGATGGTCTTAGAGCATCTCCATCCGTTAAAAACTCAATTGGGTGTCTCAGAAATAAAATAATATTAATGAGAAATTGTTAAAAATGCCCCTTTTTCAATACCCCTTTTCAAAAAAGACCCCTTTGAGAGTCCATTTTTAAGTTTGCCCTCTTTTAATTTTTAATGACCATTTTACCCTTATTTGAAACAAAATTAGGTCCACAAAATACAAAATTTTTTTTGGCGGGAAAAGTGATCCCGCAATTTTCCCGCCAAAACACTTGTAAAAAACCTTTAAAATACCTTGTAAAATTTTCCCGTAAAATTTTTTCCCGCCAAAAAAATTTTTTTGCGGGAAAAGTGATTCCGCAATTTTTTTTTTTGGCGGGAAAATTTTTGGCGGGAAAAATTTACAAGGTATTTTAAAGGTTTTACAGAGTATTTACAAGTGTTTTGTAAGGTTTTACAATGTATTTTAAAAGGTTTTACAAGGTACTTATAAGGTTTTATAAGGTATTTATAACTTGTAAAACCTTATAAAAAACTTGTAAAACCTTATAACTTGTAAAAACCTTATAAAATAGCTTGTAAAATCTTATAATATCTTATAAATACCTTGTAAATACGTTGTAAAACCTTTTAAAATACATTGTAAAACCTTATAAATACCTTGTAAAAAACCTTTAAAATACCTTGTAAATTTTTGGCGGGAAAAATTTTCCCGCCAAAAATTTAACGCCAAAAAAATTGCGGAATCACTTTTCCCGCAAAAAAAAATTTTTGGCGGGAAATTTTTTTGGCGGGAAAAAATTTTACGGGAAAATTTTACAAGGTTTTTTACAAGTTTTTACAAGTGTTTTGGCGGGAAAAATTGCGGGATCACTTTTCCCGCCAAAAAATATTTTGTATTTTGTGGACCTAATTTTGTTATTTTCCTTATATATTTGTGATATCTTTTATTAAAAGAAGGGTAATTTAGTCATTTTGGACATAAAAAGGGGTATTTTTAAAAATGGACAGCCAAAGGGGGCATTTTTGAAAAGGGGTATTAAAAAAGGGGCATTTTTGTGAGTCTCCCAATATTAATTTTGTTCATTATTTAATTATTTAAATATTTTTAATTTATTAAAACCAATTAACATGAAACAGCTGTAGAAATGGGTGTCTCAGAATTTCTCAAACCAGAAACGTTTCTCTCCTCTCTCCTCCTTTTTCTATTTCTTTTGCTTATTTTAATAGGGAATTTCTCACCTAGACACCCCCAATAGAACTGCTCTTAAATTCCATGTATCACTAATCATTATTCAATATATTAATTTATAGTTTTTCTTGTTATCTTGGAAAATGAACTCTATGATTCATTTTAGGGTTTTAATCATTTTTAAGTATCATATAAATTAGGGTTTTCAGCAAATAAAAAATTTAAAAGTTACCATTTTTTGCAACTTAATCCATCATTTCCAAATCATGCATGTCAATCCTGCAAAGTCAAAAGTAATTTGCAATATAACATGTGTTCGTTACCGGCAAATTTGTAAAAATTAGATAAATAATATATTAAATCAAAATCCTCGCAGCGAAAAGTTTTGAATATTTTTAAAGTGAAAATATGTGAATTAAAAGTTAATTTTGAGAATATGTATAAGCTTTATATTGTGTATTATTTTTTACCTTGTATAATTGATTTATATTTTTTAGAGATATAAGGTAAAGTTGCAAAAATTGGAAGCAATAAAATTGGTAAGAAAACAAATGGAAAAAATCCTACCAAAAAAAAAAAACAAATGGAAAAAAAAAAAAATGGAAACATAACATTAATCATACATATTTTTATTATATATTAAAAAGAGAAAGTAAACAGAATGAAAACGAAGAAGGAGAATCATCATAACTGTCTTACATAAGAAAAGAAAAAAATGAAGAGGTTGGTCGTCGGTTCGATATTGTTGGTCGGCTCGATATGCTTGGGACGACAATATATTATGAAAAGAGCCATAACTTGTGGAGGTGAAGATAGGATCAGTTCATTGCCAGACGATCTGCTCGTGCGGATTTTGTTACTGGTTCCAACAAAAGATGCGGTAGCTACTATGATTTTGTCTAAACGATGGTTGTCTGTTTGGACGATGATGCCACGACTCGAGTACAAAGATATCAAAGCTGGCACTCAGAACAGATTTCTCGACCGTTTTATTGACTATTTATTATATTTATTAGGTGAAAGTGAGTCTATTTGGCGGTTTCTTAACGAGTCATTGCAACTCCACAAGGCACCTATATTAGAAAGATTGGTTATAGAGCTCGGTCCACATTGTCCTGTTGATGTTGATGTAGTAAAGTGGATTTCAAATGCAGTTGATCGCGGGGTTTGTGAACTAGAGTTTGATCTCATGTGGTCCGCAAAGCCTACTAGCTTGCCCAACAACCTTTATATATGCGATACGCTTGTGTATCTCCGTCTTTCCAATAAGGTTTTTGTAGATGTTGCTTCTCCGGTATGCTTGCCATCCCTCAAACGTATGAAACTTTACGATGTTGTATACAAAGATGATGATTCTCTTGTTAGGCTCTTATCGGGTTGTCCTATTCTCAAACAGTTGTATGTTGATCGACATGACCAAGACAATTTGATAAAGTTTAGCGTAAAAGTGCCATCTCTAGAGACCTTAGTATATACCAATGTGAAATCAAAAGCAGGATCTTTGGTCATAAATTCAGCGATTCTAAAGGAATTATTCATCGCAGATTTACCTACAACCTCTTGCTCGATTGAGAGCAAGCCTTGCCTTGATAAAGCAATTGTCGTCTGCCTAAGTTTTAATCCTGATGACAAGTATATGAGATCTCTTTCCTCAGTCATGAACCTCGAGTTATGTTTGATCGTTGAAACGGTACTTAAAAAATCTTTCAACATCACTTATTCTTTTTTTTTTTCAATTGTTGTGATCACATTTTCCACCGTTTGATTATGTATTGTTATTGACTTTATTGTAGGTTGCGTGTTGTCAAACCATAAACTTCTCCCGCCTTATAGAGTGTAAAATAATGGTTATTAAGTTAGATTGGTTTGAACCATTTTTTTGTTTGCTTCAAAATTCTCCTACACTGAAAGTTGTTCTCATCGACCAGGTTCGTATAGCGCATGCGCTAATAAATTAAAACTTCAAAGCAAACATGTTAACTATGTTCCTTGATGTTGCTTCACAGATGTTGGCCGAGGCTTTTCCACTCTCGTTCAAGCAACCGAATGATGTACCTCTATGTTTGTCAACGAAACTCGAGATCTTTGAGTGGAAAGAATATAGAGGAACAAGCGAAGAGAAAGAAATGTTAAGGTACATTCTTGCAAACTCCAAGTGTTTAAAAAGAGCTGGAATCGCTTTGAAATCAAAAGACATGACACAACACTAACACAAATTTCTTTTGGCAAATAAAGTCTGCCTTTTCTTTTGGTCTTTTCTCATATAAGTGGTATCAATGTTCCTCAAAAGTAGGAAGACATAATCTTATTTGCAAAACAAAACTAACAAGAAACAATAATGATTGAGACCAAGTCTCTTTTGTTGATAAAACTCTTACTGGACTTATGAACATTTGTGGATTATCTTATAATTATTAGCTGGGTGTTTAGACAAATAAAGAGTTTGAATGGTAATCATGTACCGCTTTGATAATTACCAATCTCAAAAACGTTAGCTTTTTTTACAGTTTTTCTTTACTATTCATTCGTACAGTTTTATACGATTCCTTACTTACCACTCGTTTACCACTAAAATATATTGTATAGTTTGTGTTACTAATCGGACTCCAAAATGTCTTCGGTATTTATTCGGTATAGCTATCGTTTCCGCCAAAACAACATTTGGTTGGTTTTGGTTAAATACCATTTGGTTCGGTTATGTTTATTCGGTTTGGTTCAATTTTAATGTCCACGAACTATAGAGAGAGTCTTTTGCTTTGCGCTCAAGTGAATCTCCGACGATGATGAAGAAGAAGGCGAAAGAAGGGAAGAGTCTGTTTGGCTCTCCGACGTTCGTTGATCTTGGAAACGGACGGCTCAGATGCGTCGAGACTGGTCACGATGTTTTAGCCGGAGACGTAGAATCATACGCTCGTAACAAACGGTGTCGTTTAGGACTCATCGATCACGCTTTGTCTCAGGGAAAGTCTCCTCTCAACATGTTCTCGCAATGCCCATTTTCTCGGTTAGTCAAATAAGTTTTTTTAAAAAATATTTTCTAGGAAAATCAAATTTTCAGTTGGGGTTAGGGTTTATAAGAGTGTAAGATTCAATCATCCACCAATTCTACTAATTTCAAGATTCAAGCATTAATTTTGGAGGTTTCAAATCGACAAATTTATACGAATTGCAATTCAAGCAAATCCATGGTTTTAACTTTTGATATGTAAAAGGAAGTAGAAGGTGAATCTTTGTGTTGTTTGTTAATGATGTTTCTCTCTGTTTTTATAACTTTGTGGATGAATGATGAAACTTTGATGATTTCTGAGCAAGAAAGGATGAAACTTTCAGTGTTTTTTTGAGTAAAAGATTGAGACTTTCTCTAGTCTTTGGATTTCTCTAGAGTGTCAGATTGTATTAGCTCAAGTTTCATTTAGATCCTTGCTTTCATAGTCATAGGTACTGCTACAGTATAAAGCTGGTTAATTTTCTTTTCTTGAGACCATTGAGGATATGAATTGGTTGTTAATTTCTGTTGAATTCAGTCACTGTGAATGCATCGAAAATGGTTAAAAGTTCTAATCTTTCTTCTGATTTTGAGCCTTTTGGCTTTGTTCTCAACATTGAAAATGGTTTAAAGTTCAAAGCTTTCTTCTGGTTTTGGCAGCATTGAAAATGATTGAAAGTTATAAGCTTTCTTCCTATGTTCTCAGCTCGAAACTCGTGTGCAAGCTTACTGGGGATACCGTGAACAAGAATGAGGAACATATCTGGAAACACGTGAATGGGAAAAGATTTCTTCACAAATTAGGTCAATAAATTGTTTCCCCCATGATATAAGATTCATTGAAGTCTTGTAATGAATCTTAGTATGTCTTGGCTTATAATGTTTTGATGTTGATAAATTTGATAGAGCAAGTGGAAAGAGGAGCTGGATCAAGTGGAAGGGCCGAGAAAACACAAGTAACCAAACCAAGACACAATCAGGAAGATTCTGGTTCCGAGGAATCCGACTTTTGGATGCTTAAGTCAAGTTCTGATTCAGAGTCAGATGAAGAGACTGATGAAGGAAACTGTAAAGGTTGTTCTCTCTTTTTTTGATTCTACTGTCATCTCGTATTGAAACTTAAATTAGATTGGCATCTGATTTTGGTACAGGTTCTCATTGTGATGCCAAAGAATCTGAAGAACTCTCAGAAAGGTATATATGTATATTTGCTCTTTTTATTTTTTACAATCATCCTTTTGATTGTGCCTCATAATAACTCAATTTGGTCTCTTCTACAGAACAAAGAGAATGTCAATAGAGATTGGACCAAGTAGCTTTGCTTCTAGGAAGAAAAAGAGTAAGAATGATGAGTCGTCTTAAGATGTTGTGGACAAAAAAACAAAGAGCACAATTTTATTTGTAAAAAAAGAGCCTCTTTTGAAAATTATGTGAGAGCTAAATTTCAAAACCGAATCATCCATAACCATTAATCACAAGTTCAAGCCAAATCTAAAGACTGAAATGAAAGCAACTAAGATTCGATTTTAATCGTTAAAATTAAACAAAGTAGAAAATGACTGTCATGTGAAGTAGAACAATGATTTCACTCTTAGTGTCTGTCTCTCACACGAGATTCATTCCTCCATAGCTTCACCAGCCACTTCTACAATTTCGACTCGCTCCGATAATGGTGTAATTTTGGTGAGTAGAACCTCTGATTTCACAGAGAAACAAAAATAGTAAGAAGAAGAGGAAGATCAAATAAAACGAGAACTTCAACAATCAGGATTGATACCATAAACGATTTAAGTGTTTCAACAAGTAGCTTCTTACCAGTTTTCTTGGTGAATGAATAGCCTTTGCTGCTAACATAGGTTCTTGGGTTTGGTTCCATGTAATTCCTCAAGTATTCCTTGTGCCCCTGTCCCAAAATCGGCTCACACAATAAGTTTCAAATCAAAGATATAGGTAATCCAAAGTATTGGTTTTGTAGCAAATCACTTTGGTTTAGCTTAATATATGTCAGTCATGAAACAAACAAATTTCTAGATAGTACAGTTATCTATTAAAAGCGGAGGAAGACGGAGTATGACAAACCTTAGTGATCACACAGATATCCACATTGCTACCACTACCAAGGTCGTTAAATATACCAGAGCATATGGCTTCAGCAACCAACTTGATTCCTTCGTCTCTCTGGAAGATTTGAGTCAAGCATCAAACAAACAGCCCAGAAGAAATCTAAAAAATATGAAGATAAATGTCTCTGCTTTACTTACAGTTAGACCTTCTTTATACTTTGCTTCAAACACTGACATGGCAGCAAGGGAACCAGAACCCATTGTAGCAAATGGTAGAGTATCAGTGGAACCGTGTGGGTATATCTGCATTTCAGTCAGAACGTTAAAGATGAATACAAAAAGAAAGAACCTGAACTATAAAAGCTTTCTACAGCTGAGAACTTTGATCAGGAGTTTAAAACTCACGGTATGCAGATGAGGCCCGGTAATATCAACTCCACCAAGTACAAGAGCAGCTGAGACATGACCTTGATAGCTGAATGATACTTCGGAAGTTAAATTAAATATGCTATTTAGCAAACATAACACGAGTTTCTGGTCATGGTGAAGCAAAAATACCTAAAAAGATGTTTTTTGAGAAGGGTCAATGCAGTAATGACTCGAGAATCTCGGCCAGTCTGGTATCTATGCAACCGCAACTGTGAGCTGACCATATCTGAACAGTGAGATAGAAATCAAAATAACTTAAGCATTGGGTTTTGATGGAGGTAACAGAAAGTTCCAAGAAATCCAACTTTGATCTAGGGTAGCAGTAAAGAAATTTGGAAATTAAGAAAATTACCAGTTACTGCTTCAGTGTCAGCAGCGGTTCCTGCACCACAACAGTAAATGTTTGGAGCCATGTAGTGAATCTTCTCACAGTTCTTATCAGCCACAATAGGCCCTTCAGTTGCCCGTGTATCAGCTCCAAGTATCACACCATCCTATACAAACAGATGAATGAAATCAGCAATCATCTATCAAGAATCTGAAACATTACGGAACACAGGAGCGCACACATAATCACATGTTTCATGGAGTGTTCTAAAGTATAAAGAGAGGTAAATAGATCATAAAAAGCATCAACGTGCTATCACATGGTTAAGAGTTGAGAAAGCAACAACCTCATACTTTCATGTTCCCACCAAACATATTTCACAATAATTAGAGGAAACTAATTGTTATCTTATCTAAAGCTACCAGGTGCCCAATTCACTGATGAGCAGCCATCCACAAACACAACTTCAATCCCAAAAAAAAAACTCTCTTTGTAAAAGCCAACTTTTCTCGGCTAACTAACTTATTAACATTTGCATCTGAGCCCAGAATTCTTAAGCCTTAGGTCACTTTGTTCACTTCCATAGTTCAATAACTTGCAAACAACCAAAATAGAGTAGTCACTATCAAACAATTACACTATGCTAAACATACAAAAGCTATCAAATCAAACCCAAAAGCCAATGCATTTTAGAGAATGTGAGATAAACACAGACCTTGAATATCAACCCAACAATAGTTGTTCCAGTCTTGAGAAACGACGGAGCTTTAAGACCCTTCTGTGTCAGCATATCATTCCTTTTGCACAGATCGAAACTAAACCCACCTTTTGGCGGTAAATCGACGGATGACTGCGTCATTTTCCGATTCACCACTCTATAAATCAGGAAAAAAAAAATCAAATCATCAGCCAAAAAAACGATTCTTAACGAAGTGAAATTTTCGAATCTTGAGAAGCAAAATTCGAGAACCAAAGCTGGATAATTTGATTTATAGATATCAGCTGACCAAAGTGGGAAGCTAAAAATCACATACTATCTACAGAATTTTGAAAACCCGTGAAGTAAATTCAAATCAAATAGTTGGGATCGAGATCGCTCAATGATGGGCAAAATCGTGTTGGAGTCACCAAAATCGAGAAGATAGAATCCACGGAGACGATAGTATGAAGAAGAAAAGAGCAAAAGCTAAGCTTATTGAAGAGTGATCTTACCTGGTCTTGAAGATTTTGCGAGAGGAAGAAAGCTCGAATCGGAGAAGAAGAAGAAAGCAACTTTAGCAGAGTTTTCTTCTTCCTCAATTAAACTATTTTTGAGGCTCTAATATAAATGGGCCTCTCTTTATCTTAATGGGATTAACTTCTGTCAAAATGAGCCCATTTTGTTAACTCCCTAACGATTAACGATTATGTGACTTCTAATTGTGTGTTTGCAAGGTCTAGATTTGTTTTTTATTCAGTTTTGAGTTCAATTTGATTTTAGGAAAAAATAACTACAACCAGAAATATATAATCAAATTTAATTTATACCATATTTTTATTCTATAAAAAATTAAATTTTAACCTTTTGATTTTTGATCATGCGGATTTGAATTCATTCGTTATCACCTCGATGAGAGTAACACAAACTACTTAGACTACAATATTTTAAACCAAAAATATCGAATTTAGATAACCCCAAATCTCACGATTAATATAACTAGGGGTGATCCAAGACTTAGACCATGCACATAGGTGATTTTATTTGAGTATCAGTAGCCCAAAAATTATTTTTTAATGGACCAAAGCATGTATTTGGGCCTGATCCGTATCAGTCCACTGATACTTTTGATACTCAGTATCGGATGACGTGACAGCACACGATTGGTCAGCTGAAAGCAGAGAAAAAAACAAATCATTTCCCCTTCTCGCGTCACGTAATCGTCTCAGCCATCGCTGCAACTGCTGTTTCTTCGCTTGTGATGGCTCGTGGTCACAAGATCGAAAATGTTTTCAGTGTTTGCTTTTGCAATGGATTTTTTTTTGTCTTTGCTTTGTCTATTACCTTTGACTGAGTTGTAATCTGCCGCCTTCAGATTTTGATTAAGAATCTTTTTGTATTCTAAATGGCTTTAGGAGAGATAGAAATGGAAGCCAAGTTTTTTTCGATTCTTGAAGATTGTTGGAGTTGGATACAAAGCTAGAGCTGAGGAAGCAGGGCGCTTCTTATACCTCAAATTGGGTTATAGTCACGAAGTCGAACTTGCGGTTCCTCCAGCAGTTCGGGTATTGTGTTTTAAGAATAATGTGTTTTTATATATTTATTTTTGATTTTGCAAATATTTTTTTTTTTATGATATTTAACCGGTCTCACCAATGGAAACAAATTTATTATCAGTATCATATAAAATCTCAAACAATAAACAAACATTAAAATTAATACTAAAAAATGTTAATGATACTCATTATAACTCATAGAGTATCAACTATGTGCATATTTGTCATAAAGTAATATAAAATGGATGATGGAACTTGAAACATATGCAAAGGTCCTAGTTTGCAAAACGGAAAGCAGCAACAATCGTTCAACAAAAAAAAACAACTGATAATTCTTTTATTTCATATAACAATTTCAAAGAAAATAACAACAAAAACAACATGAAAACTTGGCAGCAATAACAACAAATCAAGGAGAAAGCCCAAAAAAAAAAAAAACAGAAATACGAGTAAGGGGCATTTGAAGAATCCCAATGAATCCCAACTTTCTTCAATTTATATGCAATTGAGAGCCGCCTTATTAGCTTTTTTCGAAATCAAAGCACTTTGCATCGCCAAATGCATCTCAATTTGCATCCTCTCCATTTCTCTTTGAGCCTCTAACATTGCAGCTAACTCCGAATTCACCGAGCTTTTGCTTCCTTCTCCTTTTTCTTCTTTCTTTGCTTCTTCCTCTTTCTTACATGAGTGTAAATGCGTAACATAATCACATTCCTTGCAATAATACGACCAGATATTATCCGGTACAATGTCTTCACAAACATCGCATTTCGAAACTAAACCGGGTTGGTTATAAGGAGAACCGTAAAGAAGAGTGAGTGGATGTGCGTGATCTTCACGCTTCATTGTTTCAGGCATTGAAACACATCCGACAGTACATCGTACTGACAGCAGTGGCGGATCTAGAACTTTTTTCTATATGGGGCACCATTATTTACTTATAAATTATGTATAAATAAAATATGTACTATAAACATTGCTAAAAATGTTACATGTACTAAATTTTTGTAAATTTTGTATTGATTTTGAATTTTATTTTTAAATTATAAGAATGACTATTTTGTATAAATTTTTACTTGCACATATATAGCCATTAAGAAAAGAAAAGAAGACTAAATTTAGGGAAATAAATATACAATTAGTATTGATGGTGGAACAATGGTATTATAGAAAAGGAAACAAAAAGTTTTGTTGAAAGGAAAGAAGCGTTTAGTGCAAAGTTAAAAAGTATAATTACATGAAGTAAAACAAACGAACAATAAGAAAGAAGATAGGAAGTGAATCAAAGTTTATTTAGCCTAAGGCACGAGAGAAAATTAGTCTGATTTTGCCATGCAACAATCGAATAATTATAACTAAAACCAGAAAATTTTCAATAGTAGTGTGGGGCACGTGCCCATGTAGGCTTGCACCTAGATCCGCCCCTGACTGACAGACCGAACAGTTGTACGTGAAACTTGATCCGTACTCACCGCACGCATTACACGTATACGTTGACTTTGGGGAATATAGTAAAGTCAAAGTGTGGGTTTGGTGAGATTTGTGGTTGGTTTCACGTGGAAGGTCAAAGCATGACTTGTGCAAGAAGTAATCACAATCTGATGACTTCGTACATTTGAAAGCTGCACCAACCAGATCGAGATCACAACCCGAGCAGATGATTTCGTCTTTCGCTTCGCATTTGTGACCGCGCAATGGATGGTTGTGACTCGGGTGCCTCACCGATTGTCGTGAAGACATTGTTATATTCAATGTTCTTGATTTAGTTATTTGAGAGGTTTTGTTTGTGTTTGTGATTGTAATTAGCTTAGGGTTTCAGTCTATTTATAGCGAATAATGGAGAAGACTTGGTGATAATGAGTCTTGGTTTTGAATTTGACTATTAAACCAAGTTGTAGTTTATAGTGATTAACTATATAATTTGGAGAACAATGTCACGCTTTATGTTAAATATATTCAAGTATATAACAAGATGGTTCATTTAGGATTCAAAGTCAAGAAATGCATTTCAAAGTCAAGAGATGCATTATGCATGGAACTAGTTTGCGATCTTATTCACGCATCTGAGTTCTTATTAAATGTTATAATTAGCTAAATAACCCGTTGAAATTTAAGATATCAAAATTAATATGGAATTATCATTATCATGTTGGGGATAAATACAATAACGTTGACATAATGACGGATGTGAATGTCAAACTAATCACAATGCCTTGACTCTAATTAATTAAGGCCGATATCCACCGTCTATCTACTCCTTTCGTTTTGTTTCATACAATAATGTTTGTTGGAATGCATAAATACTATATTGTAAAATGATTGAATTACACTTTTTATAAGAAATGCTAAAAATAATAAAAGAATCTGTGGAGATAAAAATACATTGAGAAAAAAAAACACACTAAAATAGTATGAATTTTTTTTACTAAAAAAACATATTAATATATTATAAAACAAAAACCAAAAATATAAATTAATATATATCATTATATCTTTGTAATTGATTCGATTATGTTACGTTCACAACTTCACATGTTTGAAATCTCCGTGTGGGAATAAGGGATGAAGATCATGAATGGATCCTGAAATAGAAATGGGCATAATAAACAGATTTGGAAAAACAATTAAGGAATCCTTGATTGATTTGGTTTCCCCTTAGTCAAAAAGATTAGAATCACTGAGGAACAGTAATGGAAACTCAATCATGCAAAAATAACTTGTCAATTATGTCATTATTATGCATGATTCGAATTGCGATTCATTCATGTAGCATTTTCACCGATGGTCTTATGTATAAATTGGAATATTCAGACAAGGTCACACTCACACATTACATACGATCAAACTCGGTTTCTTACGGTACCATGTCGCGGTTTGGAGAAAACAATGGCAAGGGCATGGGCATTAAGCCCATGGTACGAACAATTCGAATTCCGGCGTTCGACAACTCGGATTTAATCAGAAGGTTAAAGAGGACGACGCTTATCGGAAGGATAATGAATCCTGACGTTCAGAGTGTTGGATCACTAGTTTTGATGATGCCTAGAGTCTGGAAACTAGAGGGCCGAGTGGTTGGGAAGGACTTGGGATTGGTAACGTTCAGGTTTGATTTCGAGAGAGAGGAAGATATTCTGGAGGTGATGAAAACGGAGCCTTTCAATTTTAATCATTGGATGGTTTCTATTGTAAGGTGGGAACCGGTTATACACAAGGACTACCCATCGGCGATCACATTTTGGGTCAAAATGGTAGGTGTTCCTCAGGATTTCTGGACTGATCAGGATTTCCGGAGAATTGGGAATGAGCTGGGAACGGTTCAAGAAGTGGATGAAGAAAACGCGAGGGTCAAAGTGACTATCGATAGTACTATGCCGTTGTGCTTCGAAATGTCGGTTCAATTCGAAACAGGTGGTGAGGAGGTGGTGGTGAAGATGGAATACGAGAAGCTTTTTGGTTACTGTGCTTCTTGTTTTAGTCTCCGTCATGATGAAGAATCTTGCCCATAAAGCGACTTGCACAATCATTTTTCGACACAGGAAGAGTGATGCGAGTCAATCGGACTACAACGGTTCACATTTGGGATTCAAAGCCAAGAGATGCATGCAGTTGTTTTCCGATCTCATTTTTATAATGTATGTTACAAGAGAACAAATTGAAAGTAATGAATTTCGTAATATCCAATTATCATTATCAAGTTGAAGGGTGTGATTCTCATATTAAGCACAATGCTTGACTCTTTAACTACAAGATCCTATTAGCGGATTTTGGAAGTAAATCTTCCAAAATTACTAAACTCAGTCTCAAATAATACTAGCAGATGACTTAATTACTCTCAAGTCTCAACTCTCAACAGTCAATTCTCTAATGAGAAAATGAGTTTTTAGATCTTTAATGACTGAGAAAGAAAAGCAGTTTCTTTTGGCATTATTCCTGATTAAGGATTCTTCTTTGTAGATCATAAAACCTAACTCATACGCAGGAATTGAAAAGAACTAGACCTCTAGTTACACAAACTTCATCTCGCAGTTTCTTTGTTAATCCACAAAAGTCAAAACAAACAAAATCATCTTCTTTTCATTTCCCTTAGTCCATGTATTGAACCAAAACTGGTGGGATCTTTGTAGTCAAAATTGTAAGATAACCCGAGTTTAATACAATGGGTACCAGGTTTTCTCCTTGTCATTTCCTATATACTCACAATCTGGGACAAGGAGTTGAGTATATATGTACCTGTACTACTCAGCTAGCGAGTTTCCTTGCACTCTTGACTGCGGCGACAAAATAATGCAATCTCCAAAGCAGTATGTTGTCCTGAAACAGACATTTGTTTTGAATTGTGTTATGATTTTCCATATGAATGATTGGAGCAGGATTCTATGTCAAGAAGCCTACCTCCTCCTCCATGTTGATGACGAAAACATCATCAGGCATTTCTTTGCCCAAAGCTACATAGTGGTTTTTGATGATTCCAGCAACGCGTTCAAGATTTTCTCCAGGTAATTCCTTAATTGATCTCTGAAGATCCCGCTTCTCTCCACGGCTCATAGGTCTGTTGATAAGACTTACCAAACAAACACATAAGTAACAAATTGAAGGTAGAATGTCTATCTATATATATATAGAGGGAGACAAGAAACTGTATATTATACCTGCATGTGGTTACCACATTGTCAAGTAGTTTCTCAAGCTGCTGCTGTGTCTCGTTCAACTAGTCAAAGCAGAGAGAAAAAAGAAAAGATAATAACATTAGATGTTTCGGGAGCTCGAGATGTGAACAGAAGAAGAAAGTTCCTTAGATTATTACTCTGGCAAGTAGATCACTTGAATGTTTGCCCACTATTTCCTTAACAAGAGCAGGATCAGACTTCATAAGTAATTGTAAATCATCTTCCACCTAAGGAAACAAATATGAGTAACAAAAGTGATTCCATAGTCATCTATCAGACGAAGAATGCATGAACCGCATCATCTCACCTCTTTAAACGAAGGATCCTCAGGAATCACAGACTCAGCATTGGTAGGTAAGGTTGACGGTTTTTTATTACTCAACTGAGACATCAGATGCAGTGAATCAACACGTGACTGCATCTGCAAACAAATTGCATACCTAATATTAATGTCTCTTAAAGCTAAGCGTCATGATACCAAATATGATTTCAAGAATAACTCAATGTACCTCATCAACTTCTGGAGTCGAATCCAACACACACTGCCTTAACAATGCATTCAACTTCTCTTTTTTGAGATCCGACAACTCAGCTCCTATAATCTCAGTAGAAGACTTCTTAGTATCCACATGTTTATGATGAGGGATCTTCTCTTTTTGAGACAAGAGCTCTTCTACTTGAGTTCTATAGTAGCCAAAAACGTCTGGTCCGGTTTTACTGCTCTCCAATGAAGGAGTCATTTCTTCCGCGGCTCTTTTACTCATAGCTGTGGACAATTCAAGAGATACAACAAACGCAAATCTCAGCACCAGATAAAAATACAGAGAACTCATACACAAGCTTCATAATGTCAATAAATGTTGAACAATACTACACTAAACCTCCATTATCTTTGCGTATAATCAACACATAAGCACAGAAATCTCCCCTAAAAGTCTAAAACCCAATTTTTCAGGTGAACCACATTCTTGGTCCTGAGATCAACAACAACAGTGGTTCATAGAAGCCCAGAGAAAGCATCAAGCAGCAAGAACATAGCATGCAATTCTGATTTGGGACACTATACATTCATCAATTTCACAAGTATGGATGAAAGAAACAATTTCACAGTGAGGTTCAAAAGCACAAAGAAATCGAATCTAGAAATCGTTTACTATAGAAGCATCGGCATATGTACATTAGGGTTAGGTGCAAGAAAACGAGACGAGACTCGAGACGAGCGATTTCAAAACCAACATTATCAAATAGCGAGGATTCCGTATTCGGATGCTGAGAAGAAAAGAGAACGAGCGAGAGGGAAACTCACCGACGATGAAATCGGAGAAGTCGCCGGAGATTAGAATCGCGCCACCGGGAAAAAAAAGGAGCAGTTAACACTGCGATGAAGTAGAGGGAAGCAAAGATTCTAACGGAACGGAAAATGTAATCTTTATCGAATCTCGATGATCTTTAGTTCTCTGCCTACGAATTTAGACTACGTGCCGTTTTTTTTATGGCTGGCAAAAATATGACTGCATGCCGTTTTTTTGATGTACACACGCACATCACACTCACACGTGGTCCATCAGGCCGTTATATGCAGTTCATGTTTTTTTGGTTTAATCACAGTACATTTTGTTTCACATCTCATAGATTTACATTTTAATGTATAAATTTTATTTTTATTAGTTGTATTAAAAATTAGTGTGGCAAGAAAGCCATTGTTTTACATAATCCATTCTAAATTAAGTCCATAAGAAATTCTAGATGAACTCAGATTTCTAATTCAGAATATTCAAATAGTATGTGTAAAACATGGAAAATATCTTTCCACTGTTTGTATTTTAATTTTGTTAGTTTTTTTATTTGGTAACTGATTGTTAATATATAGCAAAATGATTAATTAGATACTTAATGTGAATAATTCAACTTTTTAAAAGAGGAATACAATATATTTTGTTTTGGTAAGATAGAGGAATACAATATTGAATATACAACATTAGTTTGATCCAAACCCACTTAATTTGGGTTTGAAAATTCTGTAAACAGTTGTATAGAACAAAAAGGGTAACCTCTACCATATATATCACTAACTGTGATTAATTTATTGGTAGTACTGTTTATATATGGTATAAAGATATATGGTTCTCACATGCCACACTTAAATACTATTTTCTCTTTTGGCTTGCAATACAAAATTATTTATCGACGGGGGATAGAATGTTGAATTGGAATGTGGGAGCAAATTCCTCGTGTGTGTTCTGTTAACATCCTTGGGAAACTCGCAACCATCTGTTCTTCATGTTTAGCTACTCAAAGGAAGTCTGGTCCAGACTCGCTTCCAAGATTCTTTCTACCCGATTCCAACAGCATGAAATTAAATCCTCAAGCTCCTCATGGATAATTCTTTTGGACATGATCGACTTTTTCTGATAAAGTATTTTTTCAACTTGCAATTCATTCATTGTGGGCGGAAAGAAATAGTAAAAGGTATGGCAAATTCTAATTCCATCAAACAAACTAGTCCAACAACTAGATAAGCAAATTCAGAATATGATATCTTCCATTCGAGAGAAAGTTGCAACAAGATAACAAAAAAGCTTTTACATAAACTCTTTTCAATAAATGTATGTTAAAGTCGTTTAAACAAACGCTTCACTTGTTGTAAAAAGTTTTCTCGAATTATTTTTTCATTATATATATATATATATATATATATCTTATATAATAAAGAAAGTTTTTTTATATTCTAACTAAGCTTTGAAAAGTTGTCATTTGGCGCTCTTTTCTCTTTCAATTTTATTGCAGTAAATTTAGTTAATTAATTACTTTTAAAAAGGTAATTTTCACAAATAGCACAATACAAGTTTTGTTTCAAATTTAGTACCATATCTCCAAAGTTCCAAAAATAGCAAAAATTTAATATAGAAAAAATATTTTTAGCTCTGCGGATGATTAAAGAAAATGTCGAAATCGCCGAAAAATAAAGGACAAAATTCTCTTAAATACCATATTTTTATTTTCTAAGTTTTGGTTCCAATAGTTTTTTTTCCAATAAATCGTACTATTTGATCACTCGAAAGTCGAAACCTTTTATATGAGCTTAACGGGCCATTAAGTAAAGAATTAACAGGCTTAGTTATAACCTTGATTGAAAATCTTTTGTATATCCAAATTGAGTTATACTGGGCTTAAACTTTTATTTATTTAACAAACGATTATTCGTTTTAAATTCAGAAATTCGTTAACTCTGTCCAAAAAGGCCTTTGTTTTACAAAATCCATTTTAAATTAAGTCCATAAGAAAATCCAAATTGAACTCAGATTTCTAACTCAAAATATTTTCATATTCAATCCAACATAGTCAATCAATTTCTTGATAGACGAATCCGGTACTTGTGCTAACAACATTGAACATAAACGACTGAGCTCGGTCCAAGAACTACAAGATTCACTCACCAGCAAACAGGCGCACACAAAAACGTTAACCTCTACATCAAATTCATCAATCTTTGAAGATGAATGTACCATCAATAAAAATTATAGTTTGTTCTCGCGGTATTGGACGATGGCTTCAGGTTGAAGACGACCTGTGCAGATTTGGTGAACCGTTGAAAAGAGCGGAAACATCTCCAACCATCCACAATGGTTCAACACCTCGTAGACCTCTCTTGCTGTCGATACCCCCTTTAACAAGCAATCAGACAGAGACACAGAGAAACCACTTTCGAACTTAGGACTTGAATCATCACAAGCGGAATCGAAGATTAAATAGACATAACTACTAAGAGTATCTATGTTCTTCATAAATTTTCTCTATATATTTGGTGGTCTACCTGTAGCTTTTGCCCTTGTAGCATCTCTGCTTCAAGCTCATCAAAAGACCTGTGACATTTACACCACAAAACACCAACTAGAATCAGTTGAAGTGAAGTGGAGATCAATTTGATTCACAAAGGTAAAACCTTTTTCCTCCGCTTTTTGCAAATGCTTCCGCAACTCTTCGGTTTCTTCCTCCTACTGCAACAGTCAGTGAAAGAAGATTCAAAATGGAATCGCTGTAACAATGGACAAAAAAGGCGAAAATAACTCGGGTTTTATTCAGTTCTTACAGCAAGTTGTAATGACATCTGCTACACCGCAGCTCTCGAAGAAAGTACTGTCTTTAACAGATGGAAACAGAAGCTTTGAGAGCGCTTTCATCTCTCTTAGACCAATCCTCATGATTGCAGCCTAAAGATGATTTAAAAGTATATAGCTTGAGATCTCTAGAAACTAGTTACGTCTCTTAATAGAAAACAATAAAACTTCACTTTAACTTACCTTTGTGTTATTACCCATTTCCAAACCGTCCACGAAACCCGCTGCAATAGCCACTACATTCTTCAAGGTCCCACACAACTCTACTCCTTCCACATCATGGACCTGTTTTTGACACAAGCTTTATATGAGGAATTGTTTTCCAAACTCTGCAGTCCTAGATCATGGTAACAACTTAGCCATTTAACAACCAGGAACAAAACTAAAAGAAGCATCAAGACTTCTTACCGGTGTGACCATAAAATACGGAGTACTAAACAACTGAACCCATGTGTCTGCTATTTCTCTACTCCCTCTATATCCAACTGTTGCTTCACTAAACTTCTCCACAGCTATCTGTATTACATTATAATTAGTCACAGAAATGTAAAAACAGAAGTTACCCAAAGTAAGTCAAACTGGATCATGTAAAAACCTCGTTTGCAATGTTTGCGCCCATAAGAACACAACAATTGATACCAAGTTGCTTGGAAATGAGACTTGAGATCATACAAGGACCTTCCTTCTTGACTTCCATTCCTTTAACAAGAGATATAGCCTCAACATCTCCTGTGATCTTTCCATCTAATTTCTTGCATATACCATCCATAAACTGATGCGGTGTAACGAAAACCAACATGTTTGCTTCCTTCACTGCATAATTTAAAACCCATCAATTTCAAGATTCTTATCTGATCATGTAAAAGGAGAAAAAGTTCATGACATACCTGCATTTTCAAGGTCAGGATCCGCAACAACATTTCTTCCTAGCTTAATCCCAGGAAGGTACTTGACATTTTCCTACTCAAGAAACCAAGAAAATAGTTATGGAAACTAAAAATCATAAATCAATGAAGACCAAAATCACACATTTGTTCTTACATTGGTCTTGTTGATTACATCAGTAAGCTTCTCACCATTTGGTAGAACCTCCTCAAACACCCACATCCTCACTTCATCTGAAAATTATTGGGTTTCAATCAAAAGATCCATCAAAACCATTTCTTCTTCAACCATTCAAAATTGAACAATTCCCAACGTGAAAGTACAAAACTTTGCCCAAAGTTTCAAGTTTTAACAGATAAAGTTTGAGTCTTTAAAAACAATCTTTCAAAAAAAACAGCAATGAGATGATAATGACACAAACCCAAATCATCAATCATATCATAAAAAGAGAAAGATCCCAAATTTACCATGGAAAGAAGGAAGCTTGATGGCATTAGAAGCAATGAGCTTAGCAGCAACACTTCCCCAATTGCCACTACCAACGACCGTAACCTTAGATTTCGAAACCTCATTACATTCACCATTGCCTTGTCGGGATTTCTCGAGAGCAGGAGACATAGCGGCGGAGAGAGAGGAGAAACGAGAGGAGGAGGAAGGAGAATGTGAAAAGGAGAAGATAGAGAAGAAGAAGGATCGGAGGCGCATGGAAGATGGAGATTTGAAAGGGGACACGTTTGACGTTGAGAGAGAGAGAGAAAGCGAGTACGTGTAAGTAACAGTAGTAGTGTCTTCAATTCTCTATAAGCCGCCATGTTTGGATGGTTGGATCTTGGCGATTTGCTCTATGTTTCCTCCTCTTCCTCATCCTCTCTCTTTTTTTTCTTTTTACAATTATGGTAAAAACCAAAAATAAATGATGAATTTATGTTTCTAAATTCCGACCCAAAAAAATTATATTTTTGTGTCAGATTATTTACCCAAAATAAAAACATATTTTAGTTTGCGTATTTTTTTTTTGGTAAGGAGTTTGCGTATTTATTATTGTATTGAGTTTTCCATAAATTATTGTAACGTAAAATTTTTAAATCGAAATGCATAATTATATAGTATTTATTTTATATTAAGTTTTCCATAAATTATTGTAACGTAAAATTCTTAAATCGAAATGCATAATTACATAGTATTTATTTTTATGTTGAGTTTTCAATAAGTTATTGTAACGTAAGATTATTAAATCAAAATGCATAATTAATTACATGATTGTTTTCATATATGGAATTCAAATTTTGAGAACACTAAAATAGGTTCTCTTTCTCTCTGTTTGTAATATCCTCTCTGTTTTCACTTGTACTAGTATTAAACATTTTTGGCTCTGTGGAACCTTGGAACCGATACAAATTCAACAGTGCCTCCTACAATATAATGAGTAACACCTAAAACACATACAAATCAACAAATCGAACACATTAAAAGTATGAAAGAGAGCAAACAAATAACCAAAAACTGAAACACCATGATGTCTCAATCGTTGTGCTCTCGATAATGGATCCAAATGACAACGAATGATGTTTTTAATCTCCACAATCAAAGCACCCGCTGGCCTAGAACAATTTTATGAAGTCTTGAGTTTTTCTCTTTCCATAGGATGTATATTGAAGCTTGAAAGGCTAACATATAGCTTGATCTCTCCATGGATACAGAAACAACAAAACTAGCTAGTGTATGTAGGTTTCAGCTCGTGAGAATGAATTCAAATACCAAGTGTCGTTAGCTCAATTGGTAAAAATCCTAGGCGAAGCTTAGAGGTCGCCGGTTCGAGTGACGTTTGGGACGAAACTAATATTACATGATGTGGTTTCGGGCTGGGGGATTACGGGGTTTGGTCCAGAACCTCTTGGTATTCAAAATAAATAAATAAATAAATAAATAAATAAAATGAGAGAATGAATTCAATTAGAAATAAAAACGATTATACACTGTTATATATTGAACATTTTATCTTATAATTAGATTTTTTTTTATGATCCATCAGTTTCAATCATGTTTTTTTTTTTGGTCAAAATCATGTTTAGATAATTATTTTTTATATAATGTTATCAAAATCCGTTTGACATATTGCTCTAATCACAACCCACAGTTCAAAGTTATCACTTAACGAAAAATAACAACAAACGAACGCTAAAAATATATTAAACCATATTCTAAAAACTGTTAAACAATATACAAGACAAAAACAGCCTATGATTCAATTTTGGCTAACACACATAGACAAGATTTAAAGAAACACCTGGTTTCAGTAACCAAACATATCCATCTCATAATAGCTTTAAATCCCCAATTTATCTCCCATTTTTCCTTTTTATTCATCCTCTTCAATTTTCTTCATTGATTTCTCTACATTTTTATACCATTTAACGTAAAAGAATATCCATTATTAAACCAAAAAAGGATCAATCTATACATAAATATATATGTTTCGACGATATTTTTCTTTCGTAATTCTCCTCATAGGTTTTGCTCTAGCCGGTGGAGGTTATGCCGCCAATTCATCTTCACCTTCTCCACCGTCAGATAGCACCGAGAAATCTCCTCCGGCGACCCCCACCATCTCCTCGTTTAACTCACCGTTCGTTCCAGATTACTCCGATTACGAAGTCCCGATGAATCTAGCACCTGATGGTGTCGAAATCGTGCAAGATTACGTGCCAATTGTTCAAGATGAAGATAAAGAAGCTGATGAGCTTGAAGGTAAATCAGATAAGAAAGCAAATCAGCCTAAGGACTCATCAGCTTCTTCTTCTTCTTCTTATTCTTCCTCTTTCGTCGTCTTTGTCGTTGCTGCTGGATTGTTTTTATTTTAAGGGTTGATTAAACGATGTTGTTTTGGCTCATAATCCATTAATTAATTGTATGCATGCAACGTAAATTTAATGGATTTTTTTTTGTCGTTTTCTTTTGGTAGCATATCAATCTGAGATCCAATAACTGGTTCTTTTTTTTTTTAATCGAGTTGGTTGGTCAAAAACAAAAACTTACAATTTGTTAAATAAATAGAAATATGTCCTTTTAGTACGTAACCTAAAATCAACATCGATTTACACTTGCATAAATATTTTTCAATATTGTGAACTTAAATTGAGTAATCCGAATCATATCATTTTGATCTTATGAAATGCTATAAAAACTATTTAGAATTTGATCATTATTAGATCAAACTACAATTATTATGGTTATTATATATTCATCTTTTGCTCTGCTTATTTCACATAGTTTATTCTCTGTTTATTTTACACTAAACACATTTATTTAGTTTAATTTGCTTATTACAACTCATCATATAGTTTTTGATTTGCTTATTACAACTCATCATCCATTCGAAGATCACCATTTGGATCACAAATAGTTTACTATTTAAGTATTTATTCATGAAAACTAAAAAATTCTCTTTTACAATGGGAGTTAAACCAAACTATATAGGTTTTATAATGAAATTATGTGGTCGATCATAATCTTAAGAAAATTCTAAAAGCCTTTTTCCCAATAAATTTGTTTCCCTCCAACTTTTCAATTACTTTTTCTTATTTCTCTTAACAATAAAGAGCATTTAAATTTAAAATCATATTATATTATAATTGTCTTTTTTGTACTTCAACCATCACTTTTAAACCACTTGCTTTTGTGTTGTCGGCTTGCACGCGTGCGATATAATATTAAACGTTAACTTTTCCCATAATATAATGAAAAAGAAGGCAAATGATTGTAACACATACAAAGTTATTAATTAGTTCTAAAAGCTAATTAACCATAAGTTTTTAACATTTGACAAATCATGCAAACAGCTGTTAGCATACATAATAATCTATCAATAGAGGATGTAATTGATTTAGTAGAGATGTAAACTTCGAAGTCTAAATTTAGTTACTTACTTAGTTAATTTAGTTATTTTCATAGCTAACCATTTGTTATTTTGTAACTACTTTTTAAACCTTAATCTACTATAGCAATAATAGAACATTTCATTTAGGATAATGGCTTGTTCTCTTCTTAGACCCGTTGATTTAAATATGGCCTCTTATTATATGGGTTCCGCAGAAAATCTCCTATTCAAATTGATTTCTATAACTCAGTTAAAACATATTTTTTTTAGGACCTTTTTTTTTTATAAACTCTATCGGTTGATCCGGTCAGCCCCGGTAGGAACGCACCGAAGTGATACAGAGTGGACTTCTCCCGCGGTTCAACGGTTCAACGATTCAACGGACACCATGAGCTCCAAGCGGACTCGGGTCGAACGGGTCATGAGATTCATAATTTTTTTTAAAAAAAAATTTAGTATTACATAACACGCATAAGTACTCTATTGACATTTAAATGATATATAGCAGACAATTTTACAGTCAGAAAATCCGATCTTCCAACTTTAATCAATAGAACTAGCAATTTAGCAAAATACAATTACTCACTCGCTGTCCAACAAAAAAAAAACAATTAATCACTCAACTCAAAGTTTATCAAATGTGAGACAATACAACAAAATAACAAAGCATATACTCCTGCAAAATCAAGAACTTATAAAACTTCTAAAAGAGAGTCTTTAAGTGTGGATTAGAGCTAATTAATCAATTAATAAAGTAAGGAATTAATTAGACAGTAATTGGGAGATGAATATGTTTCAACTCCTTAAAAGCAGGATCTTGTAATAAAAAGACCTTATCTCCATCTCCAACACCAATCATGTGTAAGTATTCTCTGTCTTCTCTTTCCTTTCCTCTGAACAAGAGTCTTTGCTCTTTTGCCTCAATTCCACTCACTATTGCTATCATCATCTTCAATTCACCTGGAAAAAAAAATATCAAATGAGAAATTATATATTAAGTGACCGTTTTGTATCAAAAGATGCTCCAAACCTTTTTTAAATGTAAAATATAGTTAGTTGTCCTGTAATTAACCAACCAATTACTCGAATAAATATCAAACGCGTTATATTTAATTGCCACTGTATATATATAGATCATCCTTTATAGTTGCATGCATAAATCTTGATGAGATAAATATTATATTGTTGGCACTCCTTGACCGGTGATAACATTATTAAGGACGATTTATATATCAAAGTTTTAAAACCAGCTTTACAATGATATTTAGATTATAGTATTGATTTTGTTAGCTGGTTTCAATAATAACAAAAACAAAAAACATTCTACGTTATCATATTCACATATACACTATATAAAAAATTGAACCAAAAAAAAAAACTATGTAATTACCGAAAGTAGAGTTGGCATCAATGGAGATTTCATATGAAAGCTGAGAAACAGTGGAGACTCTAAGGCTGATTAAATCTTCAGTGTTAGAATCTTCTGATCTCTTTTGGACCAGCATCCCTCCAGGCCTCATCTCCCATTTTATGTTGTTATTGTTACATGATGAAGATGAAGATGATGATGATAATGATGATGATGATGATGATGATGATGAAGAAGAAGAAGATGATGATCTTTTGTTGTTGCCCGTCCCAATTCTTCCACATCCAAACCCAATGCAAAACCTCTTTGCCATTAACTTTCCCATTCTCTCTCTCTCTTTCTTTTTTTTTGCTTGTAAGAAGAAAGTAGATGTGCTGGCTTATATTTATAGAAAATGAGGTTTGGTATACATATTGATAAATTATTGTTAAACAAAAGGCCCTAGACAAAATTATCTTATGTTATAAAGCTAAAGAAATAAAGGGAATTAGGGTGTATATTCTTTTCTTACTTCTTTAAATTGATAATAAAAAGAAATCCTGTCGAAGTTACAAGAAATGGTCTTCTTAAAAAAAACGAAATACATTTTCTTCTCTCACAAATCTTTTTTTTACATTGTTCATAGCCCTTCTCGTTTTCTCTTCTCTTTTCATGATCCCTCTTCTCATATGCTAGAGAAAATGATATGAATCCTATTAAAATTACGGTTTGAATTTTTTTGACAAATACATTTATAACATTTTACACTTCAATATATATATATATATATATATATATATAACTAGTAACATTCAATATAATAAATGGAAGTATATTTTATTGTCTTACTTGACTTTCAATTTTTTAAAATAGAATTATTCAATACTAGAAAGCATAGTTCTATTTTAAATATAGAATTACATAAATTAAATACAAATATTCTTTAAATTTATCAAGTGTGTAGTAGATTCCTGGCAAAATGATCTGATATTTTGGTGATGAAAATTGAATTTTCCTCTAGTTCAAAATCTTTGGGGATGAAGAAGATTCATACCTTTCGAAAAGTATTATCAACTGTTACTCCCAAAATTTTCTAGTAAACAAAAAAAATGTTTTGTGAAATTTTGGGGGTTAATTTTTAAAAAAGATGTTTGAGAGTAGTTTCATCCTTTTCATAACCGAAAGATCAATGATTTATTACCTTTATTATAGTTGGTATTTAGATTATGTCGTGAAATTTTTCATAAATAATTAAGGAATAAAACTTACAAAACGTTAACTAATTTTCTAGTGCATGGTTCTTGAAGATTATCTTCTTTCTTGAAATTTGATAACTATTGAGGTAACTTGGGAAGCAAGACAGCGGACCAAGCCCGTGAAGCCCATCAAGCCCGTGAAGCCGAAGTCAAATAATATTCTAGATATCCTATTGTGATAAGGATTAAGAGATTTAGAATATTTACTTATTCATGTTTATCTATTTCCTATTCTAATTAGGTTAAACCTAAATTAGTCACTATATATATTGTATCAACTTTATTGAGATCAAGAACACATAATAAAGAGTTTTCCCCCAAATCCTCCTCTAGTTTCTACAATAACAATTATAGGACTTCCCATCCTTATCCATTTTTAACATGGTTTTGTTTAAATATAGGAGTCAAATATCTTTATGATTGTTTTTTTAGTCTATTACATAATTATTGCCAAGAACAACTCTAATTTCAACAATAGAATTGTCTACAAGAAAAATGATGACTACCAAACTGTCTCTTTTTCTGTGGTGATCTGTACAATTATTCAATATCTGATGTACTTCATTTGATTAATTTTTCTTTCTTTCTAAACATGCATGGGAGGTTTTCTATAAGTTTCAAATCAAGATAAATAACTTAAGAGTTAAGAGGTAGTGTAATACCTATGTTTTATGAAAAATATATTGATATTCAGTTTCTCTATTTTATAAAATGAAAAAACTGAACCAAAAAAAAATAAAAATCATATCGAACATACCTAGTTGTGCTTAAATACTAGTACTTTTGTAATGGATATGAATATTCTTCTATTAATTCGTTGTTAAAGGAAAAAACGTAAATTTCACAACTTTGCATACACTTTCTAAACATATATAATTTGTGTCATGTCATAGTAAAGCGTGTGGATTTTTGTGTTAGTTAAATAAGGTATTTGTTAGTTAGGTGAATAAAATCCTTTATATTCAATATTGGCCTCTAAAGATGTCCCTTGAGGCTTACTTTATGATAGAGAAGGCCGGTTTGGTTATCCTTTATGGTATCAACCCACGTGGGTCGAAAAAGGCATATTTTTTTTTTTTGTTCAAAGATTTGTATTCATTCATCAGACCAAAACAAGGGTCAGAGTTGCCAAGAATACAAAGGTAACAAAGCTTAAGATAAAGCATAAACAACATAATAAGGGAAGTGCAATTGCTACACAAAGATAGCTAATAAAGTTCGACGAAGGATCCATGAGAGTTTGTAGACAAAAGCTAGATAGCAATTTGGCGCAAGTGATAACACGGTTTGTCGAAACAACATCCGCGGACGAAGCGTTGGACGATGTAATGGTCACTGTCACTAGACTACATGACGTTGAAAGGGGTTCCATGGCCGAGACTCTCGACGGTACGAGAAGAGCTACATGGATTTGCTCATCGGCAAGGAGAAGGATGACTACGATTCTATAGTCGGTTGGGGTTTGCTTTAAAGCGTGGGACAAAGGGTTGAAGAAGCTTCGGTAACCACCGCTCCGTGGAGACGGGATCATAATGCCGTTCTTCTTCACTCTTTTGATTTCATAAATAATCTCCATAGGTGATTCTAGAGGCAGGGTTCTCAAGTAAAAATTGTACCAACAAAGCAACAATGGTAGAATATGTTTCAATTGAAGTCCACGATCAACTGGTTCCATGAATCTACACCAATGTTGGCTAATAATGGACAAAGAAGAGTTTGGACCAGACCTGGGCTTTTGTAGAAGTTGATTTGGGTCACACCTTTTATAGTTGGGCTTCAAATGGTTTATTAGACCAAACACTTGAATGGGCCAAGAGAGAAAACATAAGGGGCCGAAATGGGATAAGCCCAAAAACGAAAACCCTAGTTCCCCTTTGACTAGGTCGATGAGGCTTTGTGTGTGGCGGCTGGGCGACGACGAGCAGATGATCGGAGTTGAAAGAGACATCGCCGGAGGTTGTGGCAACGGAGTAGACATGGACGACGGGTTGCGGTACCATTTGGGAAGAGTGACGGGATCTAGGACGGGGGAGGCTTGATGGATAAGGGTTGACCCTTCCGCCGCCATCTTCATCACCGGTTTGAGCCATGCTGAAATCTGGTGAGGTCTGTGGTCGACGAGGATCGCGAAGCAACTAGATTCCATAGATCTAGACGAAAGTGAGAGAATAAGCCCGGATTCAAGAGTTTTAGCAAATTTGGCTTTCGGGGAACTCGCCAGAATCAAAGCCAAGTAAGTTTCATCGATTGCAACCCGAAGCTTAGAGTACTGGCGGAGATATGAGGTTCGAGAAAGTGTGAAAAAAGGATCTCCGACCACCAAAAACCAAGCTAAAGGAAGAGCACCGTGGTGGTCGGGAAGGTTAAAAAAGGAAACAAAAGGCTTGCGAAAAACGGAACAGACACAAGAGGATGAAAGATGATTAGATACATCCCGACGCCGGCGAGCAAAGGCTCCACCGGCGTCGGAAAATAGGTTCATGCGGCTGTCCTCGATTATTGTGCCTGAGAGGGTATTTTTGCTCAACCCGGGAATTAATCGGTCGAAAAAGGCATAAAGATTACATTTTTTGTTATTATATTGATTTTGAAATCTCTTTAAATTTCAAACAACATCGATTTTCTTTTGCTTAAATCATTGCAATGGCTAATGTACAAAACTAAAATCATTCATGTGTAAGGGAAATCTATTTGAATTATAAGACATGACATGTTAACTTTGTTGTTACTAGAATTTTAACTCGGATATGTGTTATTAATCGATTCAGCTTCACGATATGGAAAGATAAATAGATAATACGTATAGAATTATGGTACCTTGTAATATAATCTACCAAAACATGGAACTTCTTTGTCTCTGGCATTCTATAGTTTATTAGAACATTTTTTTTTTTGGTAGCTTCATTTTTCTTGCTTATGTCTCGAGTACTACCTAACTATTTGGCTGATTCAATCACTTTTTTTTTACAAAGACATTACAATTAGAATTGAATTTAAAATATACATTTAAATTTTTGTAGATTGGACGAATCAAACCGTAGAAAACTATGTTCTATTCAATCAAAAAGTTGTATTTCATGTGTTATGATATCGATATGATGATTAGTACCCAGTTGAATATCCCATGCATAGAGTTTTTTTTTTTTTTTTTACTACTTACCAAATTCATGGAATGTTCTCAAGAGGGCCAATTCGATATTATAAAACATGGAATTGTGGAGCGTAAATGGACTTGAGATTTAACCTCACGAAAGCAATAAAGAGAAATAGAAATCTAAAAGTCTGCCGGTCAACAGACATATATGACGAGAGATACACTACGCATGTCAATATATTTGATGCGATTTCCTAGAATCAAATATTACTATTCTATAATTCTTCTGTTAAGAAATCCTTTTAAAAAAAATATAATTTTTCTGTTAATTAATTAATATATAAAATCATACCGTAAAATCTAAAACATATGACGGGCTAAAAACATACTCTAAAGATGTCTAAGAGTACTTTATTTTCTTCAAACTAGCTAGATTAAAGTTTTCTTGTACGATAGAAAGGGGGATTCGAATTAGATACGAATCATACGATGCGTCACAAAAAAGTATATTAAGCAGAGTACAAGAGTTACTAATGCAAGCACGTTATGCATGACTAATTTTTTATTTTTGTATGTAAAAGAATAAAATCAATGTTTATGTAAAAGAGATTATGTGATCATACTTGTTTAGTTGTTTAACTAGTCGAGCTTATAGCATCGTTTAGACATTTATAATTTAATTGTAACTGCGGAAAGAAGTAAAAGTAAAAGAGACATAAATAAAGTTATCAAAACTTATCAAGTAGTTAGTGAGTTCTTTATTGGTCAACACACGAAAGATCAAATTTGGTTGGAATTGTTGATATTAGATCAATCTCTAAAAGTACTCAAAAAATAATCCCGAATATGAAACATAGAACACTAACGTCCGATGTCAACCACTTAACACTAAAACAATCTCACGTTAAGTAATTAATTGTGGCCTAGGAAATAAAGAGTACGCAACATAATCTATTTTCCTTGCACAATTAACTTAGAATGGATTATATTAAATATCGTTTGGAACACAAGGTTGATTCTCGGACGATTCCCAACAAATTTGCTCATATGATCTTGCTCATATATGGTAGCTAGTGACTAGTCGGCCTTGGAATCTGCCATTTTGGTTATTCAGTTAAGTTTGGTTTAGTTTCAGAGCCAATTTGAGTTTTGGTGGGGTTATAAGAGCAACCCCAATGGGTGACTCTTCATAGATTTCTTAGTATAAAAATATTGAAAAAAATAGAAAAGTAGGAGAGAGAAGTAAAAAACTCTAGACATAGTTTCTTATTTAAGGATTTTCAGAATCTCATAAGAGACATTTGAAGGTACTTGTCTTTCTATGAGTGGTTTATCTTATTTTCAAAACTAAAATTTAATTCAATAATTTAATTCTATAAAAATATTAATATTTTAGTTTTTAGAAACTCAAATTAGATCTATCACCATTGGGGTTGCTCTAAGCATTTACGATTTTGGAAGTCAATAATATATATATATATATATATATTTTATTTTGTTACGATTTAAAGACCTAATGATCTATGCATATTAGCTCTTTAAAATTTAGAGGCCAAAGCCAATGTTTCATCCCGCATGCCTCAAAGCCGCCCTTGTTTAGTTTTTAGGGTTTTTAAAGACATGTTTGAACTAGTACCACATTCTTTTTTTTTTTTTTGTTAGTTAATTATTTTTATTTAATGATTATTTTCATATATTTGGAGACGTAGACCTTAAATTTAAAGTTTGTTGTCTTCGAGTTTTTTGTTAGGTACTGATTGGGCCTATGTCTAAACTACACTAGGCCCACCAAAGAGTCTGGAATTTTATTATAACACATTTCATATGGGCTTCGTATCCTGGACCTGGAGAATCAGGTAAAGTGTCACTCCATCTGAACAAGGAGTTGATCGTGATGCCATCGAAATTTGAAGACTTTGGCCGGCTTTCTCCATCAATTTGAACGAGCTTTTATTTTTGAGAGGTAAGTTTACTTTGTCTTTATAATCTTTTAAGTTGATTTCAAACCAAAACAAAAAAAGTTAGAAGTTGAAAACTATGATATTATGTAATTCTTTCGCCTTTTTTTTGTTTTTAGTTTTCATTTTTCTCAATTTCAAATGCTTAATATGTTTTTCTAACGACTTTCTTCATATATTTATTTCCATTTTTAAACTGTGTTTTATATGTTATTACATTAAAAAAATCAGTTTTTTTTTTAATAATCGTTTTCTTATTATGTTTTTAAATAGATTTTAAGAAAAATAATAATCTTAAAATAACCTTCTTGTCAATTGAGTTTCACATGTTAACATTCATGATACCATGTTATATATGTTTTATACTTTTATATGCTTCTACCTTAAAACTAATTGATAAATAAATGAACACATATCATTTAGACACTTGTATTATTCTAGGTCCATCACACTTCTCATATATCATTTCACACAAAATGATATTTGATGAGATTGAGGGGTTTCTTATAACTTCACACACAAAATCTTATATAAAAATTAAAAAGTATCTAAAAAATACTAAAATTGGTTTGACCAGTCGTACCAAGTTGAACCATGATCCACGAATCCAATATCAAATTAGGTTTTAGTTTTAAAAAAAATCAAAAACCATAGAGGAAACAGCACCTGTCTTCACTTTTGATTGCTTTATATTTCTTTTTTCCCTTACTATATTTACGATTACTTTAAAGTCTTTAATAAATAATAAGATAATGATAATGTGATTCTTTAACTGTCACTAGTGTTGACGTCAGAAAAAAAAAACAAAAAAGCACTAAGTTTTTTAATTTTATAAATAGTTTCTAAATCTTATGCTATTAAATTTTATAAATAGTTTTATTTATAATATTTTCCAAATAACTGTATTTTAATATATATAGAGGATGTTTTCTACAAAGTACATTTTGAAAAGGGAGATTGACACAAATAGCCCCAAAAAAGTTGTTTTTTCCAAAAATAGCACCTCATTTGAAAAGTTCCACAAATAGCACCATAAACTTCAATTTAACTTAATGAAAATATAAGATAGAAAATAAAAAAGAGAGCAAACACTAATCTAATATTAAATTGAATAAAAATTGTTTTTAAATAGTGGAAATATATACCCTAATTTGGAAATATGGAACCCAAATATAATACTACAAACTAATATTAAAATAAAAATTTCTTTTAAATGGTGGAAATATATACCCTAAATTGGAAATAGAGAACCCAAATATAATACCATAAACTAATATTAAAATGAATCAAAATCTCTTTTAAATGGTGGAATATATACCCTAAATTGGAAATAGAGAACCCAAATATAATATTTTAAATTTATTTCTAATTTTTTTTGTTGAATAGCTTTTATATAAAAATTGTGGTATTATTGAAAAAAAAACTAGTGATAAAATTTTTAGATCAAAAACACTAATAATAAGTTAAGTAGTGCTATTTTTGGAAGTTTATGGAGTGTGTGCTATTATTGTCAATAAAACTTGTTTTAGGGCTATTTTTAGGAATTTCTCATTTGAAAAAGTAATAACTGGAGTATATAGAAATTTAGAAATATTATATAAGGTAATAATAGAGCAATTTAAAAAGTTTTAATTTCAAAGTCGTAGATATTAAAATAAAATGAGGTATGTTTGGTTAGTAATTTAAAGAAAAAAAAATATATGTGTTTGGTAAATGTTGTTATAGATTTTTTTTTTAAAAGTAAAAATGTTGGTTATGCAACTACTCCACTAGAAGCCGAGACAAAAGCCTTATTAGTAGCAATGAATCAATCATGGATTCGTGGACATAAGGCCATAATCTTTGAAGGGGATTGTGAAACGTTAATCGAAACAGTCAACGGTTCAAAGAAGATCGGCTCATTGACAAATCTCCTTAAGGATATCAAATTCTGGGAAAAGAAATTTCAAACAATTCGTTTTGCTTTTGTTAAAAGAGATGGAAACATGGCAGCACACCTTCTAGCAAAATTTGGTTCTATATCCTCTGTTTTTTATTCAAATTCTGTAATTCAGCCATGTTGGCTCCAAAACCAACTTTGTATTGACTTTTCTAATTTAATATAAGTATGCTTTGACGAAAAAAAAAAAAAAAAAAAAAAAAAAAAGTAAAAATGTTATAAACTTTGCCATATCAAATAATAAATTATATTAATAGAAGATTATTCTAAAGTAATAAACAATAAGATAATGATAATTGTGATTCTTTAACTGTCGCTTAGTGTCGACGTCACAAAAAAAAAAAAATCACTAAAATTTTTCGGTTCCTGTCGTTTTCTCTTAGACCTTTTTCTCGTGCTTCTCTCTCAATACGAGGAGGTGGTGTTGGCTCATGCGTCCACCAGCACAAAAACCGATCACCAAGAAAACACACCCGATTTATTTAGCTGACGAAATTGAAATAATGTAAAATAGAAAAATACATTAATTTATTTCTTGCTTTAAATATATTTTTGGTTTAGGGTTTATAGACGGTTTCTTGCTTAACCGTCAAATCCAATGTGTATGCCATTTTCTTCTCTCTCTCTCTCGAATCTTTCGTGTTGTTTACTGTTCAAAATTGAAATTTTAAATATAAAAAAAAAGATCTCGAAATCCTCGGACAGAAGATAACTTGTTCTGCTTCTTGTCGTGTCTGTCACAGTTTGAATTTCTCTCTCTCTTCCTCATAAAAATCTCTACTTTATCTTTTCTTTTCAAAGGGTTTCATTTTGATTCGGTTTCTCTGATTCTAGGGTTCTAAATGCGACATTTTGACTGATGGGTCTCTGTTGAATTTGAAGAGAAAAAGAGTGAAAGATAGTTCTAATGGAGCCTCCAACGGGAATCTTGGCTTCTCTGTGGCAGTTTATACTCTTTATTCCTTATTTCACTGGATTACTGCTTCTTGGTGTCATTAAAGGTAACAAATTTCAGTTTATTTTAACCAAAGTTTCAGACTTGAATTCGATGATGTTGACATGATGAGATTGCCTACTTGATTTGTGTAGGGCTCCTCCATTAGGATTGTTTTCATTTATTCATCAAACTGCTTCAACAGTTACTGAAATTAGCATTTCTAACCATTTTAGGGCTCTTTAATTCCATAAAGTTCCCTTTTTAATTGATGGAAACACCTAATTCATTAACTTTGTTCTGTTTTAGAAATCTTGCTCACTAGTTCAATGGCTTAGTGTTTATCTAAGAGTAATTAATTGTTACATTCATTCATCAAGTGCTTCCGAAGTTAGTGAATTAGCATTTCCATTTTCATCTGCTGAACAATTTTGTGTTCTTCAGTACTATAAATCTATGAAATTTTGTTCTTTTACTAGTCTGGTTCACTAGTTTTGTGGAAATGAATTGTTTTGATCGTTTGTTTACTTCTTTGTTTGCATAGGCATCGTTTTCTGCCCGCTTATATGCGTTATTGTGGCTATTGGAAACTCTGCAATCATCTTAGGCCTTTTACCGGTACACGCGATTTGGACTCTATATTCGATAGCGAGGTACTTTCTCTTACTTTTAAAGAATCTCTGTCCTCTACAATAATACCATTGTTAGTTACATCTTTCGATGTTGAAGTGTTTTTGTTTGATTTTCAGTGCTAAACAGTTAGGACCGATCTTGAAGATCTTTCTGTGTTTATGCGTTCCTCTTGGTGTCATCCTCTGGCTTGTGGTTAGTATCGTAGGGAGTATTCTCGGAGGAGCTATATATGGTTTTCTTTCTCCAATATTTGCTACATTCGATGCTGTTGGCGAAGGGAAGTCTAATCCGTTTTTCCATTGCTTTTATGTAAGTCTTTTGTTTGCTCCATTTCTCGTGCTATTTGCTATTGTAAATTTTATTATTCAAGCACATTACTCTATTGTTTAGGATGGAACTTGGAGCACTGTTCAAGGCAGTTTCACCGTTGTCTGCGATTTTAAAGATGTTTGCTTTCACTCCTACTTTTCTTTTATGGATGATCTTCGAACATCTAGTGCGGATCGTCACTATTATGAAATAAGGTCTGCTGAAAAATTCAGTAAATTGTGTGTACTGATTATTCAACAGTGCTTTCTTACAGTTTGCACTTATATTTCTCAGGTTACTTCAAATTCCAGGCGCTGTCATTGTTGCGGTTCTCGGAATTCTTGTTGATTTTCCAGTAATTTCACTCTTAGCATTGTGTAAAAGCCCGTACATGTTGTTCAAAGGGTGGCACCGTTTGTTTCATGATCTCATTGGACGTGAAGGTCCTTTCTTGGAAACAATGTGTGTCCCAATCGCAGGCCTTGTGATCTTACTCTGGCCTTTAGCTGTTGTTGGAGCAGTTTTAGGATCCATAGTCTCTAGTGTCTTCCTTGGTGCTTATGGTGGTGTAGTCTCATATCAGGTTATTTAACAATGACTTTTCTATTTTAGGAAAATGTGAATTCTGATGATATTGAATCGGTTTCACTTGTCACAACACAGGAGTCATCGTTCTTCTTCGGTCTCTGCTATGTTGTTGCTTCTGTTTCTATTTATGATGAGTATAGCAACGATGTTCTTGACATGCCTGAAGGTTCTTGCTTTCCCAGGTTTGTCTCTAATGGCTTATATAGCAATCTTTTTCTCCCTCTCTCTTTATTCTAAAACTGGGGGTTTGGTTTTCTTACAGGCCAATATATCGAAGAAACGAAGAGGTCGCTAGTACGGCACTTTCTGGTGGTCTGTCAAGACCAAACTCTTTCAAGACAACTCCATCAAGAGGAGGATCAAACAAAGGCCCAATGATTGACCTGAAACCGCTTGATGTACTCACTAGCCACACTCTTCTTTTGTTCTATCCTTGGTTATCTCTGTATTTAAACTTGAAACCTATTGTCTTGATATTTGCAGCTTTTGGAGGCTCTATTTGTGGAATGTAGGCGACACGGAGAGATTATGGTAACGAAAGGGATTATAAATTCAAAAGACATTGAAGAAGCTAAATCTAGCAAAGGCAGTCAAGTGATCAGCTTTGGCTTACCTGCTTATTCCCTTCTTCAAGAGCTTTTACGCTCTATCAAATCTAACTCCACCGGTTTATTACTCGGTATGTTGCAATGTTTCAACAGTTTTCCATCAATTCCTAACCGCATTATCTAGTACACATTTGAACATCATCAAGAAACATACGAAACCGTTTCTTTAAACATATTTGGATTCACAAATTGTTTTGTTCTGGTTTTTTGTATAGGTGACGGTGTAACGGAGATAACTACCAGAAACCGCCCAAAAGATGCGTTTTTTGATTGGTTTCTGAATCCGTTTTTGATCCTTAAAGACCAGATCGAAGCAGCAAACCTATCCGGAGAAGAAGAAGAGTATCTTGGTAAATTGGTATTGCTGTTTGGAGATTCAGAGAGACTTAAAAGCTCCATTGTTGAATCTGAATCTCCTCCTTTAACCGAACTCAGGAAAGGCGAACTTGATGCATTTGCTCGCAGGTAAAAGAGCAAAAAGAAACTCACAATCTTGTTACGGCTTTCTACTTCGGATTCTAAGATAATCCTTGTGTTTTTGGTTTTGGTTAGGCTTCAAGGATTAACCAAATCAGTATCAAGATATCCAACATTCAGAAGACATTTTGTGGAACTGGTCAAGAAACTATCAAATGATCTAGACAATAAACATAACCGTTTTGAAGGCGGTTCGAGATCAGTTCCACGTCCCGGGAAAACGGTGTCTCGGATTTTCAGCCAGAAATCGTTCAAGAAAAAGACAAGTAGCAATGGGTCAGATCAAGATTCACCAAACAGAGGGTTAAGAGACATTGATATTGTGTAAGTGTAAGTAAATGTTGTGTGACCAGAATTAGATTGAAATGTCGTCTGTTTTTAACTCTGTAATGATAAATTTATACAGATTCCAGTGAATATGAAACTGTTTCGATGATCTAGTTTTTGACTCGGCTATTTCTTGATGATGTGTTGTTCCTCAGAAACAGCAGAACCGTTTCTTGTGCAATAGAAATTAGCGACCTTTTAGTTTTTCTTTCACTCTTGACCTCATATTTTCTAAAACATAACGAACAAAGGCTGATGTTTTCGTTTCTTACAAATTTGTCCTAAAATTTTGATAATTGCAATTAGAAATGTTACCGTAGGTTCATTTTGAGATTTATTGTTATTGTCACCGCGTTGTGAGGTGGCACGACCACTTGCGTTTGTCTTTTTGTCGTCTCGAGCTTTAGCGATCGTAAATCTTTCGGTGAAGCTGGATCGTTCACATCCCATTGTCCAAATTTTGAATGGTCAATCTTGTTGTTGACGTTGATTATTATGAAAAAATTCAGATTATTCGAAACAAAAAAATTGTTGATTTCAATTAAGTTTTAATGAAAACACCCATGAAAATGCTAGTTTGTATCAAATTTGTGAAATGAGAAAGATCTTATCGATCAAACATTTAGGAGAAACGGGAACACTTCTTGCATTTCACCTGAAAAATAAAATATTAGAGAAGACGAGGCCATTTAATCATATCATAGAGGTTTTCTACACGTAGCTAAAATATATATATTTCAAAGGATGCAAGAGATTCTAAAAACAAAACAACTTTGCTACGGAGGAGACCACCAAAAATTTTATCATGCTATTTCTAAAAGAACCAAACATCATATATTTGTTCCACACACAATTCACAAGCTTTTTCTGCGAAATCTGACTCTTCACAATAACGTTATAAAACTCTTTTGCAAAAAATAAAGCCCTCTCGGATATCATCTTCAAATCTGATCAGGTTTAACACATAAGATTCACAATCGAATATCACACAGTGGTGATAGAGGAGATTAAGAAAATGGATGGAGAATGGGTTGCTGTTTGCAAAATGAGCAACGGAGATCTGGTGGCAGATAATGGATACGCTTACGTCTCTATAGCAGTTCAATACATGCTTGTTGGTGTATCTGACATGAGAAGTGATGGTATTTGAAAAAAAAAAACAACTTGTCCTAAAACGAAGCTCGAGCGAGTTGAATCTGTGTTAGCTCAGTTGACTCGGTGAGTCAAATCGGTTCAGATAAGCCAATGCATTTCCTTACCAATTTCGTTATAAAGATGGTGGAGGCAAATGAGAATGACATAGAGGGTGCAAAAAGTGAGGATGAAAAATAAAAAGACACAAAAGATGATGAAAAGGTAAACTGCATTCGCCGTGTAGATTCAGTACCTGAGTTAATTGAAAGGGGTTTATTAGTTCATGGATTTTAGTTGATTTAGAAATATAAAGTAAAAATCATGTGTTATTGGATCTTTGAATTTAAAATCTTTTTCAAAATCACGTGTTATCCATTCAATGATTTTCTAAATACTAGTTAAAACTAGATAACAACCCGCACATAAAACAAAACGATTATTAACCAATTTTAATGTATTGATGATATTGAAGGTGTTCAATTTTTATATTATTAGATAAACGGTGGTGTATTAATGATTATCAAGATTAGTGAAATTTTTATTTATGTATTAATATTTATGTTTATCATAATTTATGATATATATTTTGGTATATTAATCAATATACAAAATATTAGGTACTCTATTTTGTATAGATTTGTATATCTTAATTGCATATTTTAATGGATAAATATTTGTCAGCTACATGAAAGAGACGCCATCACATAGTCACACATGCACACTTTAAAAATGTCTCGTTAGCTACACGAACTATTGCTATCACATATGAACATCCTCAAACTAACATAATACATGTTGCAAACACCATAACCATCTAATTCCAGTGTACCAATTGCCAGAATCCGGCGTTGACCGACATTTACAGGTGTTGACCGCCGTTGACAAAAAATATTTGCAAAAAAATAATTTTTTTATATTTATTTTTAATAAATAATGAAAAAATAATAAATTATTACATAATTTTACTGTCTCAGTGACTGGCACTCTTCTCTCGACATACTTTTGCAAATCTTTTGACGTTTAGAATTGTCTCAGTGATCTGCTTCGTGCAATGGTCTTTCTCAACCTTCATCGCAAGAATCTGAGCAGCTTCTTTTACATCTCCTTCAGATTCTTTACACAAAAACGTCAACATCATTTCTATTTTGCTTTCCAATGACATGTTAGAATCAGCGAACTCGGATATATGAAATGATTTGAATTAGCAATAAAATTTTATTGTCTAATATATTGTTAGAATCCTTACTTGAAATAAAATTCATTTATTCATGTAAAAAAAAAGTAGTTTCCATATGTACAAAGAAAATGATTAAAAATGAAATCACCCTCTTTTTTTTTTTGCATATTAGATGAGGAAAGAAAGCCCAAATGTTTACATTCAAGCTCATACTAGCTCTCTAAACTAATTAAACTACAAGTGAGGATGGAATGGATACCCAAAGCCCAAGTATACATAAGCCCAAAGTGAGAGTGATGGATGTTTTCGAGAGCAGCCGAAATCGGAAAGACGAGTGGGTTTCCAGAGAAGCACCACCGTTGAAGAATCCTTTTTAGGTCAAGTCGGCTAAGTGATCATCTCCGATGAGATCCACGGTTGTTGTTGCGTTCCATCCAAATCTCATATACGTGCCTTGAGAGAATCCTATCACGGGCCAGCGATTAAGTATAAACCCACCAACCAATAAACAAGCCCAGCCCAAATCAGAGTATAAATAAATAGATTAGGGTTATTTCATTTATAACTTGTTGCTTGCTCTCGAAGGATTCTTCCCGGAAAAATTACATAAACCCTCTAAAAGCTCTTTTCAATCTTCTACATGGCCAGTTCTAGCAATTTATTGGGTTTGTTTTTCGTTGGCTATTAGCTCTTTTCTAATGCTTACTTGCCTCAAAAGTTTTTTTTGTTGCTCTTCTTTTAGGTAAGCGAAACCCGGAAGATGATTTGGAGACCAAACCCTTTCTCAAGAAACATAAGGACAAGGTAACCTTAAGATGGTCGGATTAATTACACTTCTTCTTTGACAACAATCTTCTTTACATTGTCTTCTAATGGCTACTCTTGTTTCTAACAGGAGGAAACAACCAAAGGACTTGCTAATGATAGTCTCCAGCACAAGTCTGATCAGGTTTAATATTTGTAAATTTTAAAATATTGTTCAATTAAGCATATTGTTCTCCAAAATGTGTTCCAATGGCTACTCACTTAACAGGAAGAGACAGTGGAAGGACTTAATGACACTCCCGATTTTGTTGAGGTACCTACCTCTTCTTATTATCTCCAAAATACATGTCAGGCTCAAAACAAAACGCAACTGTTGCCATAACACAAACTACTTGGTTTTTAAATTCAGGAAGCTGCCGTAATAAAAAATACGCTCTTTATGGCCTATATCCCTCACAAAGCTAAAATATCAGATATCGTGGATTTCTTTAAAGATGTTGGAGAAGTTGTTCATGTTCGACTTGCTATAAAACGAGATGGTGGGCGTACTGGCTCTGGCTTTGTTGAGTTTGCTTCTGCTTATGAAGCAAAAAAGGTGAGACTAGTTTTTTTAGTAATGATGACAAAAGTGTTATAAGTAATCATTTGAAAAGTAGTGTATAGTTATATGTTTAAACATATACAAGGTTGTTATCTGAAAGTAGTATTGGTGATTAAATTTTTTTTACTCTAGGCACTGGAAAAGAAGAATGGTGAATATTTGTTCCATCGCAAGATAATTCTTAACGTGGCTAAGATAGCTTCTTCATTGCCTCTTCCTAAGTAAAACGATTTTCCATGTTTGGTAACTTATTGCTAGAGTTTTGATACCATTACACAAGACTAACGCTTTTATTTTTGATTAATTAGGCATTGCATTGATCACAAGGTTTGGTAAGGGATTTTAACTATTTGCCTCTTGAGTTTTGTTATCTAGAGCACATTGGGTGAAGTTTTTGGTATACATGTAGAGATCACTAGGGTTTTTCATATTCCAGGTACGAAGACTGCCTTCGACGAGAAAGCCGCCTGATAGAAGAAGATGAGAAACCTCCCAATTTTGCTGAGGTACATGCTCCATGGATGAATCTTGCTACTTTTTCTTGTTAATGCAATTTAAGTCATTTTTCTTCTTAGAGTCATGCTAACACACTTGGCTGTTAAATGCAGGAAGTACTCTTTGTTGCCAATCTCTCTCCCCAAACTAAATTATTAGATATGTAAGTAGCACCTTTAATTCCCACTTTTCTTCTCGGGCAAGTTTTCCATCACTGATATTTTATCCTCCACTTTTACAGCTTCGATTTCTGCAAAGATGTTGGAGAAGTTGTTAGTGTTCGACTTATTGCAAACCATGAGGGCAAGCATTTGGGCTATGCCTTTGTTGAGTTTCTTTCTGCTAACGAAGCAAAGAAGGTGAGACTAGTTTTGTAGTCATGATGAAAAAAGTATTTAACTAGTCATTTGAAAACTAGTGTATACAAACTTATGATGAAAAATATACAAGTAGTTATTTAAAAGTACGATAGCTGATTAAATCTTTTATACTATAGGTTATGGAAAAGAAGAATGGTGAATATTTGCATGATCGTAAGATTTTTTTGATGAAAGGACATGACGAAACTCCCGATGTTGCTGAGGTACATGTTCTTATTGTGGGGATGAATCTTTAGATGAGGCTACTTTTTGTTTTTATGCAACTTAAGTCCTTTTTCTTCTTAGCGTCGTGCTAACACACTTGGCTGTTAAATTCAGGCAGTTGCCATAAGAAAAACAAAGACACTCTTTGTTGCCCATCTTACTCCCCAAACTATAATATCAGATATGTAAGTAGCACCTTAAACTTCCTCTTTCGTTCTTGGAGCAATGTTTTCATGACTAATAATTTATCCTCCATTTTTACAGCATCAATTTTTTCAAAGATGTTGGACAAGTTGTTCATGTTCGACTTATTGTTAACCACGATGGCAAGCATGTGGGTTGGGGATTTGTTGAGTTTGCTTCTGCTAACGAAGCGAAGAAGGTGAGAGTAGTTTTTATAGTAATGATGAAAAGTATTTATAAGTAGCAATTTGAATAGTAATGTATGAAAAATATTATGTAGGCGCTGGAACAGAAGAACGGTGAATATTTGCAGGACGGCAAGATTTTTCTTGAAGCGGCTAAGATAGCTCCATTCCCTCCACCCAAGTAAATTAATTTTCCATGTTATGGAGATTTGTTTGTTTTAACTTATTGCTAGATTTTTCATACAATCACAGAAGACTAACACTTATTTTTGTTAATTAGGTGGTGCATAGATCACAAGGTTTGGTAAGGAATTTTTTAACTATTTGCATCTTGAGTTTGTTATCAAGAGCACATTGGGTGAAAGTTTTGGTATACATGGAGAGATCACAAGGGTTTTTGATGTTCCAGGTACGAAGACTACCTTCGACAAGAAGATGAGGCAGTAGAAGGACTTGCTGAAACTCCCTATTTTGTTGAGGTACATTTTCTTATTATCTTCAAAATATGTCAGGCTCAGAAGAAACACTTAGTGTTTAATAACAAAACTGTTGCCACAATGCCGAAAGATAACTTTGTTGTTATGCAATTCAGGAGGCAAGAAAAAAGACGCTCTTTGTTGCCAATCTCCCTTCTAAAACTAACATACCAAAGATGTAAGTGGCACCTTTAATTTCATCTTTCGTTCTTGGAGAAAGTTTTTCATGATGCATATTATAACCTCCATGTTTACAGCATGTATTTCTTCAAAGATGTTGGAGAAGTTGTTCGTGTTCGACTTATTGTAGACCACGAGGGTAAGCATGTGGGCTGTGGCTATTTTGAGTTTGCTTCTGCTAAGGAAGCAGAGAAGGTGAGTTGTTTTTATAGTAATGATGAAATGTATTTAAGTAGTCATTCGATTTTTTTGACTAAGTCTTTTATACTGTAGGCACTGGAAGAGAAGAATGGTAAAAGTTTGCGGTATCATAAGATTTATCTTGACATGGCTGAGATAGCTCCATACCCTCTCCGACCCAAGTAAATTGATTTTCCATATGGAGATTTATTTCTCTAACTTATTGCTATAGTTTTTGATGTCATAACAGAAGATTAACGTTGTTATTTCTGTTATTTAGGTACAACCTTGCAAAGAAGCTTTGGTAAGGGATTTTTAACTACTATTTTTGTCTACTGAGTTTTGTTATCAAGACCACATTGGGTGAAGTTTTTCGTATACATGGAGAGATCACAAGGGTTTTTGATATATTCCAGGTACGAAGACAACCTTCTACGAGAACCGAATCTGAAGCAACAGCAGGAAAAAACTGACGGATTCTGCGGTAAGAAGATTACCTTCTCTTCCAACGACGACTGATAGAAGAAGATGAAGCTCTTTGGTGTATTGTTACTTGTGATACAATGTAACTCGTTTATATTACTTCTGTTTTTATTTTGTTCTAGACTTCTAGTTAAGTTTTTGTCTAAACGTACGTAAAATTATGCTTCATTTTGAATGGTTTGGTATCTGCCTTCATTATTTCCTAGAGCTGTATACGATTTGAACTGATTTGGTTGAGAAAACCATAATCTTCCGAGTAACAGCTTTGAAGGCTGTTCAAGATATCCAACTTTCAGAAGACATTTTGTGGAACTAGTCAAAAAACTATCAAATGATCTTAGACAAGAAACATAACGGCTTTGAAGGCGGTTCAAGATCAGTTCCATGTCCCGGGAAAACGGTTTCTCGGATTTTTCAGTCAGAAATTGTTCAAGAAAAAGACAAGTAGCAATGGGTCAGATCAAGATTCACCAAACAGAGGGTTAAGAGACATTGATATTGTGTAAGTAAACGTTATGTGACGAGAATTAGATCGAAACTTCGTGTGTTTTTAGCTCTGTAATGATAAATTTATACAGATTCCAGTGAATATGAAACTGTTTCGATAATCTAACAAATGTTTTACACTCAGCTTTTTCTTGATGATGTGTTGTTCCTCAGAAACAGCAGAACCGTTTCTTCTGCAATAGAAATAGCAAGCACTTAGACCTCATATTTTCTAAAACATACAAAGGCTAGTGTTTTTGTTTCTTACAAATTAGTCCTAAAATTTTGACAATTGAGATTAGAAATGTTACCGTAGGTTCATCTTGAGATTTATTGTTATTGTCACGGCGTTGAGAGGTGGCACGACCACTTGCGTTTGTCTTTTTGTCGTCTCGAGCTTTAGCGAATATAACCGTAAATCCTTCCGCTGATGCTGGATCGTTCACATCCCATTCTCCAAATTTTGGTAATGGTCGATCTTGTTGTTGACGTTGTTGATTATTCTGAGTTTTTCAAAACAAAAAATGTTGATTTTCTATTATATTCTAACGAAAACACACAAGAAAAATGCTATTTTTTGTATCAAATTTGTGAAAGAAATAAAACATGAGAAAGATCTTACCGATGCCATTCAAAGATTGTGTAAAAGATGCAAACAGAACATGAGATGATCTTCAAACAACAAGAAAAATTGTTTGTCTTCTGTTTTAGTTTTTTTTTTCTTAAAAACAATTTGATTACGTTTGAAGAATTATAACTTGAGAACAGATTAGCGTTTTCTGAATGTTTAAATATAGAGGTTACGTTGTAATTATTGTTGAAACTTGAAAACACAAAACACATAAAACGACACGAATTGTTTGTCATCTGTATATAAACGGGACGCTTTCTCATACCGGTTTTGTTATCGAGTGAACTTCATCGAATCAAGAACCGCCACGTGTCAGATTGTGTCTACACACTTCGCGAGGCCAACACGCGCGTTTTAGAACTTATCCATTAATCTGTGATTAAACCTATAAGCCGGTTTTTATAAACGGTCACGATTGTCCTAGCTTTTTAATCAACGGTCACGATGACGTAGACGAAGCTAAGCCTCACATCTACAAATACGTATACACACGTATACAAACATTTTTAAATAATCATTAATTAATAATTACAGGTTATTAACAAATTAATCATTTTTAATACACTATTAAAAAACATTCTCATTGCATTTGCTCTCTTCTCCGAGAAAATGGCGTTTGGTTTGATCGGAAGAGTTGTTGGAACCAAATCGTCACGGTTATCCACGGCGGCGCGATTGATTCCGGCGCGTTGGACATCAACAGGATCAGAAGCACAATCGAAAGCTTCAACCGGCGGCGGAGGAGCGAATCTGAAGACGTTTCAGATCTATCGATGGAATCCAGATAATCCTGGAAAGCCTGAGCTTCAAGATTACAAAATCGATCTCAAGGATTGTGGTCCAATGGTTCTAGATGCTTTGATTAAGATCAAGAACGAGATGGATCCATCTCTCACTTTCCGTCGCTCTTGCCGTGAAGGTATTTGTGGTTCGTGTGCTATGAACATTGATGGATGTAATGGTCTTGCTTGTTTAACGAAGATTGAATCTGGATCTAAAGAGACGACGATTACGCCGTTGCCGCATATGTTTGTGATTAAGGATTTGGTTGTGGATATGACGAATTTTTATAATCAGTATAAGAGTATTGAGCCATGGTTGAAGAGGAAGAATCCAGCATCTGTTCCTGGGAAAGAGATTTTACAGAGTAAGAAGGATAGAGCTAAGCTTGATGGAATGTATGAATGTATTCTATGTGCTTGTTGTAGTACGTCTTGTCCTAGCTATTGGTGGAACCCTGAGTCTTATCTTGGCCCAGCTGCTTTGCTTCATGCCAACAGGTAAAGAAAATCTTTTTCTTTTCTAATGGATTCACTAATCAAGGTGTTCTCGGGAATCTGTAGATTTGTTATGTTGTGAAGATATTGTATGGCTTGTTGGTAGTTTACATTAGTACGTTATATGGGGTCACTTAGATTGGTTTAGTTTCTTTAGTTGTGGTTTAGAGCTGAAGGAAGGTGCTAAGGACTCATTGTGTTTCTTCTGCTTTGAGATTTGCTTGAGAATTTTATTGGTTTGAGCAATAAGACTTGGTAGATTGATTATGTATGGCTTGGATCATGTGGGTTGTTTTTACTCCTTTAGTTGTAGTGTAGTACTGTGGTTTAGCTCCTTTGTTCACTGAAATAGAGGAGATATTTCTGAAGAAAGGTGCTAAGGGATCTTTGTGTTTCTTCACTTGTGTCTGTACAAAACCGCAAGTTCAACAGTCTGATTGTATCCATGTCATTATGTATGGTTATTTAGGTTGTCTTGCTCTTTAGTTTAAGTGGAGTTTAGCCTACTTTGTTATACTGAAATGGAGGAGAGGTCTCTAAAGAAGGTGATAAGGGCTCTTTGTGCTTCTTCATCCGTCTCTGTAACTGTGTCATTATGTAGGGCGTTTAGGTTCTCTTGCTCCTTTAGTTGTAGTGTAGTTTAGCTCTATACTGAAATGGAGGAAAGACCTCTAGAGGAAGGTGCTAAGGACTTTTTGTGCTTCTTCAGATCCCTATATAGAAAACCGCAAGTTCAACTATCTGATTATATCTGTGTCATCGTGTAAGGACATTTAGGTTGTTTTTGCCCCTTTAGTTGTAGTGTAGTTTAGCCTACTTTGTTCAATTGAAATGGATGAGAGTCCTCTAAAGGAAGGTGCTAAAGATTCTTTGTGTTTCATTAAATGTCTCTGGCTGGATTAAACCGCAACTATCTGATTGTTTAAAGTTTTGATATCTCAAGGTATTGTAACAAGAGGTTTCTTCACATATGCAGGTGGATAAGCGATAGCCGAGATGAGTACACTAAGGAAAGACTTGAAGCCATTGACGATGAGTTCAAGCTGTATCGATGCCACACAATTCTGAACTGTGCTCGTGCCTGTCCAAAGGGATTGAACCCAGGGAAACAGATCACACACATCAAGCAGCTTCAGAAATCTGGTTGAATAACAAATCAATCAGGCAGTACCTAATGGATTTTTGATGCTAATAATTTGCAAGAAACTCCAATTTTGGATTCATTCTTGTATTTGCTGTTACAACTATCAGAATAGATTATTTTGTGGTATATCTTGATGAAATTTATTGCCTACAACAAGCAATAAAACTCAGAGAATTTGAAATCTACATCTTATTAATATCTACTCATTCAGCTTTGCCTTAATATAAACATTCGGTTTTCGAGTTTTGCTTTATTGGTGAATAGGAGAGATAGATGTTTACACTTACACCTCTTGGAACTTGGAAGGTGAAACAGCTATTCTACAAACAGATAAGCTTGTTTTTTTTTTAATGTGTTGAGCAAAAAGAGAGACTGATGATCAGTTTTCACGGGATAGAGCAAGAAACACTGTAGCTGATGAGATCTGAACTTTGAGATCAGCAATATCAATGTCGTGCCCGCCTTCGACTAATCCCCATTTGTCCACCTGCATGAAACATACGACAAAGATTAGTTTTTATAGAATGTCAAGACGATAGATGTTGGCAAGTGAGTGACAAAATGAAACCTGTAAATCTTCTTCAAGTCTAATCAATTTGATTGCGTCATCGATCTGGAGTTTCCCACAGAAGATGCCGAGGGCGATTACTATAGAGTGAGCTGATGCTTGGAGTGCATCAATGCTTGCAAGTTCACCATCATTTGTCTTCTTGAGCAGATCTTCTACTGCTTTCACTAGCTTGTCGTCTTGTTTACCCCCAAAGATACTAGAATACACTTTCGGTTTTACCCCAAACTCTGATTCTATCCACTCAAGTAGAGGATCGATCCTCTCTACCTGAATCACTGCAAAAGACACAACTCAATAAGTGTAAAATCTAGGAGGTAGTGGAATTGAAGAGAAAGTGTATTATACCATGGACGTCACTAGTTAGATCATTATCTTCAGGCGCTCGGAAAAAGACAAGATCTTGATGTAACTTTCTCGATAGATGTTCTATGATCTTTGACCGCGTAAGAGGAACTCTTTCAAGTGCAGTACATGCTAGTCTCATGAGCGGCATTGTGAACGGTCTGATCCCTTCTGTTAGCTACCACAGGATCATCACATTAATACCAAGTCAGTCACCCCGGCACAAACATAAGTAGGAGCAAAAAGATCACAGAAGAAAATGAGTAAAGAAGACCAAGTCAAGTGCTTAACATCTCAATTCCACTACTCCAATTTCCAACCTAATGATCAAATCATAGAACTCAAACATTATGGATTATAAACTCTAAACAACAGTACATTAGATGTTCATAATACGAACAACATCAAATTCTTAGCTTTACGTTGAATAAACTATGAACAGATCCAATAACAAGGATTTTAGGTAAACTCCATCAAACGCATTATCGATCATAGCTACAGAGCACTATCGGATTTTTCACTAGTTGAAATTACAACAGCAAAACCCAGAAACTGATCAAACACCAGGGACTCTAAAGAAACAAGCTCTCAGGTTTAAGCTGAATAAACAATGAACAGACCCAAATTACAAGTATTCTAGCTAAATTCAATCAAACCCAGTACTGATCAGCTTTAGAACACTATCTAAATAGCTTAAAGCATTAAACTTTCGAAGTAAAACAAATCGAATTTGAATTGAAGTCAAACCTGATACTCCCATTCAGCTGCAATGGCCTTAGCAAGTGCCAAAGACCGAAGCTTGAGAGGTCTTTTGGAAGGGGTTTTAAGGGTTCTATAATCGAGCATCACAGTCCATCCATTTCCATCATCAGCTTCTCTCGTCGTCACTTTCTTGTAAAACCTCTTCCCAACAATCGAACCAGTCATGAAAGACGTCGGCATAGTCACCGAATCCGATTCATTATTCCGGCGAGTGTTCGGAGCTTTCACTAAGATGGGTTTCTCATTTTCTTTCTCGAACGTGAACGACGACGAAGATTCTGATGGCTGAGTATCGGAATCGGGTTGACGAGCGGCAGATGTCGTACACAAGGATCGAGCACGAACGGCCAAGTTAGAGTTTCTAGCCGATTTAAAAGCTCTTCCGATTAACATCGCCGCCATTAATCCTCCCTCTCCGGTGACGAAAATGGAACCTCACTCGCCTTCTTGCTTAGGGTTTTAGATCCACCCACAGAGGATCGTCAGATCCAAGCCTAAACGACGTCGCAGTAACCCCAAGTGATTACAAATAAATGAAGGTGTGTTTTGATAATTGTGATTACAAATACAATTTTCTTCGATCTAGCATATTTTCGGGTGATTATGTCATCGTTATCAGCTCTGTAGTATAATACTAGTATTGACTATTGACTAATTCAAGAAAGCAAGCAGAAACACAAATATCATTTGATTATAGACAAAATTTAAAAAACTTTTACATAAATTTAAATCTCTTACTAATAAAAGAAACTCATTGAGGCCTCTCAAGCCATCCACATCAGCTTCTCAAAATTTAACCTTAGCTTGCCACATCAGCTTAATATTTTAGATCTTAATTAATATTTTAACAAATACTTACTTTTTCCTTAAGATGCCACGTCAGCTTGATTTAAGTTTGCTTAGGATTACTAGAGAGATTCCACCTCTCCTCACTTCTCAAACGTTTAAACTAATATAAACAAAGAAACTAAACGTTCATTCTTCTTCTTCCAATCGCTTGACATCCCCATATAAGGGTTTGGTCCCATGATGCTTGAACGTTTGAATTTCTCAAAACCCTCACAAGGGTTTTTCTTTGGTATGTGCAAGTCTCAAGATAGTATTGGTCCCATGGATGTTACTTAGGTGCAGTGCCGTGCTTAGCTTCACAGAGGCCTTAGGCAATTTCGATTAATGTGGCCTAAAAAAAATGATTTATGATAGTAGATATTCTTTTTTTATAAAATAATTAATGATAAAAAAATTTTAAGCACAAATTTGATTCTATTTTTCTCTATACAATCGTTGAAACTCACATATTCAAATTTTCTAATCAACTGTTTTACTATAAATAAGATAGTTAACCATTTAATCTTCTTAGTGGATTTTTATTTATTAGTTTTACGCAATTCTCAAACAAAAAGCTCTAATACATAATATTAAACTAAATACATATATTAGTTTTTGAATAAAATGTGGCCTTCTAATACTTAATATTTTGGTGGCCTTAGGCAATTGCCTTTAATTTTATGAGGTAAGCACGGCTCTGCTTAGGTGTAGGGCTTACACGTTTCAAATCCTGGAGAGATTGTTTGGTGAAGTGCAACTCATTCCAAAATGTAAATTTCTAACCAAGAAAAAACATCAAATCCTTTTTTATTCTCCTTCCTCTCCAATTGATGATTTGTTTTTTTTTCTCTATTGTTTGATCTTTTATGATACATTAGATTTATCTGTTTTATGATGATTAGGTCTGTAATCTTTGTTTCCCAGTTTTGAAAACCTTGACTGATGGGTTCAGTTCGGTTTATCAATCTCTGACGTAGCTAGTATCGCCAGGTATAGCTCTTTGCTAAATACTTATATTAAAGTTTTGTAGTTGGAGAACTTCTGTAAGTACAGACCAAAACAAACTATCAAGGTTATTCCATTATCATCATTTGTATTGATGATTTCATATGAACCTTGCTAAGTTGGCATTTGATATGAATATATACATAGTCTAAAATTCATTACTTATGTTGCTTAGTTAAACCTTTTTTAACATATTTGTAGATTTTTTGCTGGTGAAAAGCTTTGGACGAGGAGAAAAATCCAGAGACCTTTAATGTTGGTTAATCTATTTTCTATGTTTATTTTAGCTGTTCGCGGGAACTCTTATTAATGTGTCTATATATAATTCAAGCACATATACATGATTTGATTCTTTTCTTTAGTCTTCTTTGAGTTTTTCATTAGGAACTTTAGACAACTGTGCAAATTAAAGAGTTTGGAAGTTATAAATTCTAAGCTCCGCAGCAACAACTGTATCCAATTGAGGTTAGGCTAATACACATTTTCTTATTGAATACGCTCATCTAATCTATTAGACGTTCATGGAAATTAAATACATATCTGATTAGTTTTATATTTTTCATGTTTCTCAAAGGTATAGCTAGGGCTGACCTTACACTTTTGATCATTAGATTGGTAGAGTATATATATCTTACTACATTAAGTCCATATACTACATCCCGGGCGTAGCCCGGATTCTTCTCTAGTAATTTAAAAACTTTTACAATAATTTCAAATAATTTTCAATTACAAAACAGTGAAACACATTCACTCAGTTACACCAATTAATTATGTGATATATGTTGTTTCATCCGTAAATTATTCTTACCCAAATAAGTAAAATTTTTATCACACTCTAATCGAAAAGTTTGGATAATTCAAGTGATCCGAGTCAAAAAAATGCTGAGACCTAAATAAAACGTCGTCGTATAAGCCGCCGGTTTAAAATAAAGAACGTAACCATAAAGACCGCCAGATTCAGAGATAAGGCACATTAAAAATCACCTGCTTTACCCATCACGCTAAGATCGTGGAATCTTATATCACTAGACCCTCCAGATCATGACACGTCATCATCATCTTGAGACCCATAATTTTTTGAAACTGTTTTATTTCATTTCCCAATAATTGAAACTGTTTTATTTCTGTTTTTAGCTTTTTATTTCATTTCTCTTCATAAAAATCTCCATCAACGTCAAGAACAAAAATTTGGAGAAATCGATAAAAATGGCGTCGTGGAATTCGATTCCGCTAGAGATTTCGTATGAAATCGTTGGATGGATCGCTTTTGCTTCGTGGTCAATTAGCTTTTACCCACAATTGATTTTGAATTTCCGTAGGAGAAGGTATCAATCTATCTACCTTTTGTTCTTGAGATTTTTTTCTTTTCGAGGTCTGTGATTGAAATTGATGAAGTATTTGTTGTTGTTGTGTTTGTGGAAAGTGTTGTTGGATTGAACTTCGACTTCGTGATGTTGAATTTGACAAAGCACTCGTCGTATATGATCTACAATGTCTGCCTCTACTTTAGTCCTGTTATTCAAAAGCAGTACTTTGACACTTATGGCGATAAAGAGGTGCTCTTTCCTTGTTCTCTGTGCTATATATGTATATTGCTTAGCTGAAAGATTAGTGTGGAATCTAGAAATTAGTTTTTTTGTTTGGATTCTGAGATGGTTCTTGGTGGCTCATAATGCTCAGATTGTCTCTTCTTTCAGTGTTTTGGATTCTGTCAACTAAATTTTAGAGTTATCTTCAATTCTTAGCTCATGAAGATAAAAGTTCGTTCCTTTTCGAAGTTTTAACATATTCTTGCTTTTAGTAAATGAATGGGTATGGATATTTTCTTGTCAATATGAGGATGTGTTTCTGGTCGTTGCGAAAATGTAGACGGTGTGTTTCTTGCTGTGAAAGGTCAAATGTTGAATTATGTGATCAGAATCATACTGTTTTTTTTTCAGTGTGCTTCTACATTTTCATCAAAGAGTAGGTTGTTCGAGCTGGTTTAGTTTTTGAGACGTTTTTTCGTATAATTTTTGCCTATTTCAGATGATACCTGTGGCTGCGAATGATGTTGCATTCTCAATCCATGCAGTTGTAATGACAGCTGTTACACTGTTCCAGATCTTTATCTATGAAGTGAGTAATGAAGTTTTTTCCTTTATCTGGAATGTTTGTTATGTTTTCTTCTTTTGTCTCGTAAATGTGTTCTTTTGTTTTTCTGATGATTTCGAGTGATTTACTTGCGCAGCGTGGACCTCAAAAAGTATCCAGACTTGCTATAGGTATTGTGGTTGTTGTGTGGGCATTTGCAGCTATCTGTTTCTTCATTGCATTACCTACACACTCTTGGCTATGGCTCATCTCCATCTTCAAGTAAGTTGTTGCGCTTGCGCAGAGCCTTAACCCAACTCTTTTAATAGTAATCTGACACTTTTGATGATACTGTTTTGTATGGTTCATTGTTATAGTTCAATTCAGGTCTTCATGACATGCGTCAAGTACATTCCACAGGTCAGAAACGGTTCCAAACCTTAATTTTTTTTCATAATTGATTGATTCTGCATTACTCAGATTCATGTGTTTTCTTTTCTTCACAGGCAAAGATGAACTTCACTAGAAAGAGCACAGTCGGATGGAGCATCGGGAATATTCTTCTTGATTTTACTGGAGGACTTGCTAATTATCTGCAAATGGTTATACAATCTATTGACCAAAGTAAAAATCTCTTCTCCATCACATCAATAGCTTTTGTTTGCTCTGATAATAACAATAACATTTTGAAAGAAAAAAACTAAAATTATTTTCTTCTTTTTTTCTCTTCCAGATTCTTGGAAGAATTTCTATGGGAACATTGGAAAGACTCTTCTATCACTTGTAAGAAGATTTATGAATTTTCCTTTTTTCAATTCTATCTCTGTCTCTAATAAATTTCTCATATTTTTTAACAGATATCAATATTTTTCGACATCCTCTTCATGTTTCAACACTATGTGTTATACCCAGAGAAGAAAGCCTCAAAATCTCTGGAAACTGGTGAGGAATCGAACGAACCACTCATTGATTCTTCTCATGAACATGTTTAAAGATCAGATTCTCTGGAGAATATCAAAGTCATTAGTTTCAGCCTTCCCACTGTATATGTTTAAATCACAAAAAGGTACAATACTCTTCAGACTCATAGATTATTATCCCATGTTATTGTCTTAATATCAGTTTAATGTATCATTATCACAGAAACAACAAATGTAAACATATATTTTAAGAAACAATATGAAAGTTAAACTTGGATGATATTGGCGCAGTTATTCTCATTTTTGCATAATAAAACTCTATATTGACGAGCCAATCCGACACCGAGTTGCTCACATGAGAAGAAAAGGAACTTCATGCTAGACAATCCGCACAAATATTGTTACAACAGAGGTGTATAAAAAAAACAGAGAATTCATCTAACTCTTGTAGAAGACAATTCCTTATCCACAATAGTGCCTACATGGAGGGGAGGCATCTACTGAAGCTTTTTAGTCCTAGGCATGGCATATATAGATACAACCTTAGGGCTTAACTTATAACTAATTACACTTAAGTCCTTAATCTACTCTTCTCCTTTACAGATCCAAACAAACACAGTTCCGAGGGGTGCCACAAACCATCCACTTGGCAGTGCAAATCAGTAGATAACTCTCGTGTTCGCTATGGTTCCGTCTGCATCATCTGCTTCTTCTAACTGCTTCGCTAGTCTTCAATTTTCTACTTCATGCTTCGTGAGCTGTAGTGTACCCAATAGATGACGACCAAATAACAGTGAACAGGTCTGGCCCAAGACTAAGGCTCATCAAACAAGGGTTTTAGGCAGCATATATCTTCTATAAAACAATTTAGGAGCGTCATTTTTGAAAAGTTATTGTGGTAGAGTTGTTAAGACTTACACACTTCCTCTTAATAGGTGCAGAGTTCATGAAATAGCATGTTATTTCTCAAAAATATCAACTTAGTTATTATATTTGTCAAGTTAATTGATAATACATTTGGAACATGGAAATAACTTAAAATTAAGTAACTTACATGAAATGGAAAACATAGTCAAACTTTTTTTCTCTCAACTCAATAATTGTTCATTAAAAATTTACTAAAAAAAAAATCAGTCAAAACTGTAAAATTCATTAGTGTTTTATGGTAAGGAGTTAAACAAAACAGTCAAAGTTTTTAGAGCATTTATGAATAGTATTTTATGGAAGATGGTTAATAAGATCATTTGACTACCATTGTAGATAATTAAAAGCAAGATCTACTATATATATCTTAGTAACTTTTCATCTAATAATTATATTACTGGCTCTGGCTCATCTTTCTAAATAACTAAATCAAACCAGGATTCGAGTGGGAGAACAATGCAGTCTTCACTTTCAACTTTCAAGGTAATAACTATGTGATACATTTTCTACATAATCACTCACTTTCATATTATTAAATGATGATTTATTAATATTAGTTTTTGTGGTTTTAAATCTACAGCATAAGATGTCAAAAGGCGAAGGTAAAACAAACCGAGAAATGTTGATGCTACAAAAAAATCAAGCTCGTGGAACTAGAGCAAGCTTGAACCAATTTGACACAAGTAAGCGTCTGATTGTTAGCATTAAACCCACCCTCCCTGATCTGAATGCAAAACTTTGTTCCGACTCGGAAGAAGAAGAAGAAACAGTTGAGAATCTCACAAGTCTTACACCTCAAGCTGCACATCATGGTCTTCCTAAGCTTTTGTTCGATCTTGAGGTCGAGATCTTTGCCCGTGCTTCATGTTTTCAATATTGGAAACTAAACTTTCTCAACAAGCAGTTCTCGCAATTGCTACGAAATCGTGAGATTTTTAGAGTGAGACGAGAACGCGGACTTGTGCAACCATATGTGCTTATGTTTTGGAGCGGTGAAACTTGTTGGGCAATGTTTGATAAAGGTTTCAAGAATTTCCGACAACTTCCAGAAATTCCTTCTGACTTTTGTTTCTTTTCTGGTGATAAGGAAACGATTACTGCGGGTACGCATTTGATAGTCATCGGAAGAGAGAAGCAGAGTATTGTGGTGTGGCGATACGAGCTAGAGATAAATAAGTGGATCAAAGATACTGAAATGATCACACCGCGGGTCATGTATGCTTCAGCAAGCCGTGGGACCGATGCATTTTTCGCTGGAGGAATTAAGACAGGCGAAAAGGGAGTTTCTAATGTTGTGAACATTGCTGAAAGATACAATTCCGATACAAAAACGTGGAAAGCGATGAAACCAATGCATAAGCGAAGAAAATTCAGCTCAGGATGTTTCTTGCGCGGTAAGTTTTACGCTCTTGGTGGTCGGGATGAGAATGATGTATATCTTACTTGTGGAGAAAGTTACGATGAGAAAACAGATTCATGGAAGTTGATACCAAACATGCTCAAAGGCATGACTTTCATGAATCCCCAATCCCCACCTCTCATTGCGGTGGTCAAGGACAACCTCTACTTGCTGGAGACATGGTTGAACGAGCTTTGGGTTTATGATATAAACGCAAACGCATGGAAAAGTCTTGGAGTTCTGCCTGTGAAAGCAAATGCAGCTTTAGGTTGGGGAGTTGCATTTAAGTCACTTGGAGATAGGCTTTTGGTGATTGGAGCTTCAGCTACTCAATCGTGGGATAACAACACAATGTCAGTTTACACATGTTGCCCATCTCCAAAAGTGGAAAAGATTATTTGGGAGGAGACTCGTTGCGATGGCGTTAAACTCAGCCATTTTATCCGTAACTGTTGTGTGATGCTTGCTTAGGGTTTCTGAGCAAACATATTGTGTTTATGTTTTCGTTTTTATGTTTGCGTTTTTGTGTTTATGTTTAAAATAAGTTGCGGCGATCATGAGGCCAAAACATAAGTTAAATTGTTGTTATGTGTGTTTGTTTCTCTGTTTTGCATTTGCGTCTTGGGTTTTAGACGGCAAATCATCTCAGAAAAAATAAATATATGTCGTTATTAATTTAAAAGTTTTGTGTTTATATGCAAAAGATTAATGTCGTTTATGTTTTAGAAGCTTATTTTGCATATATTTATGTTCTGCTTGATGTTTTTATTTTTATGATAATTAGTGAAACCATATATTTTACATTTAAATATTATTTTGTTGAAATTGTATATCAATTTATTTTAAGATTAAACATATATGGGATTTTGCGTGTAGTTTGGTTCTTTCCATTTGTTTTTTGTTTTCTTTTTCTACAAGAAGACAATTTCCAATAATTGAATAGTGGAAGGAAGTTATCTACACAACTCATTTGGTTTGGTCCACAAGCTTCACTTTAGGGGATTTGTCTTGACCTTTGACTATTCCTTGTCCCGCAAGTATATTCCTCTTCTTGTTATATCCTTTAAGCAACCTTTTTTTTTTTTTTATCATTTCACATCTTTCTTCTTCCTCCTTTTTGTGTAGTTCAGGTCTCATTGATCAACGGCTAAAATGAAGCGAGAAGGAAAACAACACGGTATGGTCAGGACTTACCGGATTCTGCCTCCGTCGCTGAATCCAAGGCCGGAATCGAAGTTGGTCAACCCTTTGACTTCACGGCCAACCGCTGGATTATTTACCAAAGTGACATCAAAGCCGACCAATCACTCGAAATTCACCGGAAAATGTGGTCAAGCAAGGTGCCTTGATTGTCATATGCATCCGATCACCAAATCCAAAGCCAAGACTAAAGGCTCTTCAAAGGTGAGATCAAATGATGCCACCTACAAGATGCTGACCTGGCAGGTTGCTGCAGGTGGGCCTAGACCCGGTTTGAAGCTTTCCGGGTTCTCGGCTACCGGAATACTTGATCTTATGTCTGATGATTATGGTTATGATCATGATGATGAAGAAGATGAAGAATATGAAGAAGAAGAAGAAGAAAACAGAGCAATTGTTGTAGAAGAAATTGTGAAAATACAGAGTAGTGATGATGATGGTGAAACAGAAGAAGATGGGTCACATGATGATGATGATGATACTGATGATGATGGAAGGATGAGTTTTTGTGATGTGGGGATGATGATGATGATGGATCATGTGGAAGAATATGATGAAGGATGGTATTTGGTTGAAGAAATGATGACTTAATTGATCTCTTTGATTATTGATCTCTCTGATTATCCCCCAATAATTGTCTTTCCTTTTGCTTTTGTAAATTTTTATCATTTTTAATAACTTGGGGGAATGAATGATTATATCTATGTAAATGTGATTTGATTCTTAAATCAAAAACTATGATTTATAATTGTAATTTATGTAAAGTTGAAACCTTTTCTCAACAACTCATTCCTCTCCAAATCAGAACAGAGTAGTTTCCTGCAACATCTCAATAAACAACAATATATAACAAACATATCGAATCGAATCGCGTATCAGATTATGAAAGAAGGAGAAAGTGTTTCATTGAAGATTGAGATACATACATACAACAAAAAGGTTCACAAAGTTTACAATACCAGAAAAAGAAACAAACCTTCTTCTGCTATTCATTTTTTCTTGCTACTGTGCACTCAAAGATTCTCTTTTTAGTCTTTACCATTCTTGAATCCGAGGACAGATCTTTCTAAAAGCTTTGAACCCAACAGAGAAGGATCAATCTTTCTACTTGCAAGTGTTTTCAGAGATTCATCTTCTGTGTTTTGGTGTTCTACCTTTGTCTTGCCGCTTCTGTTTCCCCAACCATCTCAGGTTTGAAGCAAAGACATAGAAATGGTTTCTTACTCGTCTTTCTCTGAGAATAAACAAAGCGAGTGTCAGTCTTCATATCACTAATTCTTCTCATGATTTGTTGAAATCAAAATCTTACCTTCTTCATAGTCAGGTTTTGATCTTGAGTTTTAGTGTTTCCCATCAAACAGCTACGCCACAACAACAGTATACAATTAGGATAGGAACATCAGCTCAAATACACATTGACACAAGAAGAGATAACAAATCAATCTTACCTCAAGAAACCGAATCTGGGACGAACTGGTTTTTCGCTTTTCTTCAACGAACTATGAGTTATCGGTTTTCCACTGCAAAATTACAATATAAAACAATCAGATGGATGACAAATTCTTGACAAAACAATCAAAGCTGCTTTTGTTACCTTATTTTCAGTGAGAAAACAAGCTCCATTGCTTTGTCCGGAGTTTCTGACGTGGCTGATTTCTCCATAGACAATCTAACCATCGATGAGTTCTTGGTTACGGATCTTCTCTCTTCTTCTTTTTCTCCAACGAAACAGCTCTTCTTCAACAACTCTCCATCCTCTGAGTGACTCTCTTTCTCTTTCTCTTTATCATCATGAACAACCTGCAAACCATCTGCAGCCACGGGTTTAACTAACGAGTTATCCACTTCTCCGTCTTCTTGTTCCAAAACCGCAACACTTTTTCTTCCGGGCTCTTCATCTTTCCCAATACTCAACACCAACTCTTCACTACTACTCATGACTAACTCAGTTTCAACACTCTCTTCTTCCTTAACCTCATCCTTAGTCAATGTCTCCAAAGTGTTAAGCAACACCGCAACACTTTCTGCTTCTTGTTCTTCTTGTTTAGTGTCAGATGATTCATCTAAAGCTTTTGCTTTCTTGGCTTCAGCTATTTTCTTGTAATGAGCTTCAAAGAAAGCTTTCTTCTGAGCAACAGATCCAGGCTGAGAGAATTTCTCGGCTTCATCGACATACTTCTTATGCGAAAAACTTGACCATTTCCCCCATTCAAGATTCTCAGTCACGAACCTACCAAATGAAACTGATTGACTAAGCGCATGAATCGGATTATCCTGCAATAATCCAACAAACCAAAATCAGAATCTTACAAAACTCAAACCCAAATTTATAAACTTTCTGGTGAATCAAACTGTTTCCAATCAAATCATTAGCTAAAAACTCAAACCCAATTCAGATACTTTGAGTAAACCAACATCAAGATTCATATCGATCAAGCTAAACCCTAAAGTTTATAACTTTACATACAAAATCACCCAGAAACCATCGAATTTTCCAAGGAATCAAATGAATCATAGAGACAATGAAACTAACCTCATGAGATTCATTACGAGAAGGAGGAGCTGCAAATGAATAGGAATGAAATAGAACAGCAGATTCACCCATTGCTCCCAAAACCTCAAAATCGAAAATTTCTTCGTTGGAATCTCAAAAGGAAATAAATAAAAATCGAAGCTTTTTTATGCTTTTCTCTAGTTCTCAACGAAACGGCTATAAAAGAATTTTCGAAATTTAAAAACAATTTTTGTTTTTATTTGTCAGCCTTAAAACATGTTTTAGGAGACGATCTGAAGAATTTTTGTTGAGATTTGGGTCCCACGAAAGAGATAAATACGTTAAAACTCAAAATTTGTTTTTTCAAATTTGTTTTATTTGAAAATTTGATAGGAATTTTTGAGAAGGAGAGAATAAATTATGTATCAAAGAAGTCTAACAAGAATGAATTATTTCTGCTGTAGTTGTTGATATGAAGTGGCTGAGAATTGAAACCAAAAGAGAAAACGAAAACTTTCTGGTGATGATATATTAAAATGTGAAATGTGTTTTGGGAAAGAAAAAACCAAAAAACTCTGTAATCGAAACTGAATTCTGATATGTATAAAAAAATTAATTTTTAGATATATCAACGCGTTTTAAAACTATTTTAGTTGTTTTTACTAAAAAATGAATTTGATTTTCTATATAAAAAAAGACTTTTATATTAATTCTTATATGCTTACATTTTATTTTTATATCTGATTTTTTTTCTTTGACACCCATTAAAATTAAATTTGATTTAGAGTAAGAATATTAGATTAAACAAATAAAGTTGTACATAAGTTTGGAGAAAAATAGCTAAAAATTAAGGAAGGAGAAACTAATATGATTTATTAGGAGAGAACTAATTGGTTTATGTAACGGTGGGGTGTACTTTTGTAACTCTAAATAAAATAGCTTTGAGTTACAAAAGTGATGTTGTTAGAATACATTACACTTCAACCATAAAAATAAAAAAGGCAACTACTTTTCTTCCTTTGCATCCAACAATAATTAACCATATAGATGAAAATATTGATTGCTTCTCCCAGGAAAAATAAACATAAATGACTCTTTTACAGTTTTACTTTACTTTTTTTTCTGTCAAACAAAGGATTTTATATCATCAATTTTTTAATATCAAAAACTGAAAGTACAAGATTGTTGTATATTCTTAAAGATCAAGAAAGTGGTGAAGATAGGAAAAAAAGATGAACATATTGAAATAAGACGGATCAATTGTAAAAATGAGATTCGTCGAAGATTAACCAAAACCATGTTGAAGTTTGGGTTGGTCATTTGAATTTTTCTTTTTAAATTCAAACTTTTATTGATTATAAAAAAATATGAAATAAAAATCTATAATTCACTTTTTTGATAAATTAATAGTGAAAAATTCAGAGTAAAGCTATTTTAGAGTTACATTCAAAAATATTTAAAAATTGGTGAAAAGGATATAGTCAATGATTAAATTAAAATGAATATTTAAAAAATTGGTGGCCTTTCAAAATATTTTAAAGTTGTGGAAAGGATATAGACATATAGTCAATGATTAAATTAAAAAAAAAATGAAGAGAAAAATAGTTTAAAGCATTTAAAGAATTGAATGAATTCTAACCAAATAAGAACATAAAATTTTGAAATTGTTTCTTCACATTATTAGTGAAATTGAATAACATTGGATTTTTTACCTTGATTTATTAAAACATCCAAATCCATTACCAATACAATACATTCAATAACACCACCTATAAATCCTTAAACTTCATTTTTCATCGACACACAAAATTTGAAATCTTCTTCTTTGATCGTTTTTGTGAGAGCGAACATGGAGAAATCAAATTCGAATTCGAAATGCCCATCTCATTGGATTCTCCTCTGCTTCTTGATCTCTTCTCAGTTTTGGGGTTTCTCACTTCCCACTTCGATAATTCAACAAAACCTCAAGGTAAATTTTAGGGTTTTTCAGCTCTTTTCAAGTGTAGATATCGTGTAAAAGAATCAAATTTTAAAGCTTTGTGATTGTCCATTGTGTTTGTTTCTACAGGGATTTAAAGATCCTGGAGATGGAAGGTATTGTGAATTCAAATTCTTCTCATGTGATTGTTAAAACTCGTTTAGGGTTTCTTGATAAACCAATGCACAATTCTGATGCTTAAATAGATCATATAATTTAGGGTGTCAATACCGAAAGAAGACGGTTTTCATGAGATTCATTGTTCAAGAGAACGTAGCAGAGTTGCTTGGAAAATCATTCAAGAGGTATAAATTGAAAGCAGTGATTTTATTTATTTGTGCAAATCTGGTAGAATTTTGTCATTGATCTTTGTTGTTGTGAAGTATCTCATGCCATATGTGGAAAAGGAGCGGTATCAGTTACCGACTACTTGTAGAGTTCATCGAGACAATGACATTTATAGAGAACAAGAAGAGCACAAAGTTCATTCAGATACAAACGAGTGGCGTTGTGGATTCTGCAAAAAGGCTTTTTTTGAAGAGAAGTACCTCGATAAGCATTTCGATTCACGCCATTACAATTTGCTTAATGCGGTACATATTTGCATTATTGTTAATGATTCATATTTCTGTAACAATTCATACTCTTTGGGGTCTATTACCGATTCATTTCTTATGTGGTTTTGAATCCAGAGTCATGGTAAATGTCTGGCGGATCTTTGTGGAGCGTTGCATTGTGATCTTGTTGTAAATACAGCTCGGCTTAAGTCTAAGTGTAATCCTGCAGCTGCTGCAAGAAACCGTCACTTATGTGAGGTAAAAAGGTTATTCAATCAGCATAGTCTATACTAAAGCAATCAAATTTTTTTGGTTATGATATGACAAGTTTGGACTCTAATGCTCAAAGAAACCGTGTAGCTTGTCACGGTTAAACTGACACTTGTCATATGACACGGTCAGAAGTCCGAATACTCAAACAGATGTTTCTTGTGTATGTGCATCACAGAACTGCAGATTGTTTGTAGCTTGTATTAAAGTCTAAACTTGTGTGATATGACAAGTTTGAACTGCAGTATTAGAGTCCAAACTTGTCACAGAACAATAAAGTATGCAAAGAACATTTCACTGAAATATTATTCTCACTTATGACCTTGTTCTGTTTCTTGTGTTCCCCTGCTTATCTCGTATGTGTGGTTACATTGCAGAGTTTGGCTAATAGTTGTTTTCCAGTAAATAAAGGTCCATCAGCCAACCGTCTTCACGGTAATATAACCTTCCTAGATTCAAACAGATGAAGCCTTTATTGTTTCAACAGTTATTATCTTACTGGATCCTTAAAGATGCTCCAACCTTTTTGGGGATTTTAACTTTAAAACTGCAGATTTCTTCTTGCGCCAATTCTGTGATGCACATACATGTTCAGGAGGATCAAGGCCCTTATCTAAAAAACCAAAGGTAACATAATAAACATTTTTTTAATATGATATTATATCATATCAAATCTCATTTAATCTCAGTAATATGTTTTGCAGAAGAGAGGTAAGTTATACATTATCATCTCCATCAGCACTTTGATAGTGCTTCTTCTCTATTACAGCTTTGTCTATTTGTTCCAAAGGTAAACAAACATTAGAATATTGTTTCCGGTTTTCTACAAAATATAAATCTGCAAAAGCTTCACATGAACTCATTGTTTCTATGTTTTACTAATCTGCAGAGGATTAAAGAGGGGATCTCAAGAACTGAAGCGTATTAGACGCAATGGTCTGAAGAAGAAACCCTTCTAAAGCATATCAACCTTTAGCTATAATGGCTGCTTAATCGTCTGAGAGAGAATACATTTTTTTCTTTGGTAGATGATTACAGTTAGGATCAGATTAGTGCATTTTACAAATACCTTATAATTTATATTACAACTTGTACTAATATTATTATTACTTGGAATTCAATAGTGTTTACTGCAATTAGAGCGGTACTATCACAATTAACATCTTTTAACTGTGGGGTTAACTTTTAACTCTGGTTAGCGATTCCGTTACCCATGTTAACGGCTCTTAACTCGTAGGTAAGATTCTACCAACTATTTATAAATGAATATTTTTTAAGACAACATTTAATAAAAGAGGTATTTTTATTCCAATTTTAAAACTACAGGTATTAAACGGCCAAAATAAAAATAGATGACGGTTTTTTCGGGGTTTTTCCCTTTCACACTCTTAAAAAGTTCACCTTTATATTTTATAATTTTTCATTTTCATATATCTTGTTAGTATCATTCTTAATTATTTGGTTTTTATCAATTGGGCCGTTTGATGAAAGGCCTTTTGGGCCAAATTACAAAACAGATATCTTTGGAAGAACCAAAACGACAACGTGGGATATACGTTTGAGATGACGTGAAGAAAAAAAAGGAGATAAGAGCATGCACATAGTTGATACTCATAGAGTATCATTAACAATTTTTTAGTATTAATTTTAATGTTTGTTTATTGTTTGAGATTTTTTTTGATACTGGTAATAAATCTGTTTGCAGTGGTGAGACCGGTATTGGTATCATTAATAAAAAAAAAAATATTTAAAATCGAAAATAAATATATAAAAACATAAGATTACAAAAGGTAATATTACAATCCATAAAAACGTAGAATATACTTAAGCAAAAAAAAAAAACGTAAAATTCAAAAAAACAAAAAACATGATGATAAAGATAATTTAGTCGCCACGAGTCAATTACCTTAGCCCCATTTTTGCTAAATATGCTCAATTAAATTTTCTTTCAATTGTCGGTGAGTTTCTTCTTGACAAATTTAAATTCGATTGGCCATCATATTGTTCACATTTGTAGATGTCTCTGTAGAAAAAGAGTAGTCCACATGAGAAGTCCCGCATGTTTGATTTCTTTCAATTTTGATAGATTTATAAGACTTTTGGTTTAGTCTGGTTTTAATGCATGTTTTAACAGAATTTAAGAATTCAAAATTTCTTAAAAGATCCAAAAACTTGTTAACAAGACAAGAATGTTACAGAATCTGCAATTCTACACAACCAAAAACAGAGAACGCTTCACATAAAAATAAGAGAACCAACAGTTCCCTGATCTTCACAGTTGGATAGTTTCAATCTAAGAACCAGAAAAACAACCATAGAAAGAGAGTCACACACAATGTTGTTGAGACTTGTCTTGTGTCTTAAGCCGCGGTGCAACCTCCACAGACAATACTCCTACAGATTTTTGAGAGGTGAAATTGGTAAGAGTCTTGTTTATAAACTTTTTACTACAATCTCTTCACACAGTACAAAAATAGATTCAGTCTTTTAAAGCGCTTACGCAATGGAGCAACCGGATCTTCTATGTTTCTTCCTCCTCCTTGTGACCTCTTTCCTCCGTGGAGACTGAAGAACCACCTTGATTGCTGTGTCAAACACCGCTTTCACGTTCTACAACATAACCAAAGTAAAGTCATCATAAGATTCTAACATTCTCACCAAAACATTACTTCTTGAGTCAGGGAACTTACTTGTTGAGTCTTGGAACTGCACTCGATATAAGCAGCTGCACCAATTTTCTTTCTCAGTTCCTCTCCCTATATCCAAAAGTCATAAGCTTGATAAAGCGTTGAGAAATAAACTAAGGACTTGAATAGCTCATGAAGAGCTTTATTATGCAAATAAACTAAACTGAGAGAGCTTAAATTGCCACCAAGATCAAATGATTCTAGATTTGATATTTCATAAGATGAGAAGAAGAGAGTTGTCTCATGGTGACCTCATTGTCTCTCTAAAAAGTATTTGTGACCTCATTGTCTCACTAAAAAATAATCCGGGTTTCTTTACCCACTTAACTCCTCTAATTTGTCTCATGGTGACGAAGAATTATCTTCCACAACTACTTAAATCCTACTCACTATTTGATTCTCATCCATCAGCCAACTAAAATTTGCATAAACCCAATCCGTTTTTCTCTTTGGCAATTTATCAAACACCTTGTGTGCGCTCAGCAAAAACCAGAAACTTTGCAGCCATAAACCCATTCTTATCAAACCCAATCAAGCAAATCTATTTCTTGATTCCAATCCTATGAATCTAAACCAACAACCTTGTATTTCTCAAGCTATAACACAACGTCCCTCCATATTTGTCTCGGATGAAAGAACAGAACATTACCGTGGAGGATGGAGAAGCTTGAAGTTCAGTCCATCATCGTTAAGCACAAGCTTGATGTTCTGCAATGTCTATAAGTGGTTCCAGACACGAGAACAACAAGACCTGTTGTGTCGAGATTCATGACGCCATTCTCACCGAGCAACAATAAACACGTTACCGATTCTCTCCTTGAAGCCTCTGGATTTTCTCTTGATTCGTCAACATAGCTTCTTTTTCAATCCAGAACAAGCCGTGAAGAGGAGAGAAGAGAAGAAGCAAATGATTTTTTTTTTGAATCAACAGAGAAGAAGCACCAGAGGAGAGAAGAGTAGAATCCCTTTTTTTTGTTCGTCGTCGCCTGAATCAACAGCGAAGAAGAAGACGCAAATAAATTTTTTTTTTCCTCTGTTTTCACCGAAACCGTGTTTTTCACGGTCCAATGGCGTTCTGCCACGTCACACCAAAATGAGTATCACAAGTATCAGTCCACTGATACGGATCAGGCCCAATTATGTTATTTGGTCCATTTTTAAATAATTTCTGGGCTGATGATACTCAGAAAAAATTACCAGTGTACATGGTCTAAGTGGATCCTACTTTTTCCCAGTATAAGTCCAATATCACTCAAAGTCAAGACACTAATCGAATCATAGCCTCGTCTCTTTCAAGCTCAACTTCAACGATAAACAAAAAAACAAAAAGAAAATAAAACAAAGTGGATAAATTCAAAGCACTAAAAGTAGGTAAATAAATAATGAGGTAAAATATAACAAGCAAGGTATCGTAACTTTTTATTTGCTCTTTTCTTCTTTTGGCAAATCTTTACATGTTTCTACATATTATATACCCTCACTCTTCGAATGTTTTATCGAAAAATAAAACATTCTTCGAATGTATATTACTACGACAGACACTATACGGTATAACGTGGATAATTACATGTATTGTATATTTGTATTATTGAGCTTGTATTATTGTGCTAATGATTTGTGACAAAAAAAAAGTATTTGTGACAATAAAACCAAAGAGTTTTAGATATTTTATTGGTTTTTTTAGAAGGAAAGACAGATAGATAAACCGGTCGAACCGGTTGGTTTAGCACAATAAGCGGTCTTTATCTTAAACCTTCAACATCAAAGTTCGTAAATTTCCATAAACGTCTTTGAGCACCGAAGAAGAAAGTTGAAAATTCCCAAAGAAACACAAAAAAAAAGGCAAAACCTAAACCCCATATTTATCTGTCTTTTTTCTTTATCAGAGAATTTTAAAAAGGTAAAAAATAGATTATTCTATTCTTTCAGAAAAATTTTATCGACCTAAAATCTTCGTAGCCTGCGACAAAGAGAGACTAAGAAAGAACTAAAATATTTTGCTTCATCTAATTACTTTTTTTTTTGGATTTAATTCTCAGCCATCGCCGCCGTTTTCGGCGGTGTAAAAGATGAAGAACCGTAGGAAACGCGGTGGTTTAAGCGGTGGCGACGTCGTTGTTTCATGGAGAAGATTTTTCCGATTTGTTTCTTTGTTCGTCTTCTCCTTCGTTCTCTTCTCTGCTTTGTTCATCTTCTTAGGTAATCAAACAAACAATTAATCACGACCGTTTTCTTTATTTATTATTACTTATTGCTTAATACTAATTAATATTTGAATAAATCAGGTAAATTTCGACCGGTGGTGCGGTCATCGGTCAACGCAGTTCTCCGTGGTTCTGTACCGGCGGTTAAGGTGGTGACAATCCATGAAGCAGTTGAGTTTCCCGACCAAACATTGATTTTCCTAAAATACCCTCCATCTTCTCGGTTATTTACAAAAGAGGACCTCTTTTGCGTTTTCTCCGACGTAAACGATTCGTCTAAACTATTTAAAGAGCTTCCGTTCGCGGTGGAAACCGACGAATACGGCCGTCAGATGGTACGGTGCTCCGCCGTGCCGCGTGGCAATACCATATCCCTCGCCGTTTCGAGATGGACGGTTGAAGATAATAATCTCCAAGTAGGGCTCACACACCGATGGGATTGGCTGGTGTACGACGCCGTGATCGACGACGACAATTCCACGGTGGTTTTTGTCAAGGGGCTTAATCTACGGCCAGGAAAGGTTGCTGACGTGTCGAGATATGAGTGCGTGTACGGTTGGGATTTTACGAAGCCTAAACTTTTGCTTAGAGCACAAGTTATCTCTGCGGCCCAAGAGATCGTACGATGCAAAACGCCACTAACAGTATTAGACGGCCCAAGAAAGGCCCAATCTCAACCGGTGAAAGTTTCTGTGAGGATCAAAGGAAGTGGGATGCTTCCTTCTGTTGCCCACCCAATTAAACGTCCGGGTCAGGTCAAAGACACGAAAACGTTTGAGACGTGCGTTTGCACCATGACACGAAACGCAGCAAACGTTTTAAGAGAATGGGTGATGTACCACGCCGGAATCGGCGTTCAACGGTGGTTCATCTACGACAACAACAGTGGCGACGACATTGTTTCCGAGATCAAGAATCTAGAAAATCGCGGTTACAACATCTCGAGACATTTTTGGCCGTGGATCAAAACTCAAGAAGCAGGATTCGCCAATTGCGCGATTCGAGCAAAGAGCGATTGCGATTGGGTCGCGTTTATCGACGTCGACGAGTTCTTTTACATCCCCTCTGGTCAAACCCTAACCGACGTAATCAGAAATCACACAACAACACCGTCATCGTCCGGCGAGATCGGTGAAATTCGAACGCCGTGTCACAGTTTCGGACCGTCGGGACTTAGCGATCCACCGCGCGGTGGAGTCACAGCGGCGTATACGTGTCGTATGGCGTTACCGGAGAGACACAAGAGCATAATTAGACCGGAATCGCTAAACGCGACGCTGATAAACGTCGTGCATCATTTTCACTTAAAAGAAGGATTCGCGTTCGCTGACGTGGATAAAGGTATGATGGTAATTAACCACTATAAATATCAGGTTTGGGAGATATTTAAAGAGAAGTTTAAAAGGAGAGTGGCGACTTACGTGGCGGATTGGCAAAACGAAGAGAATGTCGGGTCGAAAGATCGGGCACCCGGATTAGGGACCCGACCCGTTGAGCCGTCTGATTGGGCTGAAAGGTTTTGTGAAGTGAGAGATATTGGGCTTAGGGATTGGGTGTTGGATAATTTCAGGGACCGTAAAACACAGCGTTTAGTATGGGAGAGAGAAGCGAGGAGAGTGGAAGATGAAGTTATAGTTCAAATGGGCTCATGGGCCGATAAAAGGGTTGGTCGGAAGAGGAAAAAACAATTGAAAGCCCAATAGTTTTTGTTTTTTTTTTCTTTTCTTTGTTTCCGAATTTTTTCCACGGTGAAAATAATGTAGAGATTAGTCCGATTTGTAAATATTGATTGCTTCCCGAGGAAAAAAATAAGACGAAACAAATGTTACACTCTTTACTTAATAAGGTTTAAAAAAACCTCAATATAGATTTACATTTTAATTTTAGTTTTATCAAGAAGAAACTTGATGGTGACTATGATTATCGACTTATCATTGTCATAATATGGTTACACCAATCATTATTATATTGTCATCAGACGGCGTTTTGTTTCCCACATGGCTAGCTAATCCAGGTTTTATTTTCTTGCAAAAAGAAACCACCGGTTCTAATTGTATATTTTTTTTGCATTAATTCTTGATTTGATTTTATTATATTTTTAACATCTCATTAGTTTTTGATTACACTAACATTTATTAAGCATAATTTAGTAAATTTATCTTCTCGTATCTTATTGAATAACGTCATTATACTCATTTTTTTCCTGATTTATCTAATTAAAAAAAGTGAGTAATTATGATTAAATTTATCTTAGCCAAAATAGAGCGAAATATGTGCTTATTATATTTATATTCATGTACACGTATATGGAATCTTACTCTAAAATTTTCCTTACCAAAAACGAATTGGGCTCCACGTTTTTTTTTTTTTTTTTCTTTAACACAATTTTCTTTAACACAATCGAGTATTTAATTCTTAATTCTATCAAATCACACAATAATAAATGCTATGTGCCCCATAATTTAAAGGTTAATTTATTTTTATGATCTAATTTTTTACCTTCATTGCCTACCCCATAAGAGGCCATAAACAATAGTTCACTTTATGACAAAGATAATTCACTTTTAAAAACTTTCTTATTCTGCAAATCATATAATCTTAATATTTAGGAATAATAAATGCTATGAGTCCAATAACTAAAGTTTATTTTGTTTTAATGAGGCTAATTTGTTACCCTTCATTGCCTACCCATAAGAAGCCATAAACAATAAATCACTTTATGACAAGATAAAACTCAATTATTCACTTTTAAAAAATTTATGATTCTGCAAAATATTTACATCTTTTTTTTGCTTTTTTTTTTTTGAAAGCCAAATTATTGGCCAATTATAGGAACATGATAGACAGAAAATCAATTCTAATCTTAAACAGCTGTCTTGATCAATGCACCAAAAGCCAGGGCCAATTCAACAAAAAATAGAAACAAATCTTATTTTTAGACCCAAATTTTAAAAAATCTTATTTTAAGATATTGTAATTAATTTCAATATATCATAAACAAAACCTTTTTCTCTCTATATAAACAAATCTCACAAACCTATTTACACAACAAACAACACAAATCTTTTTCTCATTCATCAAAAAAAACCAAAGCAAAACTCAAACGTTTTTGACGAAGATGATGATGAAGAAGATGTTTGTTCAGATCGCTGTGGTTTGCCTATTGGCGACCATCGCCGTTGTGTCCGCCCATGAGGGTCACCACCACCATGCTCCCGCTCCAGCACCAGGACCCGCATCTAGCTCAGCCGTTGTTTCGGCCACCAATTTGTTCACCGTCTTGGCTATTGCCGCCGTGGCTCTCGTCGTTGGTTCCAACCACTAAGTTGGTTATTACATTCGTCGTTTTGTTTCAGTTTCTATGAATTGTTCTCTTGACTTTTAATATTTTTTGAAAATTTCTCATTTGTTTTATAACTCTCTCCATGTTGATCTGATTTCTTGAATAAAATAAAAGTTTATTGAACGTGAGTTATTCTTTAGCTACGAGATCTTCAAAAGCAATTGAATTCTTGTGAAAACAATGTTTAATTTTACGAAACCATCTATAATCTGCCAATTATTCATAATAAGGTTACTTGATTGTATGCTCTATTGGATCTGGTATCTCTTGTAATTTTTGGAGTGAAAACTGGACTGGGTTGGGTCCTCTCTTGGAGATTACTGGAGATTCTGGTCCTGCTGTTACTGGTCTATCGAAGGATTCTGTTGTTGCTGATGCTATTGTTGATGGTGATTGGTGGATAGCAAGAAGCAGAAGCAGAAACCCTATTATTCATCTCCTCAAGGATTGTTTGCCTCCTTCTACTATTGTTAATTCAGAGGATGGGGCTGTTGATGATTGTTTCTTATGGAAGATTGGGGACGGGCAGCCATCCAACACTTTCTCAGCCTCAAGGACGTGGGATCATCTCAACCCGGCGGGACCTCCTGTCGATTGGTGTAAGACAGTCTGGTTTAAGGGTAGAATCCCTAAACATGCATTCCTCGCTTGGGTTTCTTCTCGGAACAGGCTTCATACTCGAGACAGATTATTAAGTTGGGGTATTTCGGTTCCTTCGACTTGCCTCCTTTGTAATACTCATGATGAAACGAGACAGCATCTATTCTTTGATTGTTCTTATGCGGGGGCTGTGTGGTCTTCTTTCACTTCAAGAGCCCGTGTCGTTCCTCCAATCTTGCTTGAGGACTGCCTCAGATGGCTAAAGAACCCTTCCCGTGATAAGAATGTTGCTCTGATACTTAAGCTGGCTTTCCAAGCATCCTTGTATCTCTTATGGAGGGAAAGGAATTCGAGACTCCATAATAGCTCATCGAGACCTTATTCAGCTTTGATTCAAGAAATTAATACTCTCATTCGTTGCCGACTTGACCCGCTATCAAGGGAGCGTAGATCGAATCCTCAGTTTGTTTCTCCTCTTGTAACTTGGTTTGGTGTGTTTCACAGTTAATGTGCTCTGTTGTTATTTGTGATAGGTGTTACTCGGTTTGGAGGCACTTTGTAAGGTTTGGTACAGGTACCCATAGTTTTTGGGCCTGAGGTAATATATGGTAAGTTTTAAAAAAAAAAAAAAAAAAAAAAAAAAAAAAAAAAAAGGTTACTTGAAATTGAATAAACAAAATATTACTCATTAGATAGAAACAGGAGTAAATTACACAAAACACACATAGTGTACATGAAATTGAATATTCGGAGGAGAAGTCAGTAACAATATATTGTGACAAACTCAAGTGATTTAGGGAAAAATCAAACTCTTCTTCTCTATTTTCTTTACATCTAAAAAAAAAAAACAAAATAATCAAATCTGTTATTTTTAGGAAAACCAAATATTAGAGAGCAACGCTTTCTACCTGAGCTAGAGTTTTTTTTTTACACACACAAACAAATAGAGATATATCATCATGATTCATTCATCAAGAGTCAGTCCCATTACCAACAAATCCAAGATAAATTAAGAAAGCCTTGTTAAATGGTAAATAACTGAAACACCTGTGTGAGACCGAGAACAATTGTTGAAGAAACACAAGTGTTATACTGATTCAAGGCTTCTTCGGTTCTTCCTAATGCTCCATTAAAGCGGCTTCGGTTTCTGACAGAGGAGCTGCAAAAGGAAAGTGAAATTGTAATAAACTTCATGAACTCTGTGAATGACACCAATGTCAGATCCTAGATGCTGTGATTTTGCAATCTACGTATATACTTAGAGAAAAATCTACACAACGTTTTTTCTATATTATCGGCCATTTCTTGCGTTCTTCTATTTAGATGATTAGGCTACCATTAAACCTATGTGACTATGAGGATGATCAACGTACCTAACAAGTCTTCATAGGCATCTGATAATAAGGACGAATCCATTAGTAAAGGTGGGGAAAATACTTGATCATCAACATCGTAAAACGATTGTTGTGCATCAGAAGCTACACTGTTTGATCCAGCAACCGACAGAAACCCATTTCCGTTATCGTAATCTTTGAATGAATCTAGATCATCAAACGTGTCAGGTATATCACTGTACTTGCTTGGCGCAAAGCTATCAGGAACATTGGGTTCAAGAAACGAAGGCTCGCTCATAGAGGTAAGTGCCCTCGACCCTCTGAGAGGCAGGGCTTTGGTTTCTGATGGAAAACGGGAAAAGCCAGTTGCTGAAAGAGGTACAAAATAATGCTCGGAGCCCTCATCGGATTGACTGTCCCGTGATGATCCTGCTGAAGAAGGAATCAATAAAGCCGCTTCCCTCACAGATTTCTTTAGGTTCTGGACAAAAGAACTGCTTGTATCTGAAACCAAAATTAGAGTGTAAATTTGAATTAGGAGATAACACATGAAGTAAATGAACTAGATTCTCTTACAAACGGATATGAAGAAAATGAGCTACTCATTAGATTAGTTAGAACTGGAATAGGCCTAGAATGGATGATTGGTACCAAAACTAAAAGCGTGAAAAATTCACATCAGCAGAACCTTCTTTTGATATACAACTACATATATTTCGCTTTAATAAAGAAGGTAATCATGTAACAAACCAGTCGGTAAGTTGTCTGGTCGAGCATTTGATAGTGCTTGGTCGGTAGAGTTCTTCTCTGACAAGCTTTCCATTTTATTGACCTGAGAAGCCATTGTCTGTCGCTTTTGTCCATTTCCTCCTTTACCAGAAGAAGTAGGAGTGGAGCTAAATAACTGTGGAAGCTTTAATGTAGGACTAGCTGAGACCTTCTCGAGCTGAACATTAGACATTGTTGAGGTCAGCTCAGCAACATCATTGGATACACCTTCCTGTATCACAAGGAAAAAATGTACATGAGCGTCTCAATTCTCAATAAATTATATGTCGGAAGAGGATAAAAATTAAGTCACTGCTACCATAATTCTCCCACTGCCCTGAGATTGTAGAAGTGAAGATGCTTGCCCATTACTTCTCGTAACTGGAGGCAAGGTCGGGGGAAGACTATTAACCATCTCAGTACATTCCGATATGGATTTTTGTATGGCTGGAGAAACTTCCTTTAATTGGTTGATAAGAACCTGCATTTAGTGTGCCATCAGCAGTAAGAACATAGTAGAGATTGAGCCAGTACATATGAGCTCGATGCATAAGAAAGGTTATCGGAGCACGCTCCAAGAGATTCTACAAAGACCGTGGTAATGAAAAGCAGCTTTCTTATATATATGTTTATACATTGTTGCGGATACCCTCAATAAGCAGCTTTTTTTATGACAAGTTGCGGATACCCTCAATAAGCTTTGTTTCCTTGACATTTTTCATCAATACCCTTAAAGAAAAGCAGCTTTCTTATATATATGTTTATAGATTGTGCATTTGACTTCCATAGTTGGCCAAAAGCTATTTCTAAATAAGGGAACAAACAAGCTACCATATTTACCTGAAAGCTAGCTAAATGTTGTTGATGTTCAGTCAAAGTTGCAGCCAATGATTCAACATGCCCACTTGTACCACCATCACTCGCAGTCCGCAAAATATCTGGACCATCCCCATCATTGGCTTTAGCCTGAAAACATGTACAGATGGAAAATAAGTAATCCTGAATTCCTCATAGAAAACAGTGTGTGGAACATTAAGCAGTGAGGGCCACTGTATAATTTGCGAAAATGATAAAAGGTACTTTCAGTGAAAAAACCCACAACAAGACATGAGAAGACATACCAGAAGAAGAGACTGTTTATGAATACGCTGTAATGCATGTGTCCAGCGCCTTATGACTTCCGCTACATCGACTGTCTGGTTAATCTTTCCACCTCTATCATCTACTCGAGAAAGTGTTTCATCACTTGCTTGTGAGCTGGCTGTTTCAAAACTGTCTCCTATAGAGTGGTCATGCATGTTTGTGTACGATCCATCACTTAGTTCTTTGTCATCCGCAAGTGAAGCTGAATCATCTGAATGGGCAGAGAGTAATTCTGCACGAGGAACTTGAGAACTCTGATCCATCGCTGCAAGTAGGGCCGATCCTGAAATTCGGTATCTACAAATCAAAGAAAACCAGATATCAGTAAATGGATAAGTGAAATTTAGGCCATGTATCTTACAAGAAGCCAGTTACCTATGCTCCCTGTGAGCTATCAAATCCTCAATGGGACCTGACGCAAGAACTTCATGCTGACCTGAAGATAGTAACAAAAAAACAAGACTATAAACTATATAACTTCTGCATAATTCCATATTTTGAGTACTTATCCCTGTATTAACTCGTAAGAACAAATAGAACAGCATAAAACCTTACCTTTACGAGCCATTATAGAATCCCATAACCTAGTAGCCTTTGAAACTAGATGAGAATTCTGACTGGAGCTAGACACAAGGTCATCCCACACTTCTCCTTCCTGCTTCACTTTGTTTCTCAAATCGTTAAGTTTTTCTAGTTCCTGTTGCAGGTAAGCCTGATGCCAAACAAAAAGAAAATGAAATGTATCAATAAAAGCCATAAAAACCAGACAAGACCATTGAGTACTTCGCACCAAAAAATAACACCTTACCTCTTCAGCACAGAGACCACGGAACTCTGCAGTCATCTCATGGGCTAAATTAGACCACATGGCCTGTCTTTGTACAGCAGTCTCTGCATTTTTAAGAAACCGACGACGCTCAAGCACTATCCGGGCCTGAAAATCCATTTCTATGTTATCCCATGCACTAGCCAACAAGGTTCACATAGACCAGTGAAAGTATAACACAAAATCTTTAAGGTAATGCTTTTGGTACTACCTTGGTTACAGGAAGCAAAGTAGCTGCATGTGAGAAGGATACGTCAGTTAGAGAAGAAGGTAGAGGATTGGAAGCTACATCAGCAGGAAACGTCCGCCTATGAACTTCTCTTAACGCATGCAATGAAAGTTGCCATAAGAGCTCCACAAATCTGCAAACAAAACATCAGATAAACCCCAAGAGCTTAATATTAAGCCTAAAGTGCCCAACGAATAGGAAGCAGGAATGACTAACTAGTTGCTCATTATCAAGCACTATAAAGAAACCAAAATGAACATAAACATAAGAATCACATCACAACGTAGCATCAACCAACCTTGGACCACAGCAAGTGGCTAGTGATGAAACCCTCGAATTACTCCTTGGTAATGCCCCTTGTGATTCAAGCTCGCTTATAATTGCTTGAACAACCTTTCAGATGCATAATTCTAGTGTTAAGTAAACTACGAACTCAATAAGAAAACAAATTGCTCACAAACACTAAAGAAACTTGATTTCTCAAGCCTCTTTACCTTACGAAAATCGCGAGATTGAGCCGAATCGAAAATTGGCCAAACCTTATCAAAATCCTGAGAGATCAAGCCAAACCAAAATCAAACAACTGATTCCAAAACCCAGAATTTCAAAATCAATTTCGTGACGAGTGAGGCGAGAGAGAGATGGAGAGAGAGAGAGACAGTGAAGAGAGAAATCGTACCTTTGAAGATTGAGCAGGGCCACGAAGAGAAGAGAGGATGAAGTAGAGAAGCTGTTCACCGAGCTTTGGATTGGAATGGCGAAATAACCCGACCCGAGGCGTGCCATTGGAGGCTCCGAGTCCGATCACGTTCGGATCCAAACCTAAAAGCAAACAGTTTGTGTACATTGCACTCTCGAGCTCAAGTTCTCTCTCCTTCTCTCTGTCCATCGTCATCACCGTCGTCGTCTCCGATCTTCTTCTCGTTTTTTTTTTCCTTTTCGATTTTTTTTCCCCTTTTAATTGAATCTCGATCGAAATGTGTTGTTTCCGGCGACTTTTTAAATTTTAATCCCTCAACATTAATAATTTATAGAAATTGCCCTTAACTTTTATTGAAGATCTCAACTTTGGCATCGAAATTTATATGCGAAATGAGACAAAACAATTGCGATAAGTGAAAAAAAAAAAACGATGCAAAAGTTGAATAGTATTAAATTATAAGAATCAATGATATATGATAGTTTGTTTTAACACTGTTAAAAAAAGTTTAAACGTAATTTTTCAAACGTAATTTTTATCTATTTTCAAAATTAAAAATAATGATATGTAATGGAAACTTATTTGAATGATATTGTTTTGGAGTGGTTGGATGCAAACGGTGTGATCATAGACAACAACACGAACAAATAGTTTTTTTTTGTTAAAACGAATTTCAAAAATTTACACTTTAATTTAGAATAGTGATACTAAAATATAATCATTATAATTTACATATTAATTATGTTATATTTCGCTATAAAAAAAAAACTACATTGTACTTTACTCTTATTTACAAACTAAACATATATTTGACACAACGTTTAAGATATAAGATAATAGATTTAAAGATTAGTGAAATTTTGGATTCCCAACAATAAAAAAACTATTTGAAAAAAGAAATTTATAAGATATCTAAACGATTAGGATCGTAATACTATAAACATAAGTAATAGGGGTAAAACGTGAGTTTTAAAGACTAGAGCACTAACTTTGTAAAATACTTTGGACTTTATCCCGACGACACGTCAGTTAACCATAGGCATTTTTCAAATGAAGATGCGAGGCTAAAGCTAATGTGCGCCTACGGCATTGTCAACAAATCACAACAAGCCACGTCACAACTGTTTATCGGATTTTATTGTTTGTTTAAGTAAAAATCTCAATGGTTGGATAATAATAGAATTTAAAACGGATATATGACTTCAAACATTGTTAACAGTTTTGTAAATTCGTAAAAGGACCAATAAAATGTATACTTTGTTATATTGCAGCAAACTTAATATTTGGGTTATTTAAAAGATTTTGATTTTGGAGCAAATTGATTATTGATGTGAGATGCTATTGGATTTACTAATACTGCCAATTGTAATATGGAGATATAATTTTGTATTGGTACAACGGAACCTGGTGGATTTAAAATAGACACTGTACGCGTTTTGTTGTTATTAAATTTGCATTATCGGTCCAACGGTCGGCTTTTATGATTTTGTGTAGTATTTTATATGTTAATCTATCTTTAGTATTATCCTTGAATTTGAACCAAAGCAAACACATTAATTAGTAGGACGATTGCTTAAATTTAAATTATCGTACATCTTTTTCTATTTATACATGCCAAACATATAGTTATAGGTTTTATACTAGATTAACAAAAATGACGTATTAAAAGTTCTGAAAATTCTATTTAATATTTTTAGGTCTTTTAGAAAATATAAGTCATTTTGAAATCATAGATTATTTTTTAAATATTTTTTCTTAGCTGGTATATTCAATATCTCAGGTTTTGATTATATATAACAAAAATACATCAGTCATGTACGCCATTGCTTTTATTTTTTTCAGAATATTGTTGAATTATTATAATGCAAGGGTTTTTATTTATTTTTTTACTATAATGCAAGTTTTCTTTTTTTACCATTAATATTTCATATACTTATAAATATATAAACCGACCATGTATCTCTTGATATCTTCTTTGTGATATAAGTTATAGATCAAAGAACTTGGCATGCTCAGTTCTCACAGGTTTTCTTTTAGGTATTTTAAGCACTAGTTGATTAGTAGATTAATAATACTCCACAGTGTAGCTTAGAAGCAAATAAAGGACCATTGCCTAAATCTCTAGAAACAGTTTCAACCACATACCTTTCTATATATAATCAATTCTTATTCGTAATCAGAAACCTGATTTTGAACATGCAAACCAGGTTCCTCCTTCACAAGTATCTTTGATTTGCCTACTTAAATGGATCAGATTCTACAAACTCTTTTTCACACAAGAAAAATTATAACAGAGTTTGCAGTAGATGAGTCACCAATTACCTCGTCTTTCGTTAGAAGATTAATAGCTGGAAAAAATCAAAATAATAGTTCTCATGTCAATCAAAACCATAATCTAGATGAAACTTGAAAGACTATATATATCTGATTTCAGGCCAATCTCTCTATGCAATACAGTGTACAAGGTGATTTCAAAGCTGTTGGCGGGTAGGCTGCAATCTCTCCTTCCCTCTGTTATCTCCAATGCTCAGTCTGCTTTCCTCCCAGGTAGAATACTTGCTGAAAACGTCTTGTTGGCCACAGAACTGGTCAATGGGTATAGTAGAAAGAATATTGGCCCAAGAGGCATGCTGAAAGTTGACCTGCGGAAGGCATTCGATTCGGTGAAATGGGAATTCATCACTGCCATCTTGAAAGCCATGCACTTCCCGGACAGATTCATAAACTGGATCTCTCAATGCATCTCAACTCCACAATTCTCGGTTTCTGTTAATGGGGTCACCTCAGGTTATTTTCAAAGCTCTCGTGGATTAAGGCAGGGAGATCCAATCTCTCCCTACCTGTTCGTTTTGGCAATGGAGGTCTTCAGCAAACTTATGAGCTCTAGTTTCGCGGCTGGCTTCATTAATCATCACCCTCAAACAAAAGAACTTGATATAACCCATTTGATGTTTGCGGACGATGTAATGGTTTTCTTTGATGGTTCTTCTTCATCTCTGACAGGTATCTCTGACGCTCTGGACATCTTTGCAAGTTGGTCTGGTTTGAAAATGAACTGTGAGAAAACTCAGATCTTTACTGCTGGTTTAGACCCTGGTGAATCCTTAGCAATCTCTAGCTTCGGATTTCCCATTGGTTCTATGCCCATCAGATATTTAGGTTTGCCTCTAATGAGTAGGAAACTAAGAATTTCAGAATACTCTCCACTCATTGAAAAACTGAGAAAGCGTTTTCAAAGTTGGGCTACCTCTTCTCTGTCTTACGCTGGAAGGCTGCAACTGATTAAGTCAGTGATCTATGGTCTGATTAATTTCTGGACTTCTACCTTTATCCTCCCAAAAGCTTGCATCAAATTGATGGAATCTCTGTGCGCCAGGTTTCTCTGGTCTGGTTCCGTTGATATTTCAAAAGGGTTTAAGGTTTCTTGGGCCAATATTTGTTATCCAAAGACTGAAGGTGGTCTTGGTTTGCGTCGGCTGGGAATTTGGAACTCTACTCTCTGTTTGAAGCTTGTGTGGCTGCTGTTCTCTGGGAGTGGCTCTCTTTGGGTGGCATGGCATCACCACCACCACATAAAAGGCAAGAGTTTCTGGTCTCTTAAACCCTCTACTAAGGACTCTTGGAACTGGAGATCATTGTTAAACTTAAGGCCCTTAGCTGAAAGGTTTGTTCAGTGTAAATTGGGTAATGGTCGGCTTGCTAGTTTTTGGTTTGATTCGTGGTGTCCCCTTGGCCCTCTAATCAAATCCTTTGGTGTTGATGGCCCAAGTCTCTTGCGACTACCAATCCATTGCTCTGTCGCTGATGCATGGGATGACAATGGCTGGATTCTTCCACCATCAAGATCGCTTCGCGCCTTCCCTCTCATCGATCTTCTTGATTCTGTTACTCCGGTCTTCAGCTCTCTTGAGGAAGATAGCTACTTTTGGGTTATCCAAGGTATTAAATTCAATCGTTTCCCCACTGCTATCACTTGGGAATCTACCAGGCCGAGGACCACAACTAAGGATTGGGCTACTTCAGTTTGGTTTAAAGGCGCCACTCCGAAACATGCTTTTACCATGTGGACTGCGCAGCTACAGCGACTGCCAACAAGGGCCCGTCTCGCTTCCTGGGGCCTTCCGATACCCTCGACCTGCTGTCTTTGTTCCATACATGAGGAGACTCACGAGCATCTCCTGCTGCGTTGTGCTTTTAGTGAGCAGGTTTGGCACCTAATCTAGCTGAGACTTTGCTTACCTCCCTGTCTTTTCTACACTTGGCCCTCGCTGATTTCCTGGACTAAAATGAGTACCAGTTCGTCTCCCTCTATTCTCCGGAAGCTTGCGAGTCATGCTGTTGTGTACCACCTTTGGAAGCAAAGAAACAATGCTCTCCACAACCAAATCTATATCAGCCCAGATGCAGTCTTTATCCTCATCGACAAGGAGCTGCGCAACACCATCTCTGCCAGACGGAACCGGAAGCATTTTAGGAACCTAATGGCTCTTTGGATCCGATAATTTGTTGATTGACACCCAACATCTCTTTGTAACCCTTGTTTTTTAAATTTTTTTTGGCAAGGCTACATTCTCTAGGTTGACTTTTTGTAAAACCTCAAACTTCATTTATATGATATTCACATTCCTATCAAAAAAAAAAAAGACTATATATATTGAGTAATGTGGGTTTAGGAAGATGGACCAAGAAGAGAGATCTAGAGGGCAAATGTTTAACTTGAGAAAGCCCAAATAATATTTGTACGATTAATCTCCTCAACAAGGATTAATAACAACGCATTTAATATCGATAGCAAAAGAAATGAAAAAACAAACAAACAAGAAAGGTAAATAAAACGAAAAAGGGAAAGCGAATCAGACCTAGTTTACCATGCCGTCTAATACAAGCAAAACATAATAAAACCCTAAAGTATTGGTGTAGTTTTCATTGAGACAAAGATGTTAGGACGGCTTTTGATTATACTCGGCTCGATATCGTTGGGACAAAAATCAATATCTAGTGCCCGACAATTTGTGAAGAAAAGAGCCATAAGCTCTCGGAGAGATGGAGGAGGTGAAGATATGATCAGTGCATTGCCAGACGATTTGCTCGTGAGGATTTTGTTATTGGTTCCAACAAAGGATGCAGTGGCTACTATGATTTTGTCAAAACGATGGCTGTCTATTTGGACGATGGTACCACGACTCGAGTACATAGATAATACTCACAAAAAAAGATTTCTTGGCCGTTTATTTGGCGCAAGTGAGCGAGAACCACAGTCTATTTTGTTGTTTCTTAACGAGTCATTGCGACTCCACAAGGCACCTATATTAGAAAGTTTGGATATAGAACTCGGTCCACATTGTCCTGTTGATGCTAACGTGGGAAAGTGGATTGCAAATGCGGTTGATCGCAGGGTTCGTGAACTAGAGTTCCAGCTCATGTGGTCCGCAGGACCTACTAGCTTGCCCAAAAGCCTTTATACATGCGATACGCTTGTGTATCTCCGTCTTTCCAACAAGGTTTTTGTAGATGTTTCTTCTCCGGTATGCCTCCCATCCCTCAAACGTCTTTACCTTGTCTCTGTAGTATACAAAGATGATGATTCTGTTGTTAGACTCTTATCGAGTTGTCCTATTCTCGAATATTTGTATGTGCGTCGACATAACCAAGACAATGTGACCAAGTTTAGTGTAAAAGTGCCATCTTTAGAGACCTTAACGTATTGGTATCCGACACCAAAAGTACTTGACGAGGAAGATGTACAAGACATTGGAGGATCTTTGGCCATACTAGATTCTAAGATTTTAAAGAAATTCAGCATCGCAGATTATTCTACAAACTCGTGCTCGATTGAGAACAAGCCTCGCCTTGATAAAGCAGTTATCTACGTTTATAGTTACCCTGATGACAAATTTATGAGATCTCTTTCCTCAGTCAGATATCTCGAGATACGTCTAAGCGTTGGAACGGTACTTTTAACCTCACTTTTACTTAATTATTGTTATGATCACATTTCTAGCGTTTATTTATTTATTGTTATGATCACGTCCTTATTGGTCATACCCTTATAGGTGTCTCACCTATTCACACATTTGAAGACGCCCTCATTTATTTTCTTTTAGTATGTTTATATTTAAAGACACCATCATGGGATGACCAATGAGGATATGTGTTGTTGTGTTCATTGCAGGTTCCGTGTTGTCACACCATTAACTTCTCACAGCTTATAGAGTGTAAAATACGTCCTTATAATTTAGATTGGTTTGAGCCATTAGTGTCTTTGCTTCAAAATTCTCCTGAACTGAAAGTTCTTCTCATCGACCAGGTCCGTGCATGCGCATGCATTACTAAAAGTAAAACTTCAAAATTAGCAAACATATTAATTACATTCCTTGATGTTGTTGCTTCACAGTTATTGTTTAGGAGTGAAGCTTTCCCGCTTTCGTGGAAGCAACCCAATGATATACCTCTATGCTTGTCAACCAAACTCGAGATCTTGGAGTGGAAAGAATATGGTGGAACAAGCGAAGAGAAACAAGTATTAAGTTACATTCTTGCCAACTCCAAATGTTTAAAGAGAGCTGGAATCTCTTTGAAATCAACCTGGAAATGGAATAAAAAGAAGATAATGAAGGAGTTAAAATCCATGTATAGGATTTCAACAACATCTCAGCTTCTCTTCGCCACTCAATTGGAGTTTGAGGCAAAAGTAATTAAGAAGAAGTGACAATTAGTCTATATCAAAGATCATATCTGCCATTATTTTACTGTTTTTTCTAGTTATTCAAGTTATTTGAACTCCAAGATCATAAATTCATATATTGTTTCGTATATTAACAGAAAGAACTCCAAGGTACGTAGTCTTTGTTCTTTTTTTTGGTAAATTTTAGGTCTTTGTTTTTTACGAATATTTTCTTGGCATTAGCTTATATTATGGGTTCTTTTTAATTGGATCACCGAATCATGTTTATTAGGAGAATAATGTGTATCTTTTCATGTACGGATTATTAGGAGAATAATGTGTATCACTTCATGTACCAAAACTGTATCTATATATATGGTATACAAATATGTATTTGATAAAGAAGAATCCACTAATATGTAATGTACTACACAAGGTTCCAACATTGGTGTAGTTTCATCGAGAAAAAGATGCTACGAAACTTAATAGACAGTGCCCAACAATTTGTGAAGCAAAGAACCATAAGCTGTCGGAGAAATGGAGTTGAAGATAGGATCAGTGCATTGCCAGATGATTTGGTCGTGAGGATCTTGTCCTTAGTTCCAACAAAGGATGCAGTGGCTACCATGATTTGGTCCGTTGGTCGTGAGGATCTTGTCCTTAGTTCCAACAAAGGATGCAGTGGCTACCATGATTTTATCGAAACGATGGCGGTTTATATGGACGATGGTGCCACTACTTGAGTACAGAGAGATCAAAGATGTTCCTCACAAAACAAAATTTCTTGGCCGTTTATTTGGTAAACGTAAGCGACCACGGTCTATTTGGTGGTTTCTTAACGAGTCATTGCTACTCCACAAGGCACCAATATTAGAAAGGTTGGATATAGAACTCGGTCCACATTGTCCTGTTGATGCTAACGTGGGAAAGTGGATTGCAAATGCGGTTGATCGCAGGGTTCGTGAACTAGGGTTCCAGCTCATGTGGTCCGCAGGACCTACTAGCTTGCCCAAAAGCCTTTATACATGTGATACGCTTGTGTATCTCCGTCTTTCCAACAAGGTTTTTGTAGATGTTTCTTCTCCGGTATGCCTCCCATCCCTCAAACGTCTTCACCTTGTCTTGGTGGTATACAAAGATGAAGATTCTGTTGTTAGGCTCTTATCGAGTTGTCCTATTCTCGAATATTTGTATGTGGTGCGTCGACATAACCAAGACAATGTGACCAATTTTAGTGTAAAAGTGCCATCTTTAGAGACCTTAACGTATTGTAATGTGAAACCAAAAGTAGTCGGCGAAGAAGATGTAGAGGATATTGGAGGATCTTTGGTCATAGATTCAGAAAATTTAAAGGAATTCGCCATCGCAGATACATCGACAAACTCTTGCTCGATTGAGAACAAGCCTCGCCTTGGTAAAGCAGTTATCTACTATTATTCGGTTCAAGCAACCGAATGATGTACCTCCTCTATGCTTGTCAACGAAACTCGAGATCTTAGAGTGGAAAGAATATAGAGGAACGAGCGAAGAGAACCAAGTATTGAGATACATCCTTGCAAACTCCAAGTGTTTAAAGAGAGTTGGAATCTCTTTGAAATCAACTTGCAATAAAAAGAAGAAGACAATGAAAGTGTTAAAATCCATGTATAGGATTTCAACAACATGTCAGCTTCTCTTCTCCACTCAACTGGAGTTTGAGCCTTGGTGTTCTCCATTTCTGCACGCATGTCACAAATTTACTGGTTGAATTATTAAAAATAAATAAAAACCAAATAATTTAGTTAAATAATATTTTTTTTTTTTGAAAAACTCCCATCGTGTCTACTGGAGATGCTCTAATAATCTATATCAAGGCTCATATATATATCTGCTAGTTTTTTTTTTGGTTAATATTATTGTTTGCTTTTTGGTTAAAATTTGGTTTTGTGACTTTTTTTTGTTTGTTTCTTTTCTCTTGGAATTTAGAAAAAATGAAAATAAAATGAAGAAAACAACAAATTTGTTTTCTATAAGTGTGCATCCGTACGTATTTTTACAAAAATCTGAAAAATGTCAACAAAAAGAAAAAGTTAGAGAAAATGACGGAAGCTAAAACCACACCAACCCCTTCGTCCTCCTCCATTTTGTAGTAGTTGAAGCTTCCTTCTTCTTCTTCCTTCTTCTTCACCTAATCCTTGCTCTCAAATCTTCTCTCTCTCTCTCTCGCCGAAGAAGCCTACTTCTTCTCTCAGGTTGATTTCTCCATTCAGATCTCCTTCTTGTTTTTTCCATGATCGTAATTCTGCAAGTAAAAATTGAGCTGACAGATTGTTCTACGATCCCCTTTGATTTCTTCTTCTCTTTGCTCTCGATTCATACTAATGAAATTATTGTTCGATCTCTCTGTTTTTTTTTTTTTTTCTATTGATGAGATTCGATCTCTGTGATGAAACCGAGGCTGTGACATTTTTTGTTTTTTGGTTCATGATTTTGATCATATAATGATTCAGTTTCTCATAAAAAACTTTTAGCTCATAATTTTGTTCACTGGTGCAATTTAGTTTAAGTGTTGTTGTATGTTATTGTTCGTTCCTCTTTGACTATGAGACTTGACTTCTTTTTCTTTGTGTTGAAATTAAGGTTTTATAGAAGATGGGATCTGGTCAATGGCACGTTGAGAAAAGGTCTACTTTTAGGAATGATTCGTTTGTGAGAGAATATGGTACAGTTCCAGAAACTGGTTGTCTTTCAATCATAGTTCTTGGTGCTTCTGGTGATCTTGCTAAGAAGAAGACTTTTCCTGCTCTTTTTAACTTATACCGTCAGGTTTGTTCCATATCAATCAGCTAGTGCATTTGTAGAATCAATCCTCTTGTTAGTTATGGTTTTTATTTTGGTTTGTATGATGGTCAGGGGTTTCTCAATCCAGATGAAGTTCATATTTTCGGGTATGCGAGGACTAAGATTTCTGATGAAGAGCTGAGAGATCGGATTCGTGGGTGAGTTCATATAGCCTTTTTGGTTTTAGTTTTAGTATTTTGATTAATAGCTTGTGAGTCCAAAGTTCATATTGGATAGTTTTTATGCAGATATCTTGTTGATGAGAAGAATGCTGAGCAAGCTGAAGCTTTGTCAAAGTTTCTACAGCTGGTTAGTCCATTTCTTTTGGGATGTTTGATTTCATTAATAGAGTCATGGTTTAGCGGTACTGAAGAAAAGTGTTTCTGGTTTTAATCTATGTAGATTAAGTATGTGAGTGGCCCTTATGATTCTGAGGAGGGGTTCCAGAGATTAGACAATGCAATTTCAGAGCACGAGATAGCCAAAAATAGTACTGAAGGGTCTTCTAGAAGACTGTTTTATCTTGCACTTCCACCGTCTGTTTATCCTTCTGTATGCAAGATGATCAAGACGTGCTGCATGAACAAATGTGAGTCCCTTTCAGCTGTGGAATTTTTTCTTAGATATAAATGGTTAACCTGCTTGAACCTAGGACACGTAAGTACAAGTTTCAGTCGATTTTCAGTTCATGTATTTATCTTTTCTCATGACTTCCAGCTGATCTTGGTGGATGGACACGGATTGTTGTTGAAAAGCCATTTGGCAAGGATCTGGAATCTGCAGAGCAACTGAGTTCTCAGATTGGAGAGTTGTTTGATGAATCACAGATCTATCGTATAGATCATTATCTTGGGAAAGAATTGGTTCAAAACATGGTAACCTGCTTGGATATTAAAGTCTAAATCATCAAGCTATTTCCTTAGACAGTCAATGATTACTTTATCCTTTGCATCACTTGCAGTTGGTCCTCCGATTTGCCAATCGCTTTTTCTTGCCACTTTGGAACCGTGACAATATCGAGAACGTGCAGGTGAGAGCTGCGTAGCTAAGACAGAAATAGTCAGACTGCTGTTTAGAGTCGAATGCACAGAAATTTCAAATGCTTTTCTTGCAGATTGTTTTCAGGGAAGATTTTGGAACTGAAGGGCGTGGCGGATATTTTGATGAATATGGGTAATACTTTTTTTTTTAGTGTCTTCATGTTCTTCATATAGGGTGTTATTGAGATGACACCAGTGCGTTTCTGATGACATCTTCACTTCTTGCTTCACAGAATAATCCGTGATATTATTCAAAACCATCTGCTACAGGCAAGTATACCTGAGATATTTTTCCTGATAACAAAACTTAATTGTAAATCTATGTGATTGTTTTTTCAGAGTTTCTCGGTAAGTGAAAATGCTTTCATGTATCAACTAACTGAGTTCATAATACTGTAGGTTCTTTGCCTTGTTGCCATGGAGAAACCAATATCTCTTAAACCTGAGCACATCCGGGATGAGAAAGTGAAGGTGATCAATATTTTTCTTGACCACTTTTAGCCATTCTATCGGGCTTTCGTTGCCTCTTTTCTCTGAATTCAATGATTGGGAACATCACTTTTTGGTCTAGTTACATTTTCCTTTAAAAATCGCCTTAGCGAGTTTCCATGGATTGGTTGATATTTTCATTTTCATTTTCAGCCAAATAGTTTCACGTTACTGATTATTTTAGTGAACTTCAGGTGCTTCAATCGGTGGTTCCGATAAGCGATGACGAGGTAGTTCTTGGACAATATGAAGGATATAGGGATGATTCTACTGTTCCAAACGACTCAAACACTCCAACATTTGCCACAACGATTCTTCGCATACACAATGAAAGATGGGAAGGTACCATGTCCCAGTTCACTCTTAAATCTTTTCATTTATCAGTCAAACCTGGAAAACCAGTTGGAAATTGACATATATGTGAGGGGGAAAAAGAGGTTTGATGGGTCAATATGATCAAATATAGCGTCAATCTTTTGGTCGAAGCACTTTGAACCAAAATTCTATGTTTGAATGGACACATAAACCCAAACCCGACATGTTTGCATGCACCTTCCAACTGTTTTGAATCATAACTTTTTCATAAACATGACTGAACATCTTTTTGTTGAATGCATATTAATCAGCTCGAAGATTAGAAAAATTGTAGGTTTCAGATGTTCTCATGATCATATATGTGTCTTTAATCCACTGTTTGTGGTCATAGCCAACTCCTCCAAACCTAAAAACACATTTTAACACCTTAAAAACAAAAGACATTAGTTTAGTTCATATTCTGATTATCCATGAGTGAATGATTATTCTCTTCAGGTATATTTACTCATTATAAAAGTCCATTTTTATTGACACGCTGATTGATATATATCTTCCAGGTGTTCCATTTATTCTAAAGGCCGGAAAGGCGTTGAATTCAAGGAAGGCAGAAATTAGAATTCAGTTCAAGGATGTTCCAGGCGATATATTCAAATGTATTGTCTTACCCTAACACCTTCTTTTCACTGTGTCTTAAGTGCTTCTATTAGCTTTTCGAATTGAAATATATGTACTAAGACTCTCTTGCAACAGGTCAGAAGCAAGGAAGGAACGAATTTGTGATACGCTTGCAACCTTCAGAGGCAATGTACATGAAACTAACTGTAAGTATATGATGAAAAACAAACATAATTTACTAATTTCTCTGACCTTGAACCATTACAGTGAACCATAACGCTTTTGGCAATGCTGTTGCTACACAGGTTAAGCAACCAGGTCTAGAGATGAATACTGTGCAAAGTGAACTAGACTTGTCGTATGGGCAACGGTATCAAGGTGTTGCAATCCCTGAGGCATACGAGCGCTTAATTCTTGACACGTAAGAAAGAATTTTTCTAAATTATATACTACCACAATAGGCTTTACATATCCAATTACTGCCTTCTGTTCCTCCATGTTACTTCAACTTATTTGCTTCCCATCCCTCTGCAGAATCAAAGGCGATCAACAACATTTCGTTCGTAGAGACGAATTAAAGGTAGAAACATTTTCTTTCGCCACCCTTAAACCGAAGCAGTCTCTGAGATCTTTTCTTGTTACACTACAAGTGTCAGCTTCATCCCAAATCTATAGACACAATACAGACATAAAAACTTTTGCACCATACAATTGAGGAGCTAATTTGGTATCCATTTTGATGATTATTACAGGTTGCATGGGAGATCTTCACGCCGCTACTTCACAGGATCGACAAAGGAGAGGTGAAGTCAATCCCATACAAACCAGGAAGCCGAGGACCGAAAGAAGCTGATCAGCTACTAGAGAAAGCTGGTTATCTTCAAACTCACGGCTATATCTGGATCCCTCCTACACTATAAAACCCTACATATATATACACACGATACATGTATCTACATGTATATGTATAAATTATGCTGAATAGTCCTCCTTGAGTTTGGTGTTTGTACGTGAAACTTACTACTTCAGCTGTACAATTTGACCCTTCTGTCTTGTGTTTGCGAAGCGGCTTTGTAGAAACAAAAATAAAAATCTTACCAATACCATGAATAAATTTTTTTGTTGTGCTCGTTAAATGAATGAAATTGGCTTTAAGATAGAAAGAAATGACGAAAGAAAAAGTTGAATTTTTTTCCAAAAAGTGTAGAGTTTGTTGACACACACATAAGTTCCATCTAGAGTTGGTTGAAACACACATAAATTCCAATCTAGAGTTTGTTGACACACATAAGTCGAGTTTGGTTATTCATGGATTTACTGCTTCCACCGATGGTCTATTATATCATCATTAGATAACCAAAAACACAAAACCGATGGATAAATAGATCTCGATAGAAAAGCAGTAAATCCATGGTTATCTTTCATTTCTCTTCATTTATTGCTCTGTTTCTTAACTTGCTCTGTTTGTGTGAAACCAATTTCGTTTCCATATGAATCGAAATGTAGCACAGTTTATCCGCATTGAACACTCGTAGGTAACTATCTAGATTTTCTTTTTCTTTATCATGAATCCATTTCAATGCAGAGCTTGTTATAATGCTTATAGTGTGTAACAAACAAATTACTTACAGCTTAATCATAACCCATTTTTGGGGTATAGAAACACCAAAATCATAACCTCATTTATTTGTTGAGAATGAGATTCAAACATGATGAAGAAAAAGACTTTTGAAGTAGAGTAAATTTTGCCCAGATTCAGAACACAATAATGACAACTCAAACAACTAGTTTCTTTTTTCTTTCTTCAGAGTTCATCAGAAAACAAAAGAGCATTTTACCGTTTTAGATTCAATCAGATTCACAACTCGATCATTAATATCGCCATTCCTCCCCACAACCTGCAGATACCACAATAGAAAGTTTTCACAAAAACAACAAAACAACTTAATTCTATGATGTATTCTAACTCTATGGATTCAAATGAAGGTTTTACATACCATCAAATCTGATCAAGATCAACGGTTCAGAGCAAAGAGCATGCTCTGGCCACCGGGTAAGTACGCCACATTAGGAGACCTAGCAAGTGTAGATGCAATCTCCCTTGAAGCCTCGATCCTCCTGAGCTCGATAAGTCCCATACCAGCTTTAGCCGTAGCATCAGAAATCAACTGAGCAGCTTCACTCTCACCTTCAGCTCTTATAACCGCAGCTCTCCTCTCTTGATCGGCCTTCATCACCACAAACTTAGACCGCTCTGCCTCCTGTTGAGCCACTTGTTTCTGCTCAACCGCCCTTGAAAACTCCACACCGTAGGACAAATGCGTGATAGCTACATCGTCAAGCACAATGTTGAAGTCCTTGGCACGGGTGATTAGCGACTCTCGAACAAGTGCTGAGACGTGAGGACGCTCTGTGAGAAGCTGGTCAGCGTTGAACTGTGCAACCACAGCTTTCAAAACCTCATTTCCAATCGAAGGCAGAACCTTCTCATCATACTCTAGACCCAAGGTTTGGAAAATGTACGGGAGACGCGACACCTTCACAACAATTCACATCACATAAACACACCAATTACACCAAATTAACAACCATTCTACAATACTTAGTCCTCACAAACATTGGTTAAAGACTTGTAATCAATCAAATTTTGAAATTCATAGATCATCAAAACCCTAAACCCTAAATCCAATTCCGAAACGAATCTGAAAATCCTCAATTCGGAGAAATCAAACGAGTCTAGTTCAAAAGTAAAGAAGCGTTATGCGTTATACCTCAGGGCGAGAGAGAACACGAAGAGTGAGGTTAACCATCTGGAGATCCTTAGTTCCAGAGATTGAAGAGAACGTGTGAGGCTTCGTGCGGATATCGAAGATGTGAGGTCTCTGAAGAATCGGGATCAAGAAATGAGTTCCTTCACCAACAGTCTGATCCATCACTCCTCTGAATCGATCGAAGATAACAGCTCTTTCTCCGCCGTCAACTGTGAAAAGCGATGTATTCAACACCGTCGCCGCCGTTCCAAGACCGAAAGCTGCCTTCGCCAAATTGGAAAGGAACGAAACCGCCGCTTGTTGGCTTCCCATTTTTGCGTGTGTCGATTAGCTTGAATCGAGAGAGAAGAAGGAAGATAGAGATTTGAGACGACGAGAGAGGAAAGAGTTTTTGCTAGGGTTTATGAAATGATTCTGGAACCTACTACGGGAAATGATTTAATGGGCCAAGTAATTTAGCCCAATATTATTAAATAAAGCCCATTAAGAGTTAAAAACGAATATTTGTATCTTTTGTAGTAAGAGTTGAAAATCAATAATGGGCAGGGCATTGGGCCTACTATAAAAGTATTAAATTAGTACAAGCCAACTTTAGTGAACAAATATCCTATACTAATATTTGGGAAGTACATCCTAAGGATCATAACTTAAATTTTGTAAGAAATTACAATATATGCCATCATATAATTCTAATCATAAAATTTATTCCATGTCACTAATATATATTAACGGGTCAATGGGTCAACGGGTTTAAAGATATTAAAAGATTTTGTTTATATAATACATAATTAATATAATTCGAGAATGTTATATACTAATCAATATTCGAGATTATATAATACATAAAAATGTTATATAATACATAAAAGATTTTGTTTATATAATATATAAAAATGTTATATACTAATATACTAATATATTATTCGAAAATGTTATTGAAAATTGAAAATGTTATTCAAAATGTTATATAGTAATCCATTATTCGAACATCTTATAAAAAATGTCATTGAAAATGATATATTATTGAAAACATTTTATATCAATTCAATTTATAAAAAATAAAAAATGCTATTTTGAATTATAATACTCATATAGTTCGAAAATGTTATATAAATTGAAAATGTTATATAATTCTCCATTTTTTATCATCTTTGACAATATTTGTTATCTAAACTGTCTTATATATAGCACGGGATTTAATATTTTTCATGAATTAAATTGTATATCCAATGCCGGTCACAAAATATATATATATTTAATAGGAATTTGATAATTGTATTTATCACAATTATTACGAAATACCTAATTAGGAAACAGTTTTAAATACCCCATATTTTTAGGAAACTATAAAACAATAGACAATAACTACCCTAATTAATAGGAAAATTTTAAAATCAAATTATCAATCACCATTAACTCACAAACCATTCGAATTAAATATATCAAAAATCTACAAACTAATAAAATAAAAAACAATTCGTCATAACTATCCCATATATTTAGTACCTATTAAACCCAATAAAACAAAACATTAAACATAATAGGAAAATCTAAATTTTTTCCTAAAAATTAGTAATTGCACATGACTATAAATACTCTAATTAAATAATTCGATTTCGAATTGTTCTAAAATCATTATTAATGCGAATTACAAATCTACCAACTAATAAATCAAAATAATTAATAGTAGGAAATTTCAAACAATAAAACAAAATAAATAATTATCGTATATTTCTAATTGGATAAATTATGGGGATATTCTTAGAAGATTCCCTAACAAAGATTTAAAAAGATTTCTTTATTAGATTTTGAAATTATTTATTTTATTTCGATTTTATTTGTTAGAGATAAATTGCTTAACACACTTCCTCACTCTATAAATAAGATATGATAGTATCACACACTTTCACGATGATATCTAATCTCTCTCCCTTTCTTTTCATTTCTCTCTTTTTTGCTTTCAGGTTTTTGACGATGATATGTATCATAAAAGTTTTTAATATTCAAGAGTTTGTGATTCACTAACGTTTATTAATGTTTGTTATTGTATGCAGGGATACAATCGATGGCGAGGATTGATAATTTTACGGTGATATGATTATAATATTTTTTAATATTGAAATGTTTCTGATTCACTAACATTTATTGATGTTTGTGATTGTGTGCAGGAATACAATTGGTAGAGGAGATGGTGATGCTAGAAATAAAAGGAGATATTAATTTCAAATTGAAGATTATGATGACAAGTAGAATAAGGTATCTACAAAACTAGAAATTGTTTTATTTTTATTTTTTTGGACTAAAAATTTATATTTATATTTATTTATTTTTCTGTTTTCAACAGAACTCCAATGGCCTTTTTTCCAAGGCTTAATAAAATTATATTTAGATTTTTTTTCCATATCTTGAAGATTAACAAGTTTTCTAATTTGTATTTCAACAATTTATGTCACAGGTTACCAAAAGATGGTATTAATCTAACATGTTCTTGAAGATAAGCCAAAAGAAGTATTGGTGGTGCTCGAAAGAAGACTGCTTTTTTTTTGTGGTGGAATTTTGCCATTAAAGTAAAACATTTGTAAATTAGATACTAAATTGTATGAAAATAGATGTTCTATTTTTTTCTTATTTCTTTTCAATTTTCGAGTTATAAAAAATTTTATGTTGGTATCCACAAATTTCGATTATGTTAATCGAGTTTTTTTTTAATATATATAACCATTTCTCATTTCTAGATGTTTAACTTATGATATTATAAATAAATTCAGTTGAACTTGAATATAACTCAACAAAAGAAATCAATTACAACGTTTAATTTTATTTTTTATTAATTCGTTTTTTATTTTGAATGATTTTATTAAGTTGTTTATACGAGTCCAAGATATGATACATAATAATAAGAATGTACATAAATATTTTTGAAACAATTAAATATTTTTAATAAGTTTTGTATATTTATGGACACTATAAATACTGTAACATGGTATCAAATAAATATATAATTAGATTAAATATTAAATATTTCAAAGATATTATTTATAAGATATTTTAGAATGAATAATTTTCTGAATCTTATGACAATATATACAAAATCGTATTCATTCACAGTTAACCTATCATGAAATATCTTTTATGTTAAAAACTTTCCAATATTAAATAAAAAAATTCATTAAAACTATTCTTCTTTTTAAATATTTTCTCGCTCTCTATTAATTAAACAATATTTTTATATTTCCATATGTTAGCAATAATTAAGGAAATATACAAACTAAATCAATTAGTTTCCTAAAAATATGGACTATATTTCATAAAAGTAAATTTGCATTTTTAATTTTCCTAACTTAACTCTACCAAATTTAAACTAATATATTTAAAATAATTATTATTCTCCTATCAACTATATTTGATTTTTCAAATATTTTGGTTCCTTTAATATTTTAACAATAATTTTTTTGCTATAATCAGCTATTCAGTTTCCTTAAAATCTTTTCTAAAGATTGTCAAATCTCTCTGTTATATAATTTTGATCCTATATTCCCAATAATCTAGAATATACCTTTCTAAAATATTATCTAACTATTTTATGCTAATTAATATATTTCTGAATCTCCTAATTATCACAAACAATCTACAACTATAAATATCCATTTAGGTTTGACGTACCTTTCTCATAGAAATCATCTCAGCACCATTCTCATATCCTACAATTAAAAAATACAGCAGAAATGGCTATGGTTAGTCCCTACACTCCTATTAACAACTTGAAGCCTGTTAAGACTTTTTGCTGTATTCAAGTTAGTATACTTCATTCGTGGATTCATTTTACAAAAGGTTCTGGCATGTCTTTGGAAATGATTTTGACAGATAAGGCTGTAAGTACCATTGAAATTTTATACAATTCTCTTTGTAATATATGTGCCGTAAGTTTTAAGTCATCTTATTTTAATTACAGGGTAACAAAATTCAAGCAGACATCAATAGGAACACATCAGCAAATTCCAAAGGTATGTTAAACCGTTTTTTTTTCCTTTTTTTAAACCATGAAACTAGGCCCCACAAACCCAATATAATCTATTAAAAAACTTAGACCGAATACAACTATTTTTTTGTTTGTTCACAATCACACAATAAAATTATCAATTCCTAATTGAACCAAAGAAATTGTTAATCTCATATAAAAAAATACAAATCTAATGCTGCTAAATATATTAAATTCTAAAATACAATATTCTCTCCTTCTTTAGTCAAATAAAATATATAACATTATATCCAAATAGTAAGAAATATAAAATATTATGATATATTCCATTTTATATTATACTATTATACTATATTATTCCTTATTTCTTCGAACAAAATATACAATTTAATTCATGAAAAATATTAAATTCCGTGCTATATAGCACGGGTGATGATCTAGTACAAATATATTCCTCGAGCTACTTGACAAATTAAACACGAATTTAAATAAATGGATTATTAGTTTTTCGTCTAAGAAAATTATTTACATGTGAGCATAATTAATAATTTTCAAATATAACGGCAGGGGACGTTGTTGTTGTGTTTTTTTCCTTAAAATAAAAGTTGTGAAACATTAATGTCTATTTTTGAAAAACTTTTTGTGACTATTTTGACCAACAAACAGTATAGGCGAATACTTTTATATTCGATTTAGTGGGATTTGAAAACAGATGTACACGAGTATTAAAACTGAATCTGAAAGCATATAAATCTCCGAATATTTTATCCTTAAAAACTTATTATGTATCTTCGACCAAAAAAATATATTTATTATGTATCACTTAATTAATATGACTCAATTAAGTCGTCTCGAATACTATGAAAATGATGAAGGAGTTTTACTTGGAAGGTCACACAGTGACCTCACCACGTTATCGAAAATGTCAAATGTTTCGGTGTCGAATCTTTATACAGGTTTGAAAATAACCTTTAAATAATTTTTATATTACAGAAAAGTCCTTCAATTTTGATTTTCAATTAAAATATTCCAGACAAATCTTTAATTTCAAAAACAAAACGTCAACTTCAAAGATTGAGCTAAATTCAATACATTCAGCATTTTGACTCCAACCGGCCGATATATATATATATAGTCATCAATATTATCCAAACAGGTAAAAACAACCCAAATGAAGGAAAGGTGAAATTTGACTGTCGCAATTTCTCTCTTTGAAAACAAAAAAAAAAAGGATCAACATATCCCGAAGTGTAAAATAAACAAACCAAAAACTAATTATTTCATATAGTATTTTTATAAATGGATAAACCAAAAATAAACACGTTAAATTTTTAAGATGATAGATCACATACTTTTGTGACGAAAGTAAG